ACATGCCACCGAAAACCCCGTTTTTCCACACAGTCTGAGAAAGTGGTGCAATGTTGGAGTGGCCTAAAAATAAAAACATTCCCACATGTGGTGATGCTGTGACTGCTTGAATAAATGCCCTTAAAACAGTTTGAATATTAATACAAAATAATCCTAGATTTGTTTTTGAGTTGAAACTTCTAATCCACACAGAATATGGTTGACATTTCTTGGTGAAGTGTAATCTGAATGCTTGGGCTTCTTCAGAACCTCTAGATGTTCCTTCAACTCATAAGATGTTGATATTTCTTATATTGGATTATTCATTTTGCTGATTTATTTGCTCATTCTCCAGAATTCCTGCACTCTTTTAAAACAGTTATCTGTCATTTCAATTTAAGAACTTTATAAGACCAGAATCACAAAACATTTTCTGCAAAAAATCTCTATAAGAATTCCCTTCTTTTTAATTTTTCAGGAACTCCATTCCTTTGTCCCATCCTCTTGGCTCCAGATCAGAGTTTTGTTCCTACTGAGGACAAAAAAAAAAAAGAAATAAAAATGTACTCTCAAGAATGTGTGACATATTTTTTTACACATGTTGTGTAGGAACCCATCACCAAATAGTTTCACAGTTATTGGAGCACTTTTTTTTTAAAAAAAAAACCTCAACACTCGTCTCTTGGAGCGCTTGAATCTGTTTGGAATCGTAATTCCATGACGCTCATGTGAAGAATAATTAAAGCTTATTGTGAAGTGTTTCAGGGTGACTGAACTTTTTCCACTTTCCAGTCATCTCCTGGTGTCTGCATGAGTATATTTTAGTGATGGAATTGCAACAAAATGAAGACACAAGTGCTTTCTTTAAAGCAGGCAGGAAAAGTCTGTTGTTCATCTCACTGTATTCCACTTGTGGTTACTTCATGCTTCATGCATGAGTTTTTTAATAATATCATAAAAGATTATAAATTTTTAGGACAAGCAGGTGTCTGAAAACATGGAATGAATGATGGGGATGCAATTGTAAATCAAACTGAGCTAATATGATTATTAACAGAAGGTCATTTAAACTCGTTGATATTTGCGCATCTTTGCTTAAAAAAGAGCAAGTTCACTGAGAAAAAGCTTTTTTCCTTTTGTTGTTTTTAAATATGATCAGTCAGGCCTAATGTGAAAATAGTTTTCTACCACTGTGATCTATAGCTTCTGATAGGAAGTAGACGGGGAAACACTTGGATAAGAAAATCCACTCAGATCTATGTCATTCTGTAAATTAACATTCATGGACTCGCCCATCTTGGCTCATGACAGGGAAGGTTGTTGTTGGTTTAGCATCCAGGAAACAGCAGAGAACAACTTGACTAGTAGAAGCTAACTGTTAGCATTAGCAACTCCACCATGCAGCAGAACTCCTTCAGGCTTGTGTTACTTGTGGGGATACAACATCAACGTTGGAAAGCAGAGTCAGTGGTAGAGTTGTATTGCTGTTAGCCAATCAGAGACGAGATGTCCCAATAGCAGGAAATAAGATCCTGCTTTCTTCAACAGAAAGTTTTTAAAAACTCATTTTTTAAAAAATGATCTTGTTTTTAGTCTAAAAAGAAAATAAATTATTCTCTAGAAAAGTAGCACTAAAATACAGTATTTGTAAATATGGCCCAGATTTTCTTGTTTTGAGTAAAAAAAAAATGCCAATGAGGCAAGCAAAAGTTGTTTGGCTAGAAATCTTAAAAATAGTAAAATAATCTAATTTTAGGTTCACTGGTTTTATTTTCCCTTTAGGCTAAAAATAAGGGAAAATGTCTAATAATTTGGCTTTTTTACTTTCTTAGAAGTCAATTTTTGCAGTGATGTGGCTAACAACTATAGTTGTTAGCCACATCACTGCAAAAACTATAGTTCCTGAAACAGAGGTGTCACAGCTTTCCCCCACAGAGATCGACTCAAGGCATTCATTTACATAGAGACCACTTCAAATGTAAATAAATTTTTTAAAAATGAACTTATTCTTTAATGAATTTATATTTTTCATTCCTTATTACAGTTTGCTTACGTACCTGCCTGGCACTTCAAATTGTTTAATGAGGTGGGAAAATAAATAAAGCACATCTGTATACATTATTTTCATTTATTTATTCTTTAACGATAAATACAAGCCGATTTATGGCAGATGCAAAAGCCATCAGACTGCTTTTGTAAAAAGCAGTAAAATTCAAATGCAGTAGAAGTGTTATTTATAGGACCATAACAGCCCTGTAGCTTTTCTTCCTCAAACACCAGAGGACAAGTGAACACACACACACACACACACACACACACACACACACACACACTGCAAGGCTTACCACAAACACATGGCTCCTCAAACGGTTTGTATAACATCTTGATGCAAGCAAGTTATTACATCTAATTTTCCCTCAGCCACATCAAAGGTGAAAAATTAACTGCAAATTAAGCAAATACGAGTTTGAAATAAAGTCGCTGCAGGAACTGAGAATAACTGAAGGGCCGCTGAAAACTAAGAGCTCTGTGTTTGCAGTGATGTCATCGGGAAAAGCGTGTAATATTGTTAAACTGCATTTTAAAAAGGGACAAGCTTGTGACACAACAGCTGTGGCATTAAGGAAGAATGTGTCACCAAGGTTGTTAAAGTTTAAAATAAAGAAATGAGTACGGACAGAAAAATGTGCAGAAAGCAGAGCTGTTGTAAAAGGAAGCTGCGTCTCTTCCGAGAGACAGAGCATCTTCGCTTCAGGGATTTTACCTACCAACCCGTCTAGTGCCACTTTATGAGGAGGTTTAAAACTTTGCTTGCACTGAAATTTGCACACAATCAACCCAAACTTTATTTATGATTTATTTTCTCTAACTTGTTAAAATGCATCAGCAAACATAAAGATTTTAATTTTATTTATTGAAAAAAACAAGAAAGGTTTTGATTAAATTCAATAATAATTTCAATCCCAAATAAAACTAGAGAAAAAAAACGCATCTCATTGTGATTTTTTTATTATTATTTAATGCAGTTTATGCAGATTCAAATGACACAAGAGTTCCACACAAATAAAATGTGTTCTTACTTTTTGATGCAAACAATTTTATTAAATTACATGGAAGGGAAACAGTTACATGAATGACATTTTTTACATGAAGCCATTAAGAAAGGACGTTTTATGAGGTAAAAACTTTTAAAAATGTATGAAACAAAAGTTGATTTGACTTGAAGATGCTTTTACTCTCACAGATATCTTGATACGTTCATAATTTTTGACTCTTTAATTTCCTGTACCTGGTTTAAATCTTATGTCCTTTCTGTGTGCAGTTTGCATGTTCTCCCTGTGCCTAAAGACATGCATGTGAGAGTCATTACAACATCTAAATTGGCTGCAGGAGTGTGTTTGGGACGTGTGTTACCGCTGTGATGAACCGAGGAGTTCACGGCGTTCCCTGCTTTTTCTTCAGGGATGAATCCCAGCCTCAACGGGACGAAGCAGGTGGGAAAGAAGAAATGGGTGGATGAAATTTAGTCATTAATGGTTGCCTACAACGAGGGGATACTTTTGAGTGATGCATTGAATAATTGGGACACACACACACACACACTGGCATTGATTTACTAAACTTGGTGACAATGAAGGAATCATTTCCTTTGCAGAACAGTGATTGCTGCCACTGTGTGTTCCAAAACAGACCTTGCTGTCCCAGAGTTTAGCTGTCTGTCCTCTAGGGGGACACTCAGACAGCAGAATGACTTCACACTGCAACAAAAAAAAAAAGAAAAAAACATGCACTGCAAGTCATTTTATCACTACTTCATTTTTATTCTCAAAGTTTCATTGCAAAATGTCCAATTTCTTCTATAATTAGTTGCAACAAAATGTTTCAATATTTTTTTCTTTTTTGTTAAATCTCATGTGGGATCATCTTGTTTTGATCCTGTCAGTATCGTAAAGCTACATGAATACCATCCTAATTACTGTTTATAAAAAGAGCCATTTTAACAGCTCAGATGCACAAAAGATGCATAAAAGAGAATAAGCTCCGTGGTTCTTCCTCTTCTCACCATGATCACCTTTTCCCCTTTGTTGTAGCAGCAAAATATCCCAAACCCGTTCCACATCTGTAGAAACTCTTCACCTGTGAGCCTGAAGCAGGAAATCACCTTTGCACCGTGACATTACAGTGCACCACTGGACCGACTGGATAATTAACGCTATAGTCATAGTTTCTATGAAGTGTCATGAGTCTTAATCAGCATCATCTTTGATTTCTAGTTACTGGACGTGAGAAAAGGGCTCATCTTGTCCACAAAATCATGTTTGATGTGTTAACGTGACAATGTTGTCAAGAACTTCTGTTCTGTTTTACAATCATCTCTTAACTTTTAGGAGAGGTCAGATCAACAGGACGATGTCATTGCTCAGGACTCTTAATGTGCTGCATTATTTTTTATTCATTTTTGCCTTAAAGGTGGTTTAATTCTTTCTTTTTTTTCATTCTTTTATTCCAACCAAGTCTACATTTTGCTAAACGAATCACGGTGGGATTGGTGAGAAGCCTGCAGATCAGCTTGACTCATCTACTGTAGTGGCACTCTGAGTTTTTCACTTCATGGTTACCAATTATGCAAATCATATTTAGGATGCAAATAAATAAGGTCTCAACAGCTGGCATCTCCTTAGTTGTGTCTGTGTTGCTAAAGTCACTCTGTCTTGCAATCTTTGAAAGCACCTCCAGTTTCAGCCAGAGGTCTGAAAGTTAAAAGTCTGGTTATTATTATTATTATTATTATTATTATTATTATTATTATTATTATTATTATTATTATTATTATTATTATTTGATAGATGATAGTCAATATCATTTCCTGTAAATCCCAGATGACCGGAGCTTGTATCATTGAATTAATCCCTGGTGTGACGCGAACGGAGGCAGGTAAAGAAAACAAAGTATTGGCCAGAAAGAGGCCAATTAGGTAGTCATGACATCACCGTGGGCTGGCTATAAAGCGCTGAGGTCTAATGCTGGGAGTCAGAAGTGCAGCCGAGGAGCTTTCTGAGGGAAGGACAAACTCAGTCTGACTGAAGCTGCCGTCAGAGGAAACCTGGAGACAGGGCGACACTTGTCAACATGAACTGGTCCTACTTGGTGGCTTGTGGACTTTTGGTCACCTTGCTTTCAGAAAGGATGGGAGCAAAACCTTTAAGTCAAGCGCAGCAGAAGGTAAGCCACTTGTATCCCCATGAGGATTTGCACTCTCGGATGTTGGAAGCAGTTTCAGGGGAGAACAGCTGTTTCCTGGCGCGCTCGGGTCTGTTATTTTACGCGTCACGTTTCATCCTTTTAGTTTCGTTTACACGTTCAGAAAAAGATTAATTTCCATATTAAAAGCCTTAAACCTTCTACTCAGATCTCCTTCGTTTCCCTTTATCCTCGTTTAAAAGCCCGCAGAGACAGTTTTAACCTTTCGTGACCTTTCATTCACTCGTTTGAGATTATTAGCGCTAAAGAAAAGCAAATAAAAATGTTTAAATCATTTGTAAGCACAGTTTAATGATAAGAAAGCTCACAAGCCTGTAAACATGGAGTTGAACACTATTTTTGCATTATGTCAGCAACAAGTCCTAATTAACTGATCCGGTTTGTGCGTAAAACTGAACCAACACCGGATGGAACCATGAAACAGATACAATACATAATTTTACACTTAGAGTTGAGCTTTATGAAGGCAAGGGTTATTGCCACGTTTTGGAGTGGAGGACCCAGGAGCAGGCACCTGTTTTCCAGCATGTAATTGTTCTCGGAGCGCACGGTGCCCACGCGGAATGTCACTTGGTAAAAATCAGCCTTCGGGGTTTTAACATTGTGGATTTCTTTGAAGTTTGAATCTAAACGCGTGTTATTATGAGTCTCTTGCTGTCTTATTTTTCTGGTTAGAACCACATCTGAACCCCTCGGGGCTCTTCGTTCCTCCTGCTGCCTAATGCGCTCTGCACCAAGTTGAGGTCTACCTCACATTCTGAGGAAATTCTGTTCAAACAAGCACCCGAGCGATCTGAATCCGATTCCAAACCGATACCTTTGCGCGGCCTTCTTTGCCCCAGGGACCCAATGTTTATCTATTTTCTTCTAATCTTCCAGTCTCTTAGAAGTTTGTTGGGTGAAGAGCTGGCGGAGTTTCTGGAGTCGGAGGAGAGGGAGAAGCGGGTGGACGCGGTACGCGCTAGGATGCGGTTACTGCGGGATTTACGGATGGACACCCGGGCCAGAGGGATGTGGGCTCGTCTCCTTAACGACCAGCCCGCAACTAGGAGGCACAAGTCGGGAAGCAAGAAGGCGGGCTCGTCGTCACGGAGTGGCTGCTTCGGACACAAGATGGACCGGATAGGAACCCTCAGCGGGATGGGATGCTAAAGAGCGCAGCGATGGTGAGCTCACATCACATCCGCATCCTTCTGCTTCTCCAGATGGAGCCACTGTAACATCACACACAGGAGCCACAGCAGAGATTAATTCAGCCAAAATGAATGCTCATTTAAAAAAAAGATTTTTGTCAAATTTGCAGAAAAGAAGAAGTATGTGCAAAAAAAGAAAATTATAAAATAAAGAGCATTAATGCTTATCACTGGAGAAGATACACTAAAGTATAATTTAGATATCAGAGGCACATCTCACTGATGAAGCAATTATCATGACTAAGTCTTATTGAGCAATCAAACTCAAGAGTTGGAGAAATCAGATGTCATAGTGGATCTGAGTGATCACACATACTGACCTTTGTCAAACTTCTGCAATCACAATGAGCAAAAAGTAGAAACCCTTCATAGAAAAGCCCGTCTCAAACTGATCTGGGAGCAGTCTTTAAGTCCAATTTCTTATTACTGCTCCCGGTTGTGCCAAACGGCCTCATACATCGCATTTTGGGAAGAAAAGGAGACAAGGAGGAGGGAGCCGAAATTTATTCAGTCTCCTGCAAACAGAGCATCCTGCGGCGGTCAGGATCTTTCTGGAAAAGCCATTTTCTCAACCCAAGAGTTTTGGCCCAAAACAGGGAAGGGGTTGTGTTGGTCAGTGAAGTAATGCAGACGCTATAGGTGACACACAATTAGTCCTGAGGGTTGTGGCCTTTCTGTGGTCGTGGTGAACTGTGGAACCATGATGCAGATGTGTGATTTTTGTAACTAACGGAAGCGACTCTGTTCCTCATCGGTCAAAAGTTTGCATTATGGTGAAGTGAGAAATCAGAGCGGTAATTAGACCGCTGAGCAAACACTGGAAATTCCTTAAATAAGGATGAGAATTCACACGATGAGTGCCTTTTACAATCAGTCTAAACCTTTATGTTTTTCTTCTAGATCTCTGGACGATGGGTTTGGACGATGCAAGACGAATTTGCCGTCCCCTGAAAGAACAGAAAAGAAATAAATAAGAGAAAAAAGATCCAAGTGACAAGATTTTTGGTACGGAAGTGACCACAACCAGCATTAAGAGACTGAGATGACAATGCTGCAAAGTCCTTGCAAAGAAAGAAAACTATATATATATATATATATATATATATATATATATATATATATATATATATGTATATATATGTATGTATGTATGTACATGACAAGTTCATTTGCAAAAATAGATTATTTTGTTTTCATTACGGACATCAGTGATATCAGTCATAACTTTGATGATTTTGATCAAAAATGACGTTTATCTTTTTCTTAAAAGGAACTCCCCATATATTTATGATGGAAATGCAGGTAGCTAAACATAAACATAAACACAACAGTCTACAGATAGAAACATAGATGCATACTGCTACATTGTGGATGACGGTGTAAAAACTACTAACCACAAAAAGCTGTACATTAATGCTGCTGCTGTACATTCAAGTAATTCATCTTCCCCTGCATAAATATATTTATGTTTAAAAGTATTTATATGTTTATAAAAAAGAGATATTTATAAATATGACTTTTATTTATGTAACATTTTGAAAATGAATGCAAACATCAGATGGATTCTGTTTGTTACATTTTTTTCTTTTGTCTTTCATAATTGTAAATGTAAAAAAAACTGATAAAAAGAACCTCCATGTGCACTTACACACATTTTCTGGGTGTATTTTTCACTAGAATGGCTCCATTTTAAACATTTCACACTGGCTTTGTGGGATCGGAGTCACAATGACTGGATGGTGGAATATCAATGGAGTGCTTGATATTTTTTGATCTACCCTGCAAAAATAATGAAATAGTTAGAAAAAAAACACGTATAAAACTCAAAGATGCTCTAACACACAGCAAAGCAATCACAGTCCCATAGCTTTGTCACCGGGTGGTAAGAGTGCTACCTAATGCATCACTGGCCTTTTAAGTGCATTTCTTTATTATCTCAAAGCTCCTGGTGACATTAAAATGACCAAATATGGTATTCGTAGATTAATGGTTGGGAGTAAGCAGTAAATTTACAAGTTTTATTGCTGCAAATTGGATCTGGACCAAGGCCTTACTGCCACAGCTTCAAGTTATATGATGGTGATAACAATAAATGTCTTCATTTATATGCTTATCTGAAGTCTCTAAAGCTGGGGTTGTAAACAAAAGAAATATCACTCAAACTGGTCATTAAAATGAAGTGAAGTGACGCTGTCAGTGTACTTTTTAATGATAATTTGACTATTAATTAACTGTAACCCATGCAGGGGGTGATGGGTGATCCTTTCTGCTGTTCAAACGCTCTCACCCAATGTGGAGCTGTGCATGTGTAAGCAAAAAACACCAATAATTTTATTTAAACACAAAAACAGTATATGTTTAAACTCTTTGAACATAAAGTGTCACCGACGCCTCCCTGATGATGTTTTCTAAGCACGCCCAACTGGAAAGAGATCTATAAGAAGGCCCAGGACATGCTATCCATGCTCCATAGGAGCTTCAGCAGGAATACCATTGGCCTGACTGTGCCAGTAACAGTGCTCTACAGGGAGCCTAAGTCACTTACGCATCATGGGTCCCCAGAAGAATGAAAAAATGAATGCAAGTCAACGGGGCGAAAAACACTATTTTCTAACTCGCTTTGCCTTAGGCCCTGGATCACACATATGTTGTGTAGAGATGATGTTCTTACATTTAATTAGAAACCATAGAATGTGAAATATCATAAAATATGACCAATATCACCTTAATGGATCTTTGAGTAAATTTAACCCGAAGATCAGATCTTTTTATTGCAGGGAGCTTTTATTGAGCAGCACTTCATATTAACTCCAAGAAAGAGAGAGAGAGACAGAGAGAGAGAGAGAGAGAGAGAGAGAGAGAGAGAGAGAGAGAGAGAGAGAGAGAGAGAGAGAGAGAGAGAGAGAGAGAGAGAGAGAGAGAGAGAGAGAGAGAGAGAGAGAGAGAGAGAGAGAGAGAGAGAGTCAGGTTTAAAAAGTTAAAAGATTTATTTCTAAACAATTTGAACAAGACTAACTTTAAACACTATGTGTATGATGTAACTAAGGTGGAGTAAGACCGAGGATGGTGTGTGTGTGAAATATGTTCAGAACCAGCAAATCTGGAGAGACTGTTAGTTCTGAGTGGCAGTGAAAGGGTGTTTCGCTCTAAGCTTTGGTTTGGAGATTATAACACACATTGAGACGCAATCTGTCGGTCTACGTACCCCAACGGAAGTCCCCGTTTAGATCCGGTATGTCGGGGGTCCAGCTTGGGCCCTCTTGGAACCGACGCCTGTAGATATGCAGTGGTTGCCGACCCTTCCAGTCTTGAGTTACTCCCAGGTCAGGACAGTTTATTGGCGTCAACGAGACCCTGAAGGGGTCGTGATGGTTCAGCTTTTATTCTGAAGGAACCGTTGCAGCAGGTGGAACATGCAACAGATTTAATCCAGCTTGTCGTTAGGTTCTTTCGGCTTTAAGAGGAAAGTTACAGATTGGCCACTCCGATAACTTCTCTAGAACGCTTGGAACTGAAGTTAAGATGACGTGGGGCAATAGTTTTATAATTTGGATGTCTTGATTTAATGTCGAATCAGAATTTGACAACAAAAGGGGATTAGCACCAAGAAAACCACGCCTCGCGTCAGATCTGGAAGGTTCTGATTGGATCAGAAAAAGGAAATGTGTCATGTGACTTTAGCATTATGTGAGATCAGTCCAGTGTAAATATTTTAAGTTATATTACTTATTAAATACTATCATAGGATTATAATATCAAGTAATTAATATTCTCATTTCACAGATTGATTGAACATTGAGCTTCACATGATTATTTGGACTAACAAAGTTATTTGATTATTATTTAAATAGAAAGAATTCTTTGTCTTCTTTCTTCCTTCTTGTGCTGTCCGGAGAAGCAACAGTTCAGATAAGAGAACAGGGCATGAGTGGCCTTGGACCATATCTTGTAGATTAGGCTTGTGTCAGAAACGTATGGTTTTGCTTGGGCAGAGCAAATAGAGCAGGGCCTTTAGGTCAGAAATGGACGATTCATCACGCTACAGTTGTACTGCAATTTAAATGAGAAATAATGATGGGTGTTTCGACCACGCCACGTACTTTGAGATTTATTAGCTTATAAAAGTTCATAATTAGCATGACTACAAACTAGAAATCGGCACGTCGCATATGTGACGTCACCACATAATCTCTCCGCAAAGTAGCTGCTATTTACCACATGATCAGATTTATGGTGGTTCTTTCCTCCTGTGGGAAGTTTGCCGAGCTCACATCCCTTTTTCCTCAGTTGTCTCCGTGTCTGGTTTGATGACTTCACTTTCGTGAAGCGCATTTGTAGTTCTGGACTTATCTTCACACAAAACCTAAAATAGCTTTTGAAAATAAGCACATTCTTGGTATCAAAATCTGTCTTTAAAATTCATGGACATCATATATGAAATCCGTGGCGCAAAACAAGCGAAATTAGAAAATAGAGTTTTTAGCCCCGTTGACTTGCATTCATTTTTTCATTCTTCTGGGGACCCATGTTGCGGAAGTGACTTGGGCTCCCTATTGGTTTGGTGGATGATGCGAATGAGTAAAACAGAAAAGATGGCAACTGCTCAGTTGAAACGGCTTTGTCTTTTCTTTGAGTCAAGAGCAGATAATAGCACTTAAAGTCACCGTGTATATTTTCCCTGGCAATAGGGGGCAGCACATCCCGAGCATTGTTTTATGTTCAAGGAAGACCTTACCAACAGATGGCTGTTAGGGTCAAAAAACCTTGGGAGTGCAATGTCCAGCAAAAGAAACACCAGATTCCCTTTCATTACTTGCAACGAGTGAAGAGGTAAATGTGTAAAATAATGTTTATTAATGCTGAAAGTTTTGTAACCGTTGTTACAAATCAGTAAATGTGTTTTATCCTCACGGGTTTCCGTAAAAGGAAACAAGGCACCCAGGATGGCGTCGCCCAGAGACTCAGATTTATTTATGTATATTTTTCAACAACTGGATATTTTTTATTTTATTTAAAACAACAGAGATTAATGGAAAAAATGACACATTGTCACTTTAAGTGAAAAGGGATGTATTTGCATCTTCCTTGACCAAGTATGGTGGGTTACCCTATGACTGACATCCACAGTGGTAAATATGTTACGTTGTTTGTTGTCCAATAGCACGTGGAGACATTCTGAAAGGCAACTGCAGTTTCTGCCCCACAACTGAGCTCTGTCTGTGGGTCGTAGTTTGTCAGGCTCGGGCCAAGTGGCTGGGGAGAGGGAAGTCTGGGCCTTCCCGGTGAAGCAGCTGCCCCCCGTGACTCGATTGTGAATAAGTGAAAGACAATGGATGGATGGACAGAACCAAATTTTTCATTTATCAAAAATATTAGGTCAAATGTTCTCTAAGGGATTACAAATAAAAGGAAAACTACGTCTGGTGAATTTTAGAGACTCACGTTCATATTTAAATGTGTGGTCACTCATTATCTGAACTCTTTAGGGTTGCATGGAGCAAGTGTCTATCTTCAGCAGTCACCAGAGGCAGGAAACACCCTGGAAAGGTCACCTGTCCATCCCAAGGACACACAGGGACAGACAACCAGTCACAGGGTTGTCCATCAACCTAACATGAATGTTTTGGCCTGCGGGAGGAAGCCGGAGTACCCAGAGAAACCCCACACAGATGTAGGGAGAACGGCCATGCAGAAAGGCAGCTGTTTGGATTTGAACCTGCAACCTTCTTACCACAAGGCAATAGTGATACCAGCTCTGCAATTGCGGTCAGTCACCAATGAATTAAAATTAAATTTAAAAAAGCAAGAGCAATTTCAGTTTTACATGCCAGGGGATAGAACTGAGAATTTTTGGGGCCAAAATTATTCTTTCAATAATAAAAAATGTAAAATTTGTTTTCAGATGTATAAAACTGCAATGCTTACAGGACGATAAGACAAATCAAAACACCAAACCATTCAGATTTCATGTCATTTATGCTGCATTGTTTTTGTAATGCAGCTTAAATTAGGTGTGAGACTTTTAACTGAAAAAACATGAAACTAAACAATGCCAAGGATAAAATTAAAATACTCTTGACATGTTTTTTTCTTACTGTTACCAACTAATTTTATTGTCATCTGCACAATTCAAAGGATTTGTGATGTTGATGCTTTAGGGAAAATTTCAAGCAGCCATTAACTCAGCAGCCATGTTTAACTCCATTAGTTATGAGCCCACTGTTATTAAAATTTATGAACATTGCTGGATTTATGAGAATAACTCTCAATAGAAGTAATTTTGGGTGGTTGCCCAGGAATAATGTGTTTTTCCTCAAGAAATTCCACCCCCGAAATTATTGTTTCCCCTAACTAATGCGTTCACATGTAGGATGCAAATGATTTAATCCTCCCCGCAATACGACAGTGCATAACAGGTGTGGGAGGATGTTCTTTGAGGAGGAAAATTGTTTTCGCCACTCTGCAAATTCGGCAGACGCCCTCTAGTGGAGGTGCTTTACAGCACTGCACAAAGATGCTCCAACTCCCATTAGAAATCATTTCTGCTCACTCAGACATGATGAGAAAATCACCTGCAGTAGGCTTGTGTAATAACATTATACAAATTATGAAAACCCCAAAAGGATTTATTATTGTAAATATTTTCCCTCTGTGGGATTTATCACATTGCATTATCCAGAAATCAGCGCGTTTCTGTGACATTTCTCAAAAAAACAGAGATTACTTTATTAATTTGTCCAGAAAATCCATTAAACAAAAGTAAAATTATTTCCCAAACTATCAGAGCAGCTGCAAATGTGCTTCACTCCAACGTCATGAAGTGAAATACAACGCTGCCTCTGTGTGGTGTTGTAGGATAAACACCCCATTCTTGTCTAGATGGGATTTAATCATCTGGATCATGTCTTCCTGACTATCCATAATGAAGGGACCTGCTGCTGCAAGCAGGGCCTTCATTGTTATGCGCCTGCATTCTGCGAACGTTAATGGCTCTTTCTGGAGTATTTCTCTTGTCCGATAACACCACCTAGTGGCTGACAAGCATATCACACAAATTATTTCTCCCATTTTTTGAAGATGGCGACTTCATGTTTCTTGTTAAATGTGCTTCTGCAGCCAACAAACAGAGCTGCAACAGGTTGTTTTACAAGAATTGTTCTCATCATGGGTTAAACAACCCATATATTTCAAAATCCTTCTCCTCACATGTAAAGCTATCCATTACCTTTCTCCCTCATACCTGTCTGACCTCATTCACATTATCTCTCCCATCCGTTCCCTCAGATCATTATCCTCTATCACTCTCTCTGTCCCACCTTTCCGTCTCAGCACTATGGGGATCAGAGCCTTCAGCAGCTCTGCTCCCCGTCTCTGGAATTCTCTCCCTCAAGCCATCCACAACTCACTCGCTCTCCTCCTGTAAATCCAGACTCAAAACCCACCTGTTTCAGACTGCATACTGCTAGAGTCACCTTTTCCATCTTCATTGATTTTATTATCTAGTTTGTATTTTTAGGCTTCTGTGTGTGATTTTTGCTGTTTTTAACTTGGTTTCTTTGTTGTTATTTTAGTGTCCTTGTGTCCCTTGAAAGGCACTTTTAAATAAAATGCATTATTATTATTATTATTATTATTATTATTATTATTATTATTATTATGTCATGTCGTGTTCTCACATATTTATATTTTAGAGACATACTTGTCCGTGAAAAGTTCATCAGTGGTGTGAAACAATTACAACTTTTATTTGAAAGAAAAGCCTGAAGAGCACTCATTTTGCACATGTCAAATTATTTGTCTGGTTCATCACTAGTGGTTGATGAGCTTCTTTTGTATTTTTTTTTTATTTAACCTTTATTTAACTGTATGAGTCGATTGAGAACTCATTCTCATTTACAAAGACGATCTGGCTAAGAGGCAGCAGCAACAAAAACATAGTTAGCTTCACGCCAAAGAAAAACAGATATAAAACATACAAGATAAAAATAAGATAAAACAGACATAAAGACAAAGGACTGCTCTCATATATATGTATAAACATATATCTGGACTGGAAGAGAGTCACTTCACATGTCACTAGAGACAGAGTTTACACCAATGACATGACGTATTTATAAGGGTTCTAATTTTATTAAAAAATACTTGAAAAAGACAAGAAAACAAGTTCCCGTCTAAACGGATTTGACGGAGGAGGAATTTAACAAGACAGCCGTAGAAAAGATGCAACCAAAACCACCAGATCCTCTTATCCTCATGGGGATACTGAATCGCAGGATATATTAGATAAGGATGGCTGAAACATCAGATGCTTCAAATGGAAGTGATGATAATGCATCGGTGATATCTGATGATACTGAAAAAATTTGGTCTGGCCTGGAAGACAATGATCAGGGTTTGTTGCCCTTTGATGAAAGGAAACTGTTGTGGGCTCCACATCTGATCAGCCACACACACACACACACACACACACACACACACATATTCCATGTGCAATAATTGTATATACATAACATTACTGTCCATATGTACATAGCGCTGCAGAACTGTATCCCCCCCCCCCTCCCCAAGTATGTTTGTTTTACACTGAGTGGGAGATGCTCTGTATCTCACTTTACACCTGTATAGTGACAATAAAGGCATTCTATTCTATTATATATATATATATATATAGCCTAGATGGATTACATGAAAGCCTATGACTCAACAACTCACAGCTGCTCTTGATGAACATAACATCTATGATAGCTTCCAGTCAGGTTTTTGTAGAGCTCATTCTACTGAAACAGCTCTTCTTAGGGTCTCTAATGACCTTCTGACCCACAGTGAAGCAGGGGATTGTTCTGTTCTGGTCCTGCTGGACCTGACTGCGGCCTTTGACACTGTTGACCATCACCTGCTACTGGAGAGGCTGAGAGACTGGGTAGGCCTATCAGGATCTGCTCTGGAGTGGTTCTTCTCTTATCTCTGAGAGTTCCTTTTCTGTGGCCGTCTCCAAGTTTAGGTCCTCCACCACCTCTCTTACCCATGGTGTCCCACAAGGCTCTGTGCTGGGGCCTCTGCACTTCCTCCTCTATCTGCTTCCTCTTCAGCACATCCTGAGCTCCTTCAAAGGAGCTCCTACCATCTTTACGCAGATGACATCCAACTGTACATCTCCTTTAAGCCCCATGAGATGCCTAAGCTGCAGCTGTTACACACCTGCTTAGACTCTATCAAAACCTGGATGGCTGGGAACTTTCTACAGCTGAATGAAGATAAGACTGAGATCCTCATCAGTGCCCCAGACAAGCTGGTTCCCAAAGTCAGAGACTCTCTTGGTCAGCTTGCTTCTCACACCAAAACCTCCGTCAGGAATCTTGGCGTGACCTTTGACCCAGCTCTCACCCTGGATTCTCATGTCAGTTCTCTTGTTCGCTCTTCCTTCTTCCATCTCAGGAACATTGCTAAGCTGAGTCCCATTCTGTCCCGCTCTGAACTTGAGACAGTTATCCACACCTTCATCTCCTCACGCTTAGACTACTGTAACTCTCTTTTCACGTGTCTGAGCAGAACCTGAACCGTCTACAGGTGGTTCAGAAAGCCTGTGCTCGGCTTCTGACCAAGTCCTCCAAACACACTCACATCACCCCACTTCTCCTCCAGCTTCACTGGCTGCCAGTCAACTTCAGGGTTCATTTCAAGATCCTGGTTCTGGTCTATAGGGCCTTACATGGACAAGCACCATCATACATTGGTGATCTTCTCCATCCCTACACCCCCAGCGGGTCCCTGAGGTCCAGTGACCAAAGCCTACTGGTTGTGCAACGCACCAGGCTAAACACCAAAGGTGACAGATAATTTGCTGCTGTGGCCCCCAGACTCTGGAACTCTCTCCCCCTGAGCCTAAGATTGGTGGACTCAGTGGTCTCCTTTAAAATACAGCTGAAATCTCACCTGTTCAAGCTAGCTTTTGCGTGACCTTCATCACCTCCCTCCCCTTATTCTGCTCTTATTCCACCTTTCCCAGGATCCATTAATGTCCCTCTTCCCTATTAAATGTTCTCTCTCCCTTTCCTTACATTTTTTTCTTTTCTCCTTTTAAACATATTTTTAATCATTTTTGAAATCTTTTTATACTTTAATTGTTTTTTTTGTTTTTGTGAAGCACCTCGTGATTTTTATCTTGAGAGGCAGATAAAATATCATCAGATAGAATCAGATATAAAAATATCATTTTCAGCATGTGTTCAGTATTGTGCAATACTGGACGTACATTATCTGTGTCTCTTATGCTGCATATTTTTGGAAACCCAGTTGTCTATTTGTATTCATTGTTTTGAGGGTTGAATGTTACAAGAACAGGTTACTGCCTATGTGTTTACCTGTACTTTTGTTGTTTTCTTCTTCCTTGTCTAAAAGTGTATGTGCTGCAGTAACAAGGTTATTTCCCCAAAATGGGATTAATAAAGTCTATTCTAAATAGGGTGGGACCTCAGCTTCTCCAGATGTTTAGCACAGGTTGGAGGAGTCAGTGGCATACACAATGCCTCTGCCCTTTTAGTATTTGCTGTAAAATCCCAGTGTCAGTGTCCCAAACTCTTCAAGAGATTTGAAAAAAAAGTGAGAGGGCGATATCCTCTTTACTGGTACAATTGAAAAACTGTGGTAACGTTTGATCAAAATATATTTTATTAAAGGCAAATTATTGTTGGCGGTTGAAACGTTCGACGTGGCCCTAAAAACTGATTGAATATACCCTGGGTTATGCTAGAACCACGTGGTAGACGCGGTCGATGGTTTACGGCAGCTGACCAAAAGAAAACAGCTGCACGGAGTTGCATAAAGACGCATTGTCTTTGTGTCAACATTTAGAAAATTGCACTTTTTTGGCACTATCCGAAGACAAATCTTGGAAGTTAAACACACAGATAATCTCGGAAATGGTATTTTTAGATGAAATTTGCTCAGGTGTAGAGAAAAAAAACAGTCTGTAAACGGCTCGTAGGCGAGGCGCGTGCACGAGGCAAATATGTCAATTTCCGATTGGTTGAAATGGTCATGTGGGCGGGCAGACGTCACAGCGCGGAGCTGGAGAGAAACCGCTTCTGCGACCCGTCTGTCTTTCTAGTCCAATGTCCCACTGAGTAGACAGATCCACGTGCATGCAGCAGACATTTTGGTACTTGTCATCAAACCTTTAGATATTAGTGTTTCATTGAAACACACACATCAGAAGCAACCATGGTGAAGCTAGCAAAGGTAAGACGAATCTATATCACATCAAAATGTCCGCGCTGAGCCGTGCTTGAATTTTTTTTTTTTGGCGCACGAGGCCTTTGGCTTAAGGTGCTGCGTTTTTGGAAAAATAAAACCAGTCAAAGTTAGGAATGTGCGCGCATATGTTGCAGTGACAGCGCATTTTCACAACATTTTTAACAATCTAATCCTTCAAAAGTAGTTTTTCCCCCCTAATATGTAAAGCATGCTGTATTTGGTCGACGTCTCTGGTTCTGGTTTTCCAGGCCTAGCTCGGCCTGCTAACGCTAGGCGAGTTTTCGTCGTGTTATTTGTCCGTTTCTCTTTTTAAGCGTTTGGGTTTTATTGTGATTAAAAAATTGAGCTTTTTTATTAAACTAAAGTGGGAAAGTAGAGTTTTGACGTTACTGGTAATACATTTGTAATAATGTAACATACGTTTAATCCTATTCCGTTTTAGCATTAGCACGTTGCACATTTTAAGTACGTGGTCCGCATCTTCTTTACACGTTTTTGAGTCGAATTCAAGGGCTTTGTTTTTCGTTATCTGTTGGAATCTTCGTGTCGAACGTTTGTTACCCAAAGCGGTTTGAATTTTGTTGTAGTTTTAGTCGTCTGTGGTGAAATGTAGCCCAGATGCTAGCCTTATGTTAGCTTCACGAGCTCCACGTGGGTGGGCGCACGCTATGAGTGACACACGCGGTGTTCAACCAAAACCGAGAAAGTAGTTTACTGTAAAGGCGGACGGATGTCACGATTGGTTAGTCAGTCTGCATTATTTGCGGTATTTATTTTTGTTTAACTTGGATGAACTTGAATTGATATACTTAAGCTTAACGGTTGAGCTGTAGATTCGTTTTGACTGTTGTGTAGTCTTTCTAGTTTTTATGGATTAACACTGGCTTTTTTTTTCAGGCAGCAAGTCAACAAATTAAAAAGAAAAAAGCCCCCCCACCCCCCAAAAAAGTGGAAGAGGAATCTAGTGAAGAAGAAAGCAGTGAGGAGGAAGAGGTATAACACTTGCTTAGTTACTGATATCAGTTTGTTGAATTCAAATAACTGAACTTTCTTTCTTTTTAAAATCCAGACCCCTCCACCTAAAGTAGCAAAAAAAGCAGCAGGTAAAGCTTCCCCAGCAGTCAAAAATGGTACCCCTGCCAAAAAACAAGAAAGTTCTGATGAAGAGGATGATTCTGGTGAGCTGCACTAATAAAATTTAGGTTTTTCAGGTCCTATTGATGTCATAATAAAATAATTTTCAAGGGATATCCCCGTCAAACTCACACAATGTACTCTTATTTAGCCTACACATAACGAGCTGCTTAAGAAAGTTTATTTTAAATTATAAACCTAAATGCATAATTTATTAGTTGCATAATTGATTTTTTCTTAAAGTTAAATTTTATTTGATTTGTGAAATTATCTCGTGGTCACCCACAGAGGAATCTGAGGAAGAGGCACCACCACCTAAAAAGACACCTGCAAAAGCAGCATCTGCAAAGACAGCTGCTAAAGCCACAGCAGTGAAAGCAGCGCCTGCCAAGGCTGAGCAGTCTGATGATGATGACGACGACGAAGATGACGATGATGGTATGTGGTGGTTTAGACTTTTTTTTTTTGTTAACTTTGACTAAGTGAATAGTGAAGTAGCCCCACACCCTCCATTTCTTGGCATGCATGCAGTTGATTGGTACTCATGTGTGTAATGTACGGAGGAAAAGTAAAGGCAGCGCTATGTCTTCGGTGCCGGTGTGTTTTAATGTCTGCCGGTTCTATCCTCAAACGCTGTTACATTGCTTCATGTTTTGTTTTCTGCTCTATATGAATCTTACCTAGAAGTGAGGGTGAAAAATAACCCAATTTCAATGTTTCTTGTTCAGATGAATCTGAAGAGGAGGCCCCACCTCCCAAGAAAGCAGCAAAACCAGCAGCCAAGCCTCCTGCCAAAGCCCCAGCAAAGGCCAAACCTGCTCCAAAGGAGTCTTCTGATGATGATGACGACGATGATGAAGATGATTCAGAGGAGGAGGAAGAGGCAGCTCCACCCCCAAAGAAGGCTGCTCCAGCCAAAGCAGCTGCCGCTAAACCTGCGGCCAAAGCAGCTGCTAAATCTGCAGCTAAAGCACAGCCTGCTAAAGAGGAGTCTGACGATGAGGAGGACGATGAAGATGGTAAGCCTGATTCTCTATTGTTTTTAATTATTGACAAAGAAACTTTACGCTGGACCAGCTTTAACTGTGTGATGAAGAAAAAGGGACTTAATACTGATTGTGGTTGATGTCACTTTTTACATATCTGATGTTGGTCAAAGCTGCAATAGCAAATCTGCAAAACGGGCCAGCTTTTAAAAAGTCGCCGAACTCTCTTTCCCCGTCAGCTATCATAATTTTTAACTTCACAAACTATTTTTGTCTTCCTTTAAGAGGCACGAAAGTGTTTTAGACTAGTTAGTTTTGCAGATTTGCCATTGTAGATTTAAAAGGATCATGTGATCTAAAACATGGGGACAGGAAATGATGTCCAGATCTGATGTTTGTACTCCAGACTCTGAAGAAGAGGAGATGGACACCACTCCAGCTCCAGCAGCCACCAAGGCAAAGAAAGCAGGCATGGTCAAAGCCAAGGAGGAGTCAGAGGAGGAGGAAGATGATGATGATGATGACGACGAAGATGATGAGGAGGAGGAGGATGAAGGTTAGTTTTGTGAAACGTTTCTTGTGTCTTAATATTCTTACTGGAACTTGACTCAAAAATTAAGTTTTAATATGTGAGATTATCAGAGCGTCAGACTCTTTGCTTTCCTTGTTATGAGAGCTGTAACCTTTTCTCCTCAGAACCTCCAGCAAAACCTCAAAAGAGGAAGGCGGAGACCAAAAAGCAGGAGACTCCTGCTAAAAAAGCAAAGTCGGATGGTGAAGGTAAGACATGTTTATGAATTTTCATCGTGATTACAAACCATCACAACTCTGATGCAGTCTGACAATGACACAATTTTCTTATCAACAGGTTTCAGCCTTTTTATCGGAAATCTAAACTCCAGCAAAGACTTCGATGAACTCAAGGATGGGCTAAGAAAATTCTTCACCAAAAACAGTCTGGAGATCGTGGATGTTCGACTTGGGGGATCAAAGTAGGCCTTGGGCAGATTTTTATTTTTTATTTATTTTTTCCTAAACTGTCAGTAATAATTGTTGTGGTTTACTTCGTCTAGGAAATTTGGCTATGTGGACTTTGCATCCGAGGAAGACCTCAACAAAGCACTGGAGCTCAATGGCAAGAAGTTCATGGGTCTGGAGTTGAGGATGGACAAGGCTCGCAGCAAAGAAAACGCACAGGAGGGCAAGAAAGGTGAATGATGACGTCATGATGTTACTGAATTGGTGATAAATACTTGTGAGCTGTCGGCATCTTACTTGGCTGCCCAGAAATTGTTCCTAAGTTTATTTCCATTGTGTCCTACAGAGAGGGACGCCCGGACGTTGTTTGTGAAAAACCTTTCCTTCTCTGCTACGGTTGATGACCTGAAGGAGGTTTTTGAAGATGCTGTTGATGTGCGGTTACCTCAAGGCCAAAACGGTTCCAACAGAGGGTAAGAGGAAGATGAACGGTCCTGATTACTTCAGAAATGTTGGTTTACGGGGAGATGTGGTGTGTAATTCCAGAGTTCCTCCACATTCTCCTTTAATCAGATCTGCTCTAATAAACACTGTTTTTACAGTATTGCCTACATTGAGTTCAAAACCGAGGCTGAAGCAGAGAAGATGATGGGGGAGGCTCAGGGTGCTGAAGTTCAGGGAAGGTCAATCATGGTCGACTATGTTGGAGAGAAAAGCCAGAAAGGAAGCAGAGTATCAAGTAAGCTTCTCGTGGTATTACGCCGGGGACACACCGGCCGCGGAAGCGCCGAGAAGCGAATCGCTCACGAAATTCGGCCGCTGCTCGCCGCTCCTCAGTTCAGATCAGACGCGCCCCAGTCGAGGCGCGCCTCGGCTCAGCTGTAGTTTTTCTTTTAAACACTTGGTGTCCTCCATTTCCTCTCTGCCTTTTCTCAGCTCTTTTCCTACGTTTGAGTGTTTGTGCGCGTGCGCGCGCGTGGGTGTGTGAACCTATGGTATGAGTTGTTTCTGCCAGTTGAATCTCTTGGAACCCGCTCCAATTCTGCAGCTGTATCCTAGCAGTTTCTTCCGACATGGGTACGTAAACAATCATGTTTTTCGGGGGTCGTACAGCTCCTTGTGTTTCTCAACTTCCATAATTAATTTAAAGTCATCCATCCTAACTGCTTGCCTCAGACTTTCTGCCTCTCTGTCCTGTTTGCTCCGGTGAAAAGACACCCAAAACCACTCCCCCCTTCACGTGGTCACACACGCACACAAGTTCGATGTGTGTGTATGTGTGTGCGTGTTCGTGTGGTTTTTCTGCAGTGTCTGTTTACGAACACATTTGACTATTGCGGAATTTTATTTTGAAATGCTTTATTTTGTTAACTTTACCGGCCTGCCTCTTATGTCTACGTTTGACTTCCTGCCAGAATTGACGCGATTCACCCGCGGCTCGCGAAAAAAATAGAGCCAACGCCGAAATGATCGCTGCACGGCGCGGGCTGGAGCGCCGGCGCGCGCCGGCGCGAGGCGATTCGTGGCGCTTCGGCGGCCCATGTGGTCTATAGAATAGCTTAACAAGGGCGCCGAATGAAGGCGGTCCCATTTTCGCGGCGCTTCCGCGGCCAGTGTGTCCCCGGCCTTAAACATCTCATGTTTCTGTCTTTATATCTTCGTGATGTGTTTCTAGAATACGATTGTGTCTGATTGCGTTCTTCTTCCCTTCTCTTGCTGTGTAGCGTCAGGCGCCGCCAACAAGACACTGGTGGTGAATAATCTCGCCTTCAGCGCCACAGAAGAAGTGTTGCAGTCCACCTTTGAGAAAGCTGCATCCATCAGGATTCCACAGAGAGACGGCAGGCCTAAAGGGTGAGTATTAGTTTGGCTAACTTTGTGGATCTGTTGGGTGATCCAAAACAACCTTCTCATGAGCTCCTCTTAATCCTATCGGTGATTATGCACGGATTCGCACGAGAAGCAGAGCCAAAGCACAGTCGAAACAGACTTAGCCCTGTCTGCAGGCGGGTTTTGTCCATGTCCGCTGTGCAACAAGTGACCAAGTAAAATTGTAAATGTAAAAACTGCTATTGTCTTTTATTAATGTTTCTCTTTTTTTCTGCTTCTGTCTCTAGGTTTGCCTTTATTGAGTTTGAAAGCACTGAAGACGCCAAGGAAGCTCTGGAGAACCTAAACAATACAGAAATTGAAGGCAGGACCATCCGGCTGGAGTACAGCCAGAACAGCGGGGGAAGAGATGGCGGTGGCGGCGGCAGGGGAAACTCCGGTACATCTCCAATACTAATACTATCTCTCATAGTTGTGACCAGATGTGATGAGCCAGTGATCTCCCGATCCTCTGTGAAGATTCAAAAGATAGTCAAGTACTGATCAGGTCTCATTAGTGACCTCGTCGTGTGAAAGCTGGTCTTTATGTTCATATCGTGATACTTCTTGTGCTTTCCTCCATCAGGTCCAACAAAGACTCTTTTTGTGAAGGGTCTCTCTGAGGACACCACAGATCAGACCCTCAGGGATTCCTTCGATGGCGCCGTAGGAGCCAGGATAGTCACAGACAGGGACACCGGTTCGTCTAAAGGGTACGTACGAGGAGAGCTCCGTGTCTCAGAGCTTCTCGTGAGCGTCGCTTTGTCTCTGTGGCATATTGTGGGTTCACTTGAGAAGTAGAGTGAAGTCGCAGTTAAACAGACAGCTTCCTGAGTGGAATCTGTCCATGTCTGATGTGAGACAATTTCATATTTCACACGCTAACACGAACTGAAATAGAATAATTTATTTTTTCTGCATTAACAGAATTCTGCTCATTAAAGAGCGTTAGCTGCTGTTCTAACTGAGCAATTCTTCAACAGCTTTGGCTTTGTGGACTTTGACAACGAGAACGACTGCAAGGCAGCAAAGGAGGCGATGGAAGACGGTGAAATAGACGGCAGCAGGGTGACCCTGGATTACGCCAGGCCCAAGGGTGAAGGCGGCTTCCGTGGAGGCAGAGGGGGTGGTGGTGGAGGTCGTGGCGGGTTCAGAGGAGGCCGCGGCGGGTTTGGAGGCCGAGGGGGTGGCAGAGGAGGAGGAAGGGGTGGACGAGGAGGCGGACGAGGTGGCTTTGGGGGTAAGCGATGGTCATGATGGTACTTGGACTTGAGTATTTCAGCTTTGTGTTACTTGCTGGGTATTGAACTGTTGGATTTGTGTTCCCTTTAGGTGGGCGAGGTGGAGGCGGGTTTGGATCAAAACCCCAGGGGAAGAAAATCAAGTTTGATGACTAAATCCTGGATGTAGTTGTGTTTTGAACAGACTCTGGTTTCATCCGTTTCAGAGCTTTTGGACATTCCAGAAAGCATCATTGGTATATTTATCTGTAAAGGGGCCTTTTTAAGCCCCATGTTTAGACCCTTCACCACCTACTTTACCCTCCTGTGCCAGAATGGTACTTCAGACCGTTTCAACTTTTGGTGCTACGCGTAAAAACAGTATGCTCCAAATGCAAACCTGCACCTCTCGTCATTTTACGCTATCTTTTCCACGGGGAGTAAAATGAAGCGGTTTTGCTGTGAAAAGGAAGCTGTGTAAATTTAAATTTCGTTTTACCTTTTGTAAGAAGAAATTACACCTGTAACCATATTTTTGTTTTTATTTTGTTAGGTAAGTTTTGTTGTGTTGCGTCTTTCATAGTCTAATCCTATAAAGCTGCATTGGTTTGGTGGCTAAAGGAGTCGCAGATGAATTCATTTCTCTGTAACATAAAATGTTTAGACTACGTTGACTGGTTTTTGACCTCTCAACATTTTCACCTGAAATAAAACCTTACAAGAGGTCATTTTTAAATATCTATCAGACTTTGTCATTTTTAGGCAGCAAATCAAAATGGTCTTCTATAAATTATGGAAACAAGACTTCTGTATTGGCAATTGGTTGTATAATTAACAAATTTCTGCTTTAGTCTTTAAAAATCAAGATACGATCTTTTAGTTCTAACTAGGCGTTATAGGGTGGTTTTTTTTTGGTAATGTTAGCCTGTTTTCAGCTGAATGACTAGAAGTTTTTGTCTTAATGAATTTGCTTTTCAAATATTAGAGGACATGAGTACAAAAGTCAAATGTACACAAGTTAGAACTTGGTTACGGTGGTGTTGGAACCTAGTGAACTAGACTACACTCTTGCTTTGCTAATTATTTAGTCTGGTTTGCCACGCTAGCAGTGATGGGAAGTGAACTGTTTAGTTTCACTTTAGGGCCTGAAGATGGCACAGGTTGACGAGTTTACTCTGACATCAGTAACATTTGTTCCAAGTAAGTCAGCCTCATGATGGGGCATGAGGAAATGGTGGTAAAGGTTTGGCTCAGAACAGGAAGTTGGGTTGGTTCTTGAGAGATGGGTACACCAGAAATGATATCTTGGATAATCTGCAGCGCTTCCATCACAGTGTCTAGCTTTAAATCGGGTTGACTTTAGTTAATATGGTGGCTGGTCATTTTTGCTCAGCCATTGACCATAAAATCCTTATAAATAAAAAGCTGAGGATAATTGAGATATATTAAAGACGGAAGATAAAACTAGTATTTTCAATACAAGAATAAAATGATTGTCTAGGTGGTGTGATGCTGTTCTGCTCTTTGGATTAAGTGGAAGTTCGACTTGGATCATAGACGTTTGCTTTTTTCTAGTTGACTTTATTCACTGACGAAATTACAGCCAGTCAATAAAATCCTATTCAACAACGCAGAAAATAAAAGATGGGGCACTTCCAAAGGGCTTTGTATGGAGGCACCTGGACCTCTTTGGTTTCTTAAAGACGTTTCGCTTCTCACCCTTAAGAGCTTTGTGAATTCCTGCAGGAATATGGGAGACTAAACTAGCTGTATTGTTGCATAACGAGCTGAAACTACATATGAATACCCCTCCTGAATGAGAAGTTATCCTCTATTGTGTGGGAACCATATTGAATAAATGTGTGTGTGACTGAATCAGTTTGGGAGTCGGGTTCAGAGCTGCATTATAGGTGCTGGAAAGGTGGAACCCGTGGCTGCCACCATAGGTTTTTCTTGTTTGGATTACCATGACCTGGATGACTGAGAACGCGTGGGTGATATCACGGTTTTCACAAGCTCCGTGTCCCACGTTCTTTTAACAACTAAATATTACTTCCTTGTGTCATGCATTCCAATTTTTTCTCTCCCTTTTGCCATTCAACAAGTCAATGTTTCGAGTTTTAGCAGGGAAGGTTGTCCAAGTCCTTGATGTGTGATTGACTTTAAAATAAAATAAAGCAGCAGTAGCTCAGGGGCTACAGCAGATTGTCCAGTAACAGGAGGGTTATAGGATAGAGTGCTGCTGCTGTGTCCTTGGGCAAGACACTTAACCTAACCCACCTAGCCTGATGGGGGCGCTGGTGTCACCTGTGCTTGGCAGCCTTGTCGTAGTTCATCACCACCAGTGTGTGAATGAAGAACCTTCTATGAGTTTAGACGGCAAATTATATAATTTATCACTGATTTTCTTTTGCTGAATTCTTTCTAATAAGTACTGGTGAAATAAATGCCCAAAGACATGACCTTTCATGTTTGCATATTAATCTGTTGGTTAAAAAGTGGTCTCAAGTGTCACCGTTCACCTGAACGTACCCCCCTCCGCTGAATCGGCTCTGACCCAGTGCTTTGGCAGGACCATCCTGTCGGTGACACCGGTAGATGGGACGTCAGGACACTGTCACCTGATGTCTCTGAGAGATGAACAGAGACCTTTGTTCCTGAAGGTGGCAGGCCAGAGGCTCTGATGATGACCCCAATGAATGAGTCCATTTACAGGTTTGTCATCTGTTTTTTAACGCTGACAAAAGGTCACACAATGCCTTGGTCTTTTGTTCCAGGGAGAAATGAGGGGTGAGAAGACATGTCTGTCATATTTGTCCAGGGAAATATGTGTCAGTATTAACACGCTTATCACAGAATGATTTTTTTTACAATAATTTTGTGGGAAAAGGACCACAGATTAGGAAGCTGCTTGTTTTTACAGCACCGTGCAACCATGCATGTTTCTAACAAACGGCTAAAAATCCTAGAACATCTGTCTGGGACGTGTTTTTTTATTATTTAGCACATACCCAGAGACTCAGAGAAAACTTATTGCTGAGTGTGTTTCTGTTATGCGCTTTAGCCTTTTATCATTCTGACCATGAGTCATAACATTCATTTGTGCTAATTAGACATTCATACTAGCTCTCTTCTGACTAAAAATAGTGCAGATTTCATGACAAAGATGGTAATGTGCTGCATGGTGGTGCAGATGTCATCTGCATCCTGTCATGCATGTGTGGGTTTTCTCCAGGAACTCTGGTTTCCTCCTGCAGACCAAACACATGCACGTACGGTTGTTTGGTGAATCTAAATTATCCCTAGTTGTTAATGTGACTGGTTGTATGCCTCTGTTCCTGTGGGCAACCTGTCCCCTGCCTCTGACTGCTGGAGTTTTGGTTAGAGTACATCAGATGTAGTTGTACACTTTTATCCATTATATGGATAAATGTTAACACAATGCGGCATTTATGCACAAATTCCTGTTCCTGCTGTCTGAACCGCGGCTCTTTCTTTAAAAAAAACTTACATTAGTTCACAGAACGCTTAGATTCTCTATATTTTGTGTGGTATCCTGTTGCAGAGACGAAATGTGCAACAGGAAACAGACTGTACTGCTCGTTTTTTCATGTCATCACCTCAAACAATCTTCCCACTGAACGAGTTCACTTTTCAACTTAGTAAACAACAGTTCTTTCTTTTCTGTTATGTTTAAAATGAAAACTGTTGCAATTTTCCGATTTTAAATTAAAAAAATTGTTACTTTTTTGTTTTTGCCAAGGCAATAATGTCTCCATCTTAAACCACACCAGTTAGGACCGTTTATGAGGGCTGCCTTTGGAGGAAGTAGAGATCTAGTGTGAAACTTTGCACCACCATTCAACTGATTTACTGACTAAACTGACATCAAAGACATCTTCAATTAGTTTCAGCAAATATAAAGAAGGTCCTCATCTGACTGCAAAGGGGAAAACAGCCAAATATCATCACCAGGGTGGGAAATTTACCCACGCTCATAGGTCCCTTCGATCAGCAACAATTTCTCCATTTAATCTGTCTGACTCCCCAAAACTAGTGTCTGCTAGGATGTTTGCCCGCTAAAGCGTTTGAGGAAGTCTAATAAGAAAAGAAGCCATAATCTTATCACACAACCACTAAATGACACAAACGGATTTCAAAATCATAATTTAAAAGCTGAAAAGTTGCTATGCGATGTTTAACGTGAAGCTGTGGCTCCGTACCAAAAAGGTTTCAAGCTTACAAACGTATTTGATTTACACAGAACATCTAAAGCCGACACCGTCTTTAGTTTGCAACTTCCCTCGTTTCAGGCACTTTTCCTCAAGCGCATTAACTTAATATCCTTTTGAATGCATGCATTTGCTTATAGATGCATACATACCGGTATACATGTATCAGTTTTGCAAATATTAACCAAACTGATATTACACTCTCTGAGGAGCACTACATGGAGTGGCTGTTTCTGCTCTAGTCGGTGATGTAATGGTGCTTAGTTCTGTCAAAGTGAGTTAAAATTTAAAGGATTATTACAGAATCTGAATTTTTTTGTCTGTAGATAACACCACAGCCATCTTTACTTAGCCTTTTCTAACCTCTGTGATGAAAACTGTCTGAGGATGAACAATCAGACCCAACATTTTCACAAGCTGCCATGACACGCAACAGTTTTAAAGGAAAGCGCCGCCTTTTGTCCTGAACACAAAGCTGTGACTTTCTTTCAGCCTCTTTATGGTTCCTGTATCCAGGCAATATCTCCACTCCCACCCCCAGACAACTCCAACTAAGCTTTATGACATCTAAAGCTGCAGGTGTTCTCCTTGACGCTGCGCTGCTTTGTCAGATCGCCCTGGTCATGCTGGACACAGTAAACGTTAGGTACCTTTTTGGTAGGTTGAAACGGACTCAACGCGCTGATTGATGATACAACATTGTAACAATAGGGATGTTTCAGTTTTGATTTTGGGTCACATCAACCTTGTGTGGGAACAAAGGGGACAGTAACTTAGAGCTTCTGCGCTGCCAAGAGCGCCCTCTACAATATAAATAAGACCTGGTTTCCCCAAATAAGGAAAAAGGAAGTTTTTCATTTATTATTTCTTATGCTGGCCTGTTTGCTTGTGATGGGAATTCCAGCTCTTTTTAGAGAGCCGGTTCTTTTGGCTCAGTTCACCAAAAAGAGCCGGATCTTTCAGCTCGCAAGTGGCTCCTCAGATTTTCTGTTGCTTAAGTATATTTATCACCAACAATAATGCAAAACTATATGTAAAATGATTTACTAATGTAAATAAAAGCAATATATCAAATATTTATCATTTATATGGATTTATTTACGGAACACTTTAAGAAATCTCAACTTTCCGACTGCTGTCGCTCATTTTCTCACTGTCGTCGCACTTTCCTCTCTCGCTCGCCTTTTTCCTCCTCCGCATTCCCTCTCGTCTCCCTCCGCCCGCACCTGCGCTGCTGTGTGTCTGAGTCTGATCCGCCTTCTTCCCTGCCCCTACTGCTCTGTGTGTGGACAGTCTGGACACGCAGTTACACATGTTGGCCTGTGGCTTTCAGCAAAGCGGGGGTGGGGGGGAATGATGGCTCCCAATGACGATCCGGCTCTTAGAGCAGGTTCGTTCGCGATCGACACATCACTACTGTTTGCTCTTTACAGTATGTTGGATATCAGATCAATGGCATTGGCAGACACAGGCAGGTGAAACAGGAAAAATGAGAATATGGTGCAAAAGTTTGTTTATGTCAGTAATTCAAATGCAAAGCCAAATATATCAAGCCTTTATTTGTTATTACTGTGATGATTATGGCTTACGACTTATGAAAACCCCACATTAAAAATCTGAGACAATTAATATTCTGAAAATATTGAATAATCCAGACTCAAAGTGTCAAACTCTGATCAGCTAATGAATCCAGAACACCTGCAAAGGGTTCCTGAGCCTTTAGATGGACTCTCAGTCTTACATGAATTACTGACATTAATAGACTTTTGCACCATATTCTCACTTTTTCAATTTTGCCAAATGCAGTGGAGAGCCTAAGGCTCAGAAGGAATCTTAAGTAAAACAAGGGTGTTATTTAACTTTTGTCTTTTTTAACTGTTTCTCTGATGTACGTTTTGGAAGTTGGGCCAAATTTCCAGCATGCAGTTATTGCAATTCTTCTGACAATAGTAAGGCAAGCAAAACGACAATGAAAGTGCATTTCTCTGCACATATTTTTCTCCATATTTTATCCCTGTAACATCAACACAATTTTCAACACTTAATTTCGGTGATTTGTTTTGGACTCGCACCCAGATTTTGGGAGCGCACACACACACACAAATGCGAATGGTGAACATATTTATTTACAAATGTGCATTCTGATTTTTTCTTTTTACATCTATTATTTACATCATTTAAATAATCACAACCCATCACATGCCCTGACATCCAGGGCTCTATTACACTGTTCTGTCAATCTGTTACTTTAGGTTTAAGAACCCGTCAAACTCACACACATTCGTACCAGCAATACATTTAATTCACAGTGTCATTGTAAACCCTCATCCACATTTAAGTCAAGTATAACAGCCTGTCTAAATCCACAGACAGCATGTATGTAACAAGTATAAAGATGCCTTTCAAAAGGTTCCCAGTAGAAGACATGCAGTAGGGTTCCTAGATCAAGTCAGATATGCGTCAAAGCGATGAGAGCATCAACATCTGCCGCTGAAGAGGCGGTCCAAATAGGAAGCACTAAAAGTGATCACAATCAAATATTTTTGCTTGAATGAGGTAGCGGCAGTTGTTACCTTCTCTGAATGGATAACTGATCATAAAAGAGAACTTAAGAGATATTCTTAAAACTTAAATCCGTAACATCCTATAGATGATGCACTGTTACAAAAAGTTCTGATTTGTCCAAATGCATGATATCACAGAGGAAATGGAAAAAGGAAATTAAAAAGTGGTTTCTTGAGCCTGGGAAACTATCTGTTGCGTGCAACCAATGTGTTCTTAATTCAGTGTGATGCTATCTGATGCTCATCAGATATTTTTTGATGCACAGGAGATACAATATGACATGCACAAGGAAGTCACTTGCATGCACGAGAAACCATTTACTTTCTCCACTGTCTCCCATTATGTCACAGCAAATGAAACAGCATTGTTATTCATCGCTTGAACCTTTACATCGATTTTCTAACTGATTTTTTCAAAAGAGCTCGACTCATTTACTAGGAGACGATAAACAGTAGAAAAAGTGACGGTTGTTCTTTGGCATGCCTCGTTGGTAGAAGCAGTAAGTTGCTGTCTCTGAATTTGAGTGCTGCCACTGTAATTTATTCAAAAGATATAAATACACATCTTAAAATAAAACCCTTTGAAACAAAGCCAAACTAAAATAATTTACTTTAGAAGAAGTTCCTCTAAAATGTGCATTGCTTCTCAGGCGCAGCAGACGCAAGATCAGCCTCCCTCCACATAAAGGAGAGCTTAACTTGGCTTTTGGCTCTCCTGCATCCTACCGCGCCCTCCTTCCCTCCACCATCCTTGAGCTATAGGAGTTCTACTTTGTGCGAGCAGACCAGATCGCTGTTGACCAGATGCCACATGCGCAAGAGGTCCGATGGGAGCAGCTTGTGCACCACGATCATGCTTTTATAGAAACAAGGTTCTCGGTTCATTTTGCTGTTTTTGTTCTTCACCAAGCCAAAAGTCTTAAAAGCGTTGTGTTTTATCGGCGTGACCTGCAGGACCTCCAGACACATGCCTAAGAAGACATCATCAATGGGGTATAGTTCAAGGGTGTCAGCAGCCCAGTGGAGCCTCCTGGCCAGAGTCCCATCCATCAGGAAACCTCCTCCGCCGGCATACGGAGGGTAGAGGGTTTTATTATACAAAGCATTCGGGATGTAATATTTATTGTCCTTTCTACGGATGGGCTTAGCCTGGAAAATCACATCCCCGACCAGCAGGTTCTTAACATGGCTGCTGCTTTCCAGAAACTCAAGAATGTTCTCCACGCTGACAAAGACGTCGTCGTCCCCCTTGAAGACGTAGCGGACTCCGCTGCAGTAGGTGTGGAACCACTTGAGAAAATGAGTCTCCTTCAGAGTCAGGTTGAAGAAGCTGTCCAGGAAGTCCCACTGAAGAATATCCCCGTATATGTAGTCTTCATACTCCACGAGCTTCTGGTGGTTGGCCCTTTCTGCTTCGCTGGAGGGCGTGCCAAGCAGAAAGAGGGTCTTTACGCGTTTGCCGTGCACCTCCTGTTCCTTGCCCCAGGTTTTGCGAATCACGTCTCTACGGTCGTGCTGGGTGGCCACCGATTTAATCACCATGAGCAGATGAATCTCCCCCGAGCACTTCTCCGGGTGGTTGAGGAGCATGGGGAAAAACCGACAGTGCCGATAAAGCATGAACTGTTTGAAGTTGTCCTCCAGGTCATTGAACCACTGCTGGCTGGAGAGGTTGAGGTTGGCGCTGCAGTTGGAGCTGGTCACGTCCCAGGTACTGAGGCCGCTTTCCTCAGTGATCCTGTTCTCCTGCGTGGTGAACTGAGCCTTGGGCTGCTGCTTGTGCCAGCCAGTCTTCCAGAAGCTTTTCATCGGTGGGCGGGAGATGGATTTATCTTCCTCAGCAGCTCCGGATCCCTGGAAAGTAGCAATGCGAGTCTGCCTCTCTAGCGCGAAGGGAGTCCTGACGTTGATGCTCCCCTTCTGGACCACGGTCAGCGCCACCACCGCCAGAAGGAACACGACACTCACCTGCTTGTACACCCTCCAACGATCTCTGTTGCTCATCCTACAGGGAGACAGAAACCAGGAAATCACTTTCAGATTGGGAATCATTTTCTAATGCATCTTCAAACATGTTTTTACAAAGATTTCTGTGTTACAGAACTAAAACAGTGATGTCTCCAACACAACAGGTTACGCACATTTAAAATGGTTCCTGTAAAGAAAAACCACTGTACTGAGCACATTTAGAGCTGGTTTCACAAAACGTAACACACCAACATGTATCAGTGTTTTCCCATGGACACGAGGAATGTTCAACAGATTCTCACATTTCCAACAAGTCATGCTGGGGCTCGTTTTATCTAAGACCACTAAGACATTCCCAAACAGGCCCCTCAACCTTTTGGGGAGGCTTAGCCCCCCCCCCCCCCCCCCCCCAACCAACGGCTGATTCAACAGACACATCCACATCTGAATTAAAATGAACAGAAAGTGAAGATCTGTTTCCTCACATCATTAATATGGAAACAGATGTACAAAACTAATGTGTAAAGGGATAATTGAGGCTGACTTCTGCCATATTCCTTGTTATGAGAGCTCTTGAGGTAACAAAGGTTAATACTGCACTAAAATAAAAAAAAATTGATATAATATTCACCCACGTGGCTATTTATTAAAGTTTATTACAGCTTTAGTTGTTTTAAATTACTTCTATAAATCTGAATATTGCATTTTTTATACACACACACACACACACACACACACACACACACACACACACACACACACACACACACACACACACACACACACATATATATATATATATATATATATATATATATATATATATATATATATATATATATAAGCAATTTGACTCTTTAACCGAAACGAACACATTTATAAATACATTCTCCACTCTTAACATCTTTTTCAGATTTTTAAACGCCACCTAGACAAATGAAAGCGTTAGTATGACCCAGGCGGAGAGAAAGGATGGGACTTACATGCTGCGCTTTGCTCTTCGAGCCGTTTAAACCAAGAGGAACAAGAAAAACCAGGCGAGAAGGATCGTTTCCCTTTTATGTCTGGATTTAAAGCCGCAGGTGAGTTCCGGCCAGTAGAATTAACGCGGAAAGTAGAAGAGATGAGAAGTTTCTGATCCGGTGTGCGCGCGCACTCTGACCGATGCTGAGCGCTGCGGCACGCGCTTATAAAGGCTCCGTAACGTGGAGACACATGGAACAGGATGTGTGTGATCACGCAATGCCGGAGCCTTTAAGACAAAAGCAAGTGCTGCTGGGCTTCTGCTCAGCCTGCCTTTGGCAGGGGCGTAGCACCAAACTCTGGACCCTGTACACTCTCAATGTCATTGGGCCCCATTCGGCACATGTACATAAATGCGGTTTTATTTGTAAAAATAAATAAGTCATAAGTAAGGTTTTATATATGGATTTTTGCCAGCTATTTCTCACTTAAAGGGATATTCCACCCATAAGTACAATTGTGTCTGTTGTCATGTTACCCAGAGTTAGATAAGTGATAAAAAGCATTTTGTAACCAGCCCCGTCAGTCTACTGATCTACGAAAGGCTTGTTGTTCCCATTCACTTACATGTTTTAAGCTAAACTAAAGCCAACTGACTGTTGTCAGATCAGGAGAATGACTGGGCTGGTTACAAAATGCTTTTTATCACTTATCTAACTCTGGGTAACATGACAGACACAACTGTACTCAGGGGTGGAATATCCCTTTAAGGTACATCCAGTTCATGAAGTAACAATTTGAACCCTGACACGTGAAAATTTGATTTCAAAATATTTATTGTTAAACAGGAGACAACTTTACACTCAGAATGAATTCAAATAGGCTACATTACTTCTGTAATGAGAAGGCACATTGGAAATGAAAAGAATTGTTGTTTTTATGCAATACGAAAAAAACGTTGACACTGGCTTCTGGTTCTTGTTATCTAGGCAGCCTTAAGAACAGAAGATGTACAGAAAATGTAAATATGTATTTACATCGCAGTAAATGCCCACTGACGGGCCTTTTTCTTTGCAAAGTCACATACGATATCAAAAAAGTTAACTTGTTTGGCTAGTTGGCTTTCTACTGACAGAATGGCAAGGCTGTTCAGTCTGGGCCATTGCTGATCTCAGGTAGTATTTAACCAGCTTCAACTTGCTGAAAGCTCATTCAACCCCAGCAACTGTTACTGGGAGAGTGCAGAAAATTCTCAAAGCAATACAAAGTTCACCAAAAATGCTCTGTAGCTACATCTTCCAGAAAGCATTAAGGAGCTCAAGAGGGGACAGATTCTTTGGGAATGTAACTTCATATTCTGTGTTGAAGTGTAACACTTCATTTTCAAAGTCTGGTGAAAGATCTGAGTGATATATTTTTGTTAATGCCCTGCATGCTGTTTTTATTTGAGCGTTCGTCATACTTGTCAGCTTCAGAATAGGTGCAAATGTTTCACAAATGTTTGCTGTAGTCTGGAACCTTGCATTCAACGCACTGATGATGCTATCCATTGCAACAAAAAATACACTCCATTGCTTGTGCCACTAGGGAGGCCTCTGTGAGAAGTGAATCCCATTCTCTACGAAGAACCTGCATTTCCTCTTGTAATGCCTTGATGTTTGCTGCTTCGACATCAAGGGAAATATCTCCTGCCTGAAGAATGACATTTCGTTTCTCAATACACTACAAAATCTTCACCCACACAGAAAGAAGGACAATGGCATCAAATGTTTTGAAATACATGATCAAACCGTTTGCCTCAGACTTAACTTCATTTGTCAAGCTGCAGGTGGCTAGAACACGATCTAATGCCTCAAGGATGGAGGGCACGTGAGCTGCCACAAGTCGTACTGCAGCAATGCGGGCACTCCATCGAGTGTCAGACAGATGATGAAGAGAACATCCGGTCTTTTCCTTCAAGAATGCCCACCGCTCTGGGCTAGCACTAAAGAAATTATACAGTCGGTTTACAGAGCCAAAAAAATGCTGATAGTTGTGGATATGGCTCAGCTGCATGGACACCAACCAGATTGAGGGTGTGGGAAGCACAGGGGAGAATGTAGCAAGTGGACTGGCTTTTGAAATAAGAGCCTGCACAACTTTCACCTTCCCAGACATGTTCGCTTCATTGTCATATCCTTGTCCTCTACAGTCCTGTAAAGGTACGCCATTTCATTGCAGTGTTTCTATAATCATTTCAGAAATTTCCTGACCTGTCTTTTTGTAGAAATTGTTGAATCCAATGAACCTCTCAGCTATCTTCCAAAAACCACTGCCTTCTTTTTCATGATGTACATATCTTACCAATAGCACATTCTGTTCTGTATGGGATATGTCTGGGGTTGAGTCACACATGACTGAGTAGTATATTCCATTTTGTCTTTCTTCCAAGATAGTGTTAAGCACTCTCTTGCCACAGAGATTAATGAATTCATTCTGTGACTGACTCTGGACTCCTCCTTTGGGGAAAGCAAACACTGACATAAAGTCTGGTTTTATTTTCCCATCTTTAGTTGGCAACAACAATATAAGGAAACAAATTGACACAAAGGGGGCCCAATGTTTTCTAAAGAGAAACGGGGGAGGGAATCATGGGCCCCTCTCCCCTCTTTGGCCCTGGGTAGTCAGGTCCACTTTTCCCCCCAGTACGACGCCCCTGGCCAAAGGTGACCCATTAGGCTCTTAAATTGACCCATTCTAATAATTCTGCAAACACTGACCCTGCATGGCAACAACCGGAATCCACTTTTAATTTTTTTGTTTATAAAAGGTCGTTTTTTAAAAAGATGTGTTCTTTTTAATTAGGATCCTGACTGGGATCCATTGTGCACACCTGTGTGTGGCTGCTGTGTTGGGTTAGGTTATGCTGGATATATCTACCACCAGCAGCATAATAAATGTAAAACCTTAATCAAGATAGCTTTCTGCTTAAGAAGGATTCTGGAAAAAGACCAGCTTCATCAATTACCAGATTCTTGGACCAATAAATAGGCAGAAACAGAAAATAAAAAACAGAAATGTTTTTTGATTATTTATCTTTATGATTCACTTTTCCCAAAGCCCAGCCAGTTTTATTATATTTAGGATGTAATCTGAATAAACTGCGGCCATGAATCTGTTTTTAAGAGCTACTGCTTTTGAAATGTTTTTACTAATCTTTAGTCAAGAACTCAACGCGTCCATCCTCTGAGGGCTGCTGGGGCACCAGCTGTCACATGGATGACCTTCCTCATCTCATACACACCAGTGGTGTGTCCAGATCTTTTTAAATAAGGTGGGGGCACCCATTCATGTATGGGTGGCACCTTTGACTGTGCTTTCATGGTGGGGTGTCTCTCAAAATCATTAGTTTTTGCAAATTTGCATAATTTGTGAGCTCTGCATTATGCCAGGACCATATTTTCTCTTCTTCTTCTTCTTCTTCTTCCTCGTCTTTGTCTTTTTTTGTTTTGTTTTGTGGTGTTTAAGCCACTTCTCGGTGCATTGCCACCACCATCTGGAGTGGAGCGTGAACCAACGATTCTGGCTCTTGGGGAGTACACATGCTTTTTTCCTCCTCTCCTCCCTATCATATCCCCAAGGCTCTTTGTCTGTCTTTGGGTGTACGACGCTTCTACATTTTTTCTGGAAACTGGAAATTATTAAAAATGGACCTGATCAGCTGGTCTCTCAATGCGATTGACAAAATTTTCTCAATGATGAGAACGGGAGAAGGGGCTCCCGGGTTCCCCTCTGGGACAGATCCAGTTGGGCATATCATGGACTCCTGGAAACAGTGGAACCTGATCTGCTTATCTCAACTGTCTGTAGAGGATTCTGAAGACGTATGGATATTCGTGGTGTTGGTGTCAGGTTTCCTGCTTTTTGGCCTGGGAGGTTACCCGGCTTACTGGAAAATTAACGAGCTGTTGAGGAATATTGGCTCTTTCCTTGAGCTCAGGGATGGATTACACCGTGCTGTGAATGCACAGACTCATATAATTGTCAAGATGAGTCGTAAGCTTGGAACTTTGGCTGAGATTCATGCTTTGGCACAAAAGATGGAGGCTGTCGCCATGGCAACTCTGTCTCCCTATCCCAGCCTGGGCGGGACTGTGAGCTGTGAAGGTCGCTGAATCGTTCCAGGAGTCACTGTGCCCTCTAAACCCAACAACCTCCTCTCCCTGTCCAGACTGAGGTGATGAGCGCTGCTTATCGTGGCTGCATGCACTGATGTGTGGAGAGTCCCCAACCCTACCACCCCACCTAGTGGACACTTATGTTGTGTAATGTCTGAAGTCTGTTGAATCTCTGTCTGAGGAGTTTTTTGCATAGCAAAGCTGCCCTCCCTGTGGAGGGTAAATCTGAAGTGCCTTTTTTTCCTCCACCTGAACCAATCCTCATAAAAACCCTCTGATCTCTATTAAGGTAGCGCAACTCGGGTTGCGAATGACCACAGTCACCAATTCTTGTTATGTGTTTATGCCTATGTATGTACGTCTGATCTCAGAATTGTGTGTACTGAAACTCTAATTTCCCTCTGGGATTAATAAAGTATCTTTGAATTTGAATTGAACTGAATACACACGTGGTTTGAGGGCCCACAGCTAGAAACCATAGTTATAAGGCGCATACTGCCAAATACTGTTCTGGGGTTTATAACCCCAAACCACAAGTAAATTTAGTGGTGTGGCCAATCAGATTCGAAGGGTGGCACGTGCTACCCCAGACCATTCCCTGGTAGAGAACAGAACCTATAGCTCAGTATGAGCAGCTGTCTGCTGCAACTCACTGAGCATTTGAGAAGACAGCAGATAGACAAATTGATCGCCTCCATCTTTTGTGCCAAAAATAAAATTGTCTGTATTTGATATAGCGCCTTCTAGAGTCCTGGAACCCCCCAAGGTGCTTTACAACACAATCAGTCATCCATCCACTCATTCACACACACATCCACACCCTGGTGGTGATGAGCTACATTTTAGAAATCCTCTAAATGGCTGAGGAGCGGGTGCCACTGGGAGGTCCTGATGCTAATGGGCTGTGCTCAGGTTTATCAGGCTGACTTTTCACACTAATCATGCAAATACTGGATTTGAGTGTTTGCAGCACAGAGTTCACATTATTAGTGTGGATGATTAATAGTATGTTACAACATATTTCAAGACTTTCAAGAGGGGTTAATCTTTAACATAATTCACAAACCTCACTTTTTTTCATTTATTGCAAATAATTCAAGGAAACTTTGTCTTTTTCACCCTTCAGTGGAGCAAAATGTTAATAGAGACTCAAACCCTTCATTAAATTTCATGTTTTCTGTGACAAAAACTGCATTCCTATATTTTTACAGTGTAAAGAAAAAAACAAACAGTCCCTCGTGCTTCAAAACAGGAATTTTCTATCGGAACACAGCTGTGACTGAAAAGCTCCTTCCTCTCCATCTCTCTCCATTTCCTGATTTCAACCAGCCATCCTACACAGGCCCATGTGCATCCTGTTGCCTGCTCGTGGTGTTTTTTCCCGTTCTGATTTTCTTTGCCCCTTCGCTCTCAGTAGTTATTTTTTCTCTGCATGCTCTGGAGAGGAGCTAGGTAATGGTGAACTTTGCTGTGGGCACAGATGAGACAATGTAAATCACTAAAAGAAACACACAAAGGACTGTGGTGATAAACATCCTTATTTGCAATCAAAAGCTTTAATCAACCTTAACTAAATGATATGAAGTCTCTAAGGCCTTCAATCACTGAACATGTTCCTGTTTGTTTGGGGAGGATTAAAAATTTGAGTTTGCAGCAGGTTTTAATTCAATCAGTTAACAGTCAGCATTGTTCTCAAAATCCAAAGATCACCTCGACTGTTATGCGGTTAAAATAGACTTGTAAAAAGAAACCGATAGAATTTGCATTAATGGGAAATGAAAACCCCAACTAGCAGGAAAAAAACGAAACCTAAGAAAGTTTCATCAGCGCAATCTGACATTGTCCCCCTTCTGCCACACACCTAACCTGCATCAGTCATACGTTCCACTGGGAAACGGCAAAAGCCGCCATGACTTCACACACCTGGAGAAACTTGAAATAATTTTTGTCAACTAGCTGATGAGGGAACCTCAGAAATGTGCATTTGCATCCCCTCTTCCCTTCAAAGACCCATAGCTCCTCAGTCACCATAAAGGAATTTACAGCTTAGGAAAAAAATGTAGCTTTAGGGGATTTGCCCCCCCAAGCAGACTTCAACCGAGGATCGTCTTCCCCTACAAATCCATACAGAACAAAGGAGCTGTGATGAGGCTGTGCTATGAATGCCCCTTTGAGTTGGATGAGTTCTCCAAGGGGTTAGCACAACAACGAGTAAAGTCCTCCCCCATCAATAAATAAAACAAAAACAAAACTTTTGGGTGATTTTTAAGACGAACATTTAAAGAAAAAGTCAGAATTTGTCGGTTAAGTTTGACCAACTTAGAGTTTGGCAACAACATGAAAAAGATTAATAATCTACTTGATGCTATTCTGACATTTGTGCAATGTTTAATAGGTACACGGAAGCTTCTTGATTATTCTGAAGGAAATTGATGGTGATGTCAACCAGAACCTAAGGTCATCATCCACTAGTTAATTTTCTACACACGTCACAAACAAATTCCTCTTTTCCCCCAAGAAGTGTCAGACGCATTTTGTAGGTCTGCTTAAAGTCCCCACCTCTGCATGTAGCCTCAACGTTCTTAGGGGCTTGATTAGAACGCTGCAACCCACAAAACAAAAGCCGGCTACCTGAAACCCAATTAATAACCTGCAATGGGCTGTTAAAGTGGTTTTCAATGATTTCTTTATATTTTGTTTCAAAACCTTAAAGCAACACTAGAGTTTTTAACACTATTGATTTCAAACTGCTTTCAGTGGTTCTTGAGCAACTTCATATTGGAGAGCCCTCTGTAGCCCTGCTGGTTCAGGTAGGGACACATGGGAGCTCTCTGCCTGCTTTAGCAGATTACAGAGCTGGTAGCTAATATGAAGGCTAGCAGTTAGCTTTGTCAGTTTGCTAACGTCAATAAAAATACAAGAAGACGACGTTTTCCTTTATTTGTTGGCATCATGGCGGAGCCTGGAAGTAAAAGTAAGAGAGTAATGTATTTGGAGGGAAAGCAAAGAGCTCAAACCAGAGTGAACATCAGTGCTGCCTGCTCTTGTTGGAAGGAGCTAAAGGAGGCTATGGTTACTGGACTTGTAAGTAATAATAAGTAGTAATATTTTTTTGTACATGAGAGTATTTACTTCATGGCTTATTTTGTATCAGTTGGCTTATTTTTACATTAGCATATTGTTAGCGCTAGCTACAGCAGGGTTGTTTACGACCGTTGTAATTCCACTTTCAACCAGTAGGAGGGATAAAAGGGAAAATTATTAAGTGTTGCTTTAAAGTGACTTTAGAAATAACATGAGAGTCAAGCCTCCACTGGGATTGGCCCTAGTGTACACATAGTGAAAATGCCAGTGCTTTTATTCTGAAGGTAATGATTAGTTTGTGAGAACATTCCTGAAAAGGTCAGAAATGTTAAAGGTGAATTCAAAACAGGCTGTGAACATGGGTTTGTTTGACGAGCAGCCACTTTGACCTTCAACACTTAAGGGGACTGATGCACTTTGCAAAACAACGTGAGAGGAAAGTCAAGCGGTAGAGGGTGAGGGGGCTGACCCTGCTCTAAAGTAGTCTTCACAAGAGGAAACAGGAGGTTGAGGAGACAAATGCTCTCTTCTTTGTTGGTGTCATGTTTTATCAGCATGGCTGTCTGCTGATACACAACCAAAACGGGAGCTGGTAACACCGATTACTCAGTGCTCCTCAGAAAACCCTGGGAAAACTTTTTCTAAACTCTCTCTTCTGAAGTTTTACCTCCATCTTTTTTATGATAGAAGAAAGTTCTTTTTCCACAAATGGTTCCAGCAGTTTAGGATCAGGGTTACAGCCGACGGCCACCTGGCTGCATGTGCGTCAGTCTGTCATGTGTAGCCTGTTTCCTCACATTGTGCTGAGGCACACCGGCTGCATCCACACTCCATGTGTCATCACAGGGGGGGTGGGGGGGTGGCACAGCATGAAGCATTACCACCACCTGCTCTGCCAAAACAATCACACACTGATGCTTTTATTGCATCAGGTTGACCCATAATCCCACGTTTTCATTATGAATCAGATGACATGTAAATGATGGATTTTCAGTTAGTTTGGTTCAAGAGCAGCACGAGCTATTCCTGATCATCAGGATGCTGAAGTTTTCCTGTTTGGTGTTTCTGAAGCAAAAAGGTTAATTAGTGGGATGGTCAGGATGACGTCATAAGTGATAAGTCACTTGAGCGGCACACCGTGGAAAAGATCACAAGGTTGAGTCATATACCTCCCAAAGATTAGTTCCACATTAAAAGACTTGTCAGAGCTCCTACACCTTAATTTTATGGATGTTACATCGATAAGTGCCTTTTCCACCCACTTTTTAATGCAGGAATAAAAGCAAAATTGCATTTAAGTCTAGTAATAAAATACACATAAATAAATAACCTGTGTTTATTCTAGAAGCCACAAACCGTTGGAGCTCTTTCAGTTGTATAACCTGAACTGAAGCAAGCAAAACGGACTAAAAAGACCAGCAAACAGGTGACGTGGCACAAATATAATTCAAATCACAACGAGAAAATAAGAACATCATCTATCCATCTGCACAAGAACACAAAATTAGCACATACTTTTATATATAATATACAACACAAGTTAGAAGAGAAAATGAAGAGAAAATGTAGAATTTAAGAGATTTACAAAAAATAATTCAAGTTTTCTGAGCACATGCACGACATTTTTAATACGATGTAACACAAGTTCTAACCAGAGGAGTCACACAGAGATCTGCATGTTTCCTGGAGAGTCAGATAAAATGATGGTTTTTACATTTTAAGCTCAACCAATACAGTCACAAATTATTCATGAAGAAGTTTTCCACAAGAGTTCAAATCAAACTAAAGCACACCAAAACATTCATGGTCATTTTATTCTTTAGTACTCTTTCAATTGTCGTATCAAGTGCATAAAGAGCACATTTATAGATCTAATAAATAAACAAATTATTTTATTTCTTTATTTCAACCAATGACTGAGGACACATCCGAACACACAACACCAAAAAGAAAATCTGAAATTCACGGACTTCGAGGTCCACAGAGTTGCTAGTTGTGATTATGGTCAGCCTTATTATGTTACCAGGGTAGTTTGTGCTGCAGCCAAATGGAGGAAATATTCAGAGCCACAATCCTACACATTGTTCCACCCACTCCTCTTCCTCCTCTTGCTGCTCTAGCATTCCCCTAACCGTCTCTGTAGGCCTGAGCCTCGATTCCAACCCGGGGAGGGGGATGAAGTTTCAGGAAGCCCCACGCTTCTGGGGAGATAGCGCTTGCCTATGGTGACAGCTCCCTCTCACCTCCTCTTGGACTGCCTGCCTGGAGATGGGGAGAAAAGAAGAAATGAAGGAGACAGAAAGTTGGGTGGGACGTCTACCCCAAACCAGTTCATAAAAAAAAAATAAATACAAATCCTGGGAAATCAAAGGTTTAAAAATAAAAAAACTAAACTTTTTTTGGGCATGTTGTATTATTTTCTCAGCAAAAACACATCCAAAGCATTTATTTGACTTTATGCTTGAATCTGCAAATGCAGATGGCAGGATGGGGTAGGTTTGGGTCATCAGGTCTCGCTCCTCCCCTGTATTGTAAACACCAATGCACACTTTCCCTAAGTTGCGAGCAGCAGGGGACTTAATCCCCGCAGTTTAGAAGAAGTGATTCCTTTATTTTATCTGGTCTGCACTTTTGATAATGCTGTAAAAGATGAAAATGCATTTTTGGCTGTGAGACGTACAGAAATTTGTTCAGTCTTCCTAAGGAAGAGTTTAATCGTCAGGAATGGTTAGTTTTTATTGTCGGGAGTTTTTCAAAAACTGAGCAAGAATGTGTGATCATAATTTCACAGACTGTTTATTAAACCTTCGCCAGTACCAGAAAATCGTTCAGATAAATTATTTCTTCAAACTGGCTCCTCCTTGAACCGTCACCTTATCGTGGTGGAGGAGTTTGAGTGCCCTAATGATCCTAGGAGCTATGTTGTCTGGGGCACTTAGTGCCCCTGGTAGGGTCTCCCATGACAAATTGGTCTTAGGTGAAGGGTGAGACAAAGAACGGTTCGAAGGATCTTTCATGGCGGTTAAAACGAAGAGTCGGAGTACCCGGCCCGGAGGGTTACCGGGGTCCCACCCTGGAGCCAGGCCTGGGGTTGGGGCCCGTGAGCGAGCGCCTGGTGGCCGGGCTTTCGCCCATGGGGCCCGGCCGGGCCCAGCCCGAACCGGATACATGGGCTCGTCCAACTGTGGACCCACCACCCGCAGGAGGAACATGAAGGGTCCGGTGCAATGCGAATCGGGTGGCAGACCAAGGCGGGAGCCTTGGCGGTCCAATCCCCGGACAAGAAAACTAGTTTTTGGGACATGGAACGTCACCTCGCTGGCGGGGAAGGAGCCGGAGCTTGTGGCAGAGGTTGAGCGGTACCGGCTAGATATAGTCGGACTCACCTCGACACATTGCATTGGCTCTGGAACCCGAGACCTGGAGAGGGGTTGGACACTCTACTTTGCTGGAGTTGCTCCGGGTGAGAGGCGGAGGGCTGGGGTTGGCTTTTTGTTAGCCCCGAGACTCTCTGCCTGTGTGTTGGGGTTTACCCCGGGGGACAAGAGGGTAGCTTCCTTGCGCCTTCGGGTCGGGGAACGGGTCCTGACTGTTGTTTGTGCTTATGGGCCAAATATCAGTTCAGAGTACCCACCCTTTTTGGAGCCCCTGGGACGAGTGCTAGATAGTGCTCCATCAGGGGACTCCATTGTCCTGCTGGGGGACTTCAATGCTCACGTGGGCAATGACAGCTTGACCTGGAGGGGTGTGATTGGGAGGAACGGCCCACCTAATCTGAACTCGAGCGGTGTTTTGTTATTGGACTTCTGTGCAAGCCGCAGTTTGGCCATAACGAACACCATGTTCGAACATAAGGATGCCCACCGGTACACTTGGTACCAGGGCAGCCTAGGTCACAGGTCGATGATAGATTTTGTAGTCGTATCATCTGACCTGCGGCCGTATGTTTTGGACACCCGAGTGAAGAGAGGGGCGGAGCTGTCAACTGATCACCACCTGGTGGTGAGTTGGATCAGATGGCAAGGGAACATGCCGCGTAGACCTGGCAGACCCAAACGCATAGTGAGGGTCTGCTGGGAACGCCTGGCAGAAGAACCTGTCAAGACGGTCTTCAACTCCCACCTCCGGCAGAGCTTTGACCACGTCCCGAGAGCAGTGGGGGACATTGAGTCCGAGTGGGCCTTGTTCCACTCTGCGATTGTCGAGGCGGCTGTTGCTAGCTGTGGTCATAAGGTGGCCGGTGCCAGTCGTGGTGGCAACCCCCGTACCCGCTGGTGGACACCAGAGGTTCGGGGAGCCGTCAGGCTGAAGAAGGAGGCCTACAGGGCGTGGCTGGTCTGTGGGTCTCCGGAAGCAGCAGACAGGTACCGGATAGCCAAGCGGGGTGCAGCAGTGGCAGTTGCCGAGGCAAAATCTCGGGCGTGGGAGGAGTTTGGTGAGGCCATGGAGAAAAACTATCGATCGGCTCCAAAGAGGTTCTGGCAAACTGTCCGGCGCCTCAGGAGAGGAAGGCAGCAACTCGCTCACACTGTTTACAGTGGGGATGGGGAGCTGCTGACGTCAACTGAGGCTATAGTTGGACGGTGGAAGGAATACTTTGAGGAGCTCCTCAATCCCACCAATGCGCATTCCGAGGAGGAACCAGAGCTGGGAGGCCTGGGGATGGACTGTCCGATCTCAGGGGCAGAAGTTGCTGAGGTAGTCAAACAACTACACAGCGGCGGAGCCCCGGGGGCGGATGAGGTTCGTCCTGGGTATCTCAAGGCTATGGATGTCGTAGGGCTGTCATGGTTGACACGTCTCTACAACATTGCGTGGTCATCGGGGGCAGTTCCTAGGGAGTGGCAGACCGGGGTGGTGGTCCCCATCTTTAAGAAGGGTGACCTGAGGGTGTGTTCCAACTATAGGGGGATCACACTCCTCAGCCTCCCTGGAAAGGTCTACTCCAAGGTACTGGAGAGGAGGGTCCGATCGATAGTTGAATCTCAGATAGAGGAGGAGCAATGTGGTTTTCGTCCTGGCCGTGGAACTGTGGACCAGCTCTATACCCTTGCAAGGGTGATGGAGGGGGCATGGGAGTTTGCCCAACCAATCCACATGTGCTTTGTGGATTTGGAGAAGGCTTATGACCGTGTCCCCAGGGGTACCCTGTGGGGGACGCTCCAGGAGTATGGGGTGGGTGGCTTTCTGTTAAGGGCCATTCAGTCCCTTTACCAGAGGAGCGTGAGTTTGGTCCGCATAGCCGGTAGTAAGTCGGACCTGTTCCCAGTGAGGGTTGGACTCCGCCAGGGCTGCCCTTTGTCACCGGTTCTGTTCATCACTTTTATGGACAGAATTTCTAGACGCAGCCGTGGTGTTGAGTGTGTCGAGTTTGGTGGCAGGAGAATCTCGTCTCTGCTTTTTGCGGATGATGTGGTCCTCCTAGCTTCATCCAGCTCTGACCTTCAGCTCTTGCTGGGTAGGTTCGCGGCCGAATGTGAAGCGGCTGGGATGAGGATCAGCACCTCCAAATCTGAGACCATGGTTCTCGACCGGAAAAGGGTGGCTTGCCACCTCCGGGTCGGGGGAGAGGTCCTACCTCAAGTGGAGGAGTTTAAGTATCTCGGGGTCTTGTTCACGAGTGAGGGTAGGAGGGATCGGGAGATCGACAGGCGGATTGGTTCGGCGTCTGCAGTGATGCGGACGCTGAGCCGATCTGTCGTGGGGAAGAGGGAGCTGAGCCAGAAAGCCAGGCTCTCGATTTACCGGTCGATCTACGTCCCAATCCTCACCTATGGTCATGAGCTTTGGGTAATGACCGAAAGAACGAGATCGCGGATACAAGCGGCCGAAATGAGTTTCCTCCGTAGGGTGGCCGGGCTCAGCCTTAGAGATAGGGTGAGGAGCTCGGACATTTGGGAGGGACTCGGGGTAGAACCGCTGCTCCTCCGGATCGAAAGGAGCCAGTTGAGGTGGTTTGGGCATCTGGTCAGGATGCCTCCTGGACGCCTCCCCGGGGAGGTGTTTCGGGCATGTCCTGCCGGCAGAAGGCCCCCGGGTCGACCCAGGACACGTTGGAGAGGTTACATCTCCAATCTGGTCCGGGAACGCCTTGGGGTCCTGCCGGAGGAGCTGGTGGACAAGGCCGGGGAGAGGACGGCCTGGAGCTCCCTAGTTGGGATGCTGCCCCCGCGACCCGGACCCGGATAAGCGGAGGAAGACGAGACGAAACTGGCGTCATTCCAACAATAAAATCACCCGATGGAGGAGCCAGAGTGGTGGTTAAAACCAAAATGTTAACAGCTAACCTCTCGCAAGAATGGTTACAATGTTTGGTGTGTGTGTGCGTATTCCTAAAGCTGCTTTCTTTTTCTTCATGCTACATTATATAAGGTTACATTATGCAATGGGTGGAATTCACACGGGTGGAGGCGGGATTTCATCAAATAACTTGTATTTTAGAACAAATTACGTCTCCATAAAGCCAATGGTAATATTTTATTTCATACATGGGCCTATCATTGCTCTGAAAAGTAGCATGATACAGGTTCTTAAAAAAATACTCCTTTAAAAATATTTTGTACGTTCATTCTGTGTATTTTTTCTAACTCCAACACAGCAAAAGAGTTGTTTTACCTTGTTTTACCACCCACAGAGACGATGGGGTCTACACACTGGATCACGCATGGGACTGCGTTATCGGCGATGGACGCACGGGCAGCAGAGGACGACGCCGTCCTCTTCTGCCCGCGGATAAACAGAAAAGGAAGTGATGCCGCCAACAGCGGCGAGCTCTGAGGGAGGCTAAAGCGATAGCCAAAACGTCAGCAAAAACAAGGTAAAACAACTCTTTTGCTGTGTTGGAAAAAGAACCAAGTATGCATCTTGTTTTATTTGCCAAGATATCTAGAGAGACCAAAGCAGAAGCAAAAGGATTTAGCTCTCCAGGTCAGTCTTGCAACGCTCCACTGGAGCCTCAGCGGGTCTACCATTGAACTGAGCAGTTTTGTGTCTTGCCAACAACAGCGCACTATCGGTTTGGTAGGCGGCGTTAGCACCAGCACTGCAATGGGGGGAAAAACAAAAATGGCTGCAGTTCATTTGAAACAGCTTTGGCATCAACTTTGGACTATTAGACGGGCTTTTCTTTGAGTCAAGAGCAGATAGAAGTACTTTAGTTCTTTATTTAGAAAAAGGACATACTTGCATCTATGGCGTTTGGTCGACTTCCCTGTTGACTGACATAAGGTAAATGGCCCGTGTTTGTATAGCACCTTCTCGGGGTTCTACAACCCCACACGGCGCATCACAACACAATCGGTCACACACATACTGTATTTAGCTGTGAGTACATCACATTGTTTGTTGTCCAGTTTGAAAGTGAGACGTAGATTGAGATCTTGGCCAGATTATGCATTCACATATGTAGGATGGCTTGCCAGGATAATGTTTTTTCACTGTGGATTAAAATTTTCCAGCTTACTGTGAAGAAAAGGGAAGGCGTCTTCCACCAAAGAGACAAAAACTCGGATTCCTTACCGATATCATCAGTGAGAACAGGAGTCGCAGTCCTTGAGTACTTCTTCCTTATCTTCTTGTTGCCTGGCAACAAACCTGTCATCTGTCATCACATCCGGCCAGCGTGGCTGACCTGTCTTGACTAAGATAATGCTGAATATTCCACCCAACAGCAGAGCCTCTTCTTGTTTGCACTAACAGGGTCAGTTCTAGCTCTCCTTTGGTAAAGTCAGCGTCACACTGTCTATAGAATAAAGGTGGGCCTTACTTCTCACTGTGTGGTTTGGTGTTCCCTCTCTTCAGTCACACCAGACCTCAACTAGCAGCAAAGATGACTTAAAGCTTGACTGGAATTCAAGTTAATATAAATCTAAATAATTTAGCCCCAAATGCTCTCTGTAGACTTGTGTGTCTGCTTGCTGTTTCATGAGCTGAGCCATGATTAAAGGAAGCTATTCGCTTATGTCGGACACTTTCCAGACCTCAAACGTACAACCCACTCGCAGGAGGATGTTGTGGATTTGAGAGACCATTAGGCGCTATTACAAGCTTTATGGTCAGAGGTACCGGGTGGAAGAGCCGGAAGAAATCGCTTATGAAATGCAGTTAAGATGCATGAGAGCATGGGGAGATGCTATCACCATGCTAAGAGCACCAGATCTTGTCTGCATTGTTTCAACTTCTCTGCATGATACGACATGTACGCGCTAATAAAGCCAGTTGGATCCGACAGACTGTTGACTTTTTTCAGCAAAAACTTAACGCAATTTGCTGTTTTTGTTTGTTTCTGGAAAATAATTGGATAAAACCCCAACAATGATAAGTTGTTGCCTTGTTCTTGCCCTTCTTTTAGTCTTCACAGAAAACAAAGCATGTTACGTACGTCTGTAAATGAGTTTAGCGTTTTTATTTCTTCTTAAAGTCTTGCATCCATTAAAGACACAAATCCTAATCCTCTTTGAGATGTGGGAACAAATAAGATTAAGAATTTTCTGACATAATGCTTTGGCGTAAACACACTCAGACGGACTCTTTTTTTCACTGAACAGTCCAGTCTGAGTGAGTGTGAACAAACTAGTCTGATGTCTAGATTTAGGAACTTTACAGGCTGAGTATCGTCATCAGTGGAGAAATTCTCCAAACAATGTGAGGCCAGATTTAGTTACAGACTCAGATCAACTGTAATTTAAGATAGGAGAAACTGAGAAATGGGAAAACCAGACTCTTGGTGCTACTGCCTCATACCATGATGAGAGCAACCAAAATGTACGAGATGTTGCCCGGCCAAACAAGAACCAGAACTAGGAACCAGAGCACCCTGGTGAAAAGTGGGCTACTGGAACAAAGCGGAAATGGGGGCGATGCGAGAACCTGAATCTGTTGGAATGCTACTACTCCAGTAACTCTAGCCAGAGGTGTTGCGTGCAGAGAAAGTACAAAGAAGGGTTACTTTGAAACCCACGTTCAACCTTAACAGCCAAACAACTAGTTGCTCAGCGTTCCAACACCCACAAACATAAACTAATCAAAACACCAGACAGCTCAGTCCAGAAACGTGCAGCTCTAGGAACAGCTAAGATACTGCAGAACCCTCATGCTCCCAGGCCTCTGGTAGAGGACCCCACCACCCGTGGAGGGTGAGATTGGATTTATTAAGTAAAAACATACGTACATAAAACAGATCAGGTGTGAAACACAGAGAAGATAGGTTTGGAAAATTTTAGTGCTGTTTTACAAAGATGCTCCTGAGATCTGATGTTTAATTATGATTAAATGTCAGCAATAACTTTAATCAAGTAAAAAAAAAAAAAAAAAAAAATCACAATTTATCAATTGTCCAGTAATTTTTGCTATAATATGTTCATTTGGTAGCATCACTGTCAATGTGGATGTTCGTACGACTTCATAAGTGTAGATATTTCATTTGCATCCTGCACTTGGAAGACCTGTTTTCCTAATTTTTAACAGATAATGTAACATAAGTGTAATTTTTACATGCTGAATCCTCTTTGCTGTTAAAAGTCAGAGATTCTGCTTGTGAAAAGCTGTATTTGTCCATTAAACAGACATTATGACTCGTGAATCACTTCCTGAGTTGATTTCCCATCATTAGCAGATGCTTACCTCCTCCTTCTCCTTCTCCTCCCCTTCTTCCTGTGGAGCTGGTAGAACCGGGCCGGTTGCTCTGCTGCGGCTCGGATTGTGAAAACTGGGGTGCCAGGTTGAGCCTGCCATCCCTGTGAGCTCTGTTCTGGTTGTCTGTGGTGTCGGGTGTGCGGGGAATCTTGGGCTTGCTCAAAAGCTCTGGGGCATAATCCCCCCTGGAGATGAGAGGAGAAAATGGAAATGTTACATATTGTTTTGCTCTAATTCTAGATTATGAGATTAAACAACAATCACCTTGGGTAAAATCAGACATGTGAAATTAAACTAAGGTGGGAGATGAGTGTAGACCACTGAGACATTTCCTTCTTTAAGAGTTAAAGAAAGAAAATGATCTTTTACACAGCACATCTCAAGATAAAAATCACAAGGTGCTTCACAAGAACAAAAAAAGTTAAAAATATTTTTTTTAATTGTAAAAGAATGGTTAAAATGAGAGAAAAAAAAACTGTGAATAAAAGATGCAAGGAAAAGGCGGGATCCCGGGAAAGGCGGAGTTGGTAGTTTGGCTGCTTTTAAAGGAGACCACCGAGTTCACTGATCTCAAGCTCAGGGGTCGAGAGTTCCAGGTTCCAGAGTTAAGTAAAATATTGTTTACAGCTCAGGTTTGCAGACTCAGTTAGATGTTTTAGCTGCATTTTAGTCCTATTATGCTTATTTACTTTTTGCATTTTGTTCAAAGAAGAGTCGTGTTCTTATTCCATGTGATTTTTATTCATCATGAGGTGCAGCCATGACCAGATTCAGGTTCATAAAGAATGTATGGCTGTCCTGACTGACCTTGTGCTTGACATTTAATGGTGTTCATTTCAGTCGATACTTCTATCTCTGGTTACAACCAATAATGATCTGATCTATATTTAGTGTAATGATACGTGTAAAATGCACAGGATCCCACAGCTGCAGCCTTTTCAGAATAATATCAGGGTATCTGCAGGTTTAAAGAAGGCAAGTTAAAGACTTTAAGGACCTTTTTTAAGGTTTCTCAAATGGAAAAAGGCATGTGACCACCTTTCCAATAGTTTTGTCCAAACCTTTATTTACTTAATGGTCTAACAAATAACACAAGCACGAAAATAATTGCTCTGCAGAGGATGAAAGTCTTTGTATTTACTAAAACAAATTCTGCAGGACCACTAAACCTGCACTTGCCCATGGCTAATGCACCCACTAGCTACAGTGGCTAATAGAATAGAATAGAAAATAATAGAATAGACTTTATTGATCCCACTGTGGGGAAATGCACTTGTTACAGCAGCACACAGTACAGGCCAAACATTTGGACACACCTTCTCATTCAATGTGTTTTCTTTATTTTCATGACCATGGCCATTTAAAAAGGCGCCAACAAGTGCTAAACACCTCTGGGAACTCCTTCAAGACTGTTGGAAAACCATTTCAGGTGACTACCTCTTGAAGCTCATCAAGAGAATGCCAAGAGTGTGCAAAGCAGTAATGAGAGCAAAGGGTGGCTATTCAGAAAAAAATAGAACATAAAACACGTTTTCAGATGTTTCACCTTTTTTGGTTAAGTACATAACTCCACATGTGTTCATTCATAGTTTTGATGCCTTCAGTGAGAATGTACCAATGTAAATGGTCCTGAAAATAAAGACAACACATTGAATGAGATAGGTGTGTCCAAAATGTTGGCCTGTACTGTACACTTAAGAAAATAATTTGAAGGAAAATAGTAGCAAAGGTACACGTATATGCACATAGGCAGTAAGCTAGTATTGTAACCTTCGACCACTAAAAACCACAAATAAAATTGAAAAACGTGGGTTCTATAACTTTGCAGCATACTGTAAGTAACACAGACATACTATGTAAATCAGGTATTGCACAAGTATTGAACACATACTGAGTACTGCATTGATGTTTTTGTGTACCAGGATAATGCCAGTACCAGTTAAACTGAAGAGTCATACACTCTTACTGCAGAGGGGATGAAGGACCTACTGTTTTACATCTAGGATGTCTCAGTCTGCTACTGAATATGTATACCTGAAAATAGGCCCCTACCACACACACCCCAACGGATGTTGGTGGTTTTTCTTATATCAGTCTCATACATAAAAATGCAGAACACCAATGAGAAATTCACATTTATTGGGTCTGTGATATTTTTAGACCCTCCAGACTCTAGATTTAAGGATTATTTGTTGTTTTTGAGGATTTTAAGGCATTAAGTATGGAAAATCTAATTTAAAGGTGCATGAAGAAAGAACAACATCATGCAGTCACATTTGGGTACAGCAGTCCATGTTTCAAAACGAACATATCCACTCTCAACTTGAGATACTTTTAGAGCTAGCTATTTATTTCTAATTCACTGTTCGCATTGTTAGCTCAGTGTTAGCCTGTAGTCTTCTTTATCCAATATTAGAGTAAAACAAAACGTTGCTGTGGCATCTTAGGGGTACAAGAAATAACTTCTGGGTCACTCCTGTAACTGGCTTATGATCTTCACACAATACTGCTGCGTTTTGCTGGATGGTGCTGATCTGATAACAAATGCTGGTGCAGTGTTTGTGTTGAAGGTGTAGCAACTTGTGGGCTTACATATGACTGGCTCTGGATCAAGAAAGTATAGAGTTGGGAGAGACAGTAAACTGTAACTATGTCCCTTTGTGGCCATTTTGAAAGGAGAAAAACTATAAAGTAAATGGCCTGTATTTGATATAGCGCCTTCTAAAGTCCTAGAACCCCCCAAGGTGCTTTACAACACAATCAGTCATGCACCCATTCACGCACACATTCACACCCTGGTGGTGATGAGCTACACTGTAGCCACAGCTGCCCTGGGGCACACTGACTGGTCCCTCTGAACACCACCAGCAGGCAAGGTGGAATATATGTGTCTTGCTCAAGGACACAATGACAGCAAAAGACTGGGCGGGGCTTGAGCCTGCAACCTTCAGTTTCCGGGGCGAGTACTTAACTCCTGTGCCACCATCGCCCCAACAACTAACAACCCGTTAGCTGGATTAGAAGAAAATCTGTTTCCATGTAACCTTCCCTCTAACATGATCGAAACATTGGACTGTTTTGTGATTATTTCACAGTAAAATTCTTACTTATTGCTTCTTTAAGGCTTTTAAAACTTTTAAAGGATCCTTAGATACCCTGTAAAATCCCTGCAATTTGCATAAATTACTTTTGAACTTCCAATGTGAATCATTTTAGTTTAGACCTACTGTATATCAGAGCAAAGGGAAGTTTTCATTATGCTTGCATTTATGCAGGTAGACCACTTAAAATGTGTGCATACTTCTACTTTTCCTGATGAAAAACATGCACTTTTTGCAATCCTGGAAAAAACACAGAGATGCAAATCTGCAGTTATGCCTGAGAAACAGTATCATGGTGCTTTTATGCATCCCATTACAAGGCACTGAGCTGAAGTCCCCTAATGTCCTTATCAAGCAGGAGCCAAATGGCCTACATCCTGTGCAGGAATCCAACACCGTATCGAAAAGAGTGGATTTCATTCGTGCATCTGGCTCCTACAGCTGATAATATCTGCCACAGCTGAGTGGGACCAACCATGATACTTTCTCCAACAGGCTAAATATTTGCACCAAAATGCAAAACGTTGAATACAATCCCCCAACTTCCTTATTTCTGGGCATACAATAAACAACCAGGAGATGAAAAGATTATGGTGTGGCAGCTGATGAGTGACCAGTCTGACTGATGTGTTTATTAGTCTAAAAAAGCCACCTGCTTATGTGAAATTTGCCAAGTTTCTGGGTTGCTAAGATCTCATTCTGCCTGACGTAAATTCCCTTTTCTTTTCTGTGTAAAGGACTTGTCATTCAGACAAATTAAATTGGGTTGTTGAGGTTAAACCCAGCCAGGTTGTATTGTGGAGGTGTTTCACATTCCTGGAGGATGGAAGGAGGGTTTCCTTGGACTCATTACTCTTGGCGGGATTTTGGAGTCATGTTCCTCCAGGATTTAAAAGAGAGAGTATGTGGGGTGGGATTGAATGGGCCTCTTTGTAGATGCAGCTCGTTTAAACGCATGTCACAGTCGCACACGCCAGCTTTAGCAGTGCTGAATCACCCATCAGCGTCCAACGCTGATGCCAACTCTTTCCACAGACACACACTCACACGTGAGACATGTTTTTTAGGCTTTTGATAGAATTTGCATAAATCGTTTAAGTAACTAAACGACAATGTGTCAAATATCGGAAGAGCTGTTTTATTCAATTATACGATTTTATTGACAAAATACGTTATTTAAAAAAATAGGTGCTGCATTTTTTGTACATATTAGGAAAGAGCTGGCAGAAACTATTTCTGACCCCAGAAATGATCAATATGGTTGTAGTTTTATTGAAAAAACATTTAAATTTGATGTTCCTCTTTCCGGTGGAGGAAATTTAGACGAATATCATTAAATACTTTGATGAGTGCAGTCTCAGTGCTGTGGTGTTGTCCAAAGCCTGACTGGAAACTATCTAGCAGGTTTGTCTCTAAAAAGTTGTTCAACTGGATCATAACAGCTTTTTCAATAATTTTCCCAAATGAAAGGGAGATTACAGATTGGTCTGTTGTTATTCATCACAAAGAGATCTAGTTTTCCTTTCTTTAGAAGAAGCTTAACAGCAATGTAGAGAGGGTAATTATGTAAGTATTTGGGTGCTTTTAAAGCTTAATATAGTAAGCTTTAAAAGCAAATTAGTTTTTTTGTGCACGCCTGTTACCTGGAGACACACAAACTACTACAGGTTCAGCAGATATCTGGTTGTAGATCTGTGTTTACACTGAGAAACTTCTGAACAAAGTACAAGCAGGTAATGGCAAAAACAATACTTTGAGCTAACAATGCTAATGGTGAAGCAAATGGTCAGCTCTAAAAGTATCTCAAGCTACTTTTTCAATTACCATCAACTGGATATTACAGTGAAATGTATTTATCTATTTATCAACTTACTGTGTGTGACTTAGGGGTTGACCGATTTAGTGGTTGGCGGACTAATTGGGCCGATATTTAGCATTTTTTCATCATTGGCATCGGCCGATAATCCTCTTTAGTAGAGCCAATTTAAAGTCAGGCACCTCCGCAGGCAGCCTGCTGCTGCTGGAAGCCGGTGAAGAATCCCAAAGCAAAATGAGAGAATTTAACTGAGGAAAAAGTAAGGCTTCTCTTTTGTGTTTCAAAACTCTGCAGCTGTATTTTTAGTGTGAATTAAAAGTAAAATATGAAATAATACTTAGCTGAGTGAAAGAAAAAACGAGCCGTAAGAGCCGGTAACTGGCAGAATGCTATCAATGCTAGGCTGTTAAGAACTTTAGAGACCTTAAACTCTCAGCTGCTTAACATATTAGCTCCAGTTTTATAAATGTTATTCTTTTCCTGTATGGTAGTCGGAGAATTTCCCTCAGTGCACGGAATAGAGGAGAGTAGACTCCAGCAGCGTTGTGTCTGTCGCTGTCGTTGTGTCCTTGGACAAGACACTTAACCCACCTTGCCTGCTGGTGGTGGTCGGAGGGACCGGTGGCGCCTGTGCTCGGCAGCCTCGCCTCTGTCAGTGCGCCCCAGAGCAGCTGTGGCTACATCGTAGCTCATCACCACCAGTGTATGAATGTGTGTGTGAATGGATGAATGACTGTTTGTGTTGTAAAGCACCTTGGGGGTTTCCAGGACTCTAGAAGGCGCTACATCAAATACAGACCATTTTTACCATTTAATTCACCTTTTTAAGACAAGAATTTATAGAACAAATGTGTATGATTGTGTGGACAACTGTACCTGGCTGAATGTCCATTTTGCTTCTCCTGGGACCGTCCTTTCTGGGCTCCATCTTCGTACGACCCCTCCAACTCTGAATCCTGGAAGAACCGCTCACATTCAGAGTCTGAATGTGAGACAAAAGAAATGTGAAACGAGATCCATCGTACGTTTTGTAGAATGAAACTAAATGGCCATCTTTTTGTTTAAAGACACACCTTAAAAATAACAAAGACAGTTTAACAACGTAAACCCTGCGGTACATTATCATCACAATGCTGAGCTGACTTCTTTACTGAAAAGCAAAACTTTGTCGTGTGCGGTTTGGAATTTGGAGAAATTCATCCTTTAGATGGTTTTGAAGACATTGTTGAAGCTCATCACACCGGATCATTTCCCATAAATTCAATATGCATCAAATAAGGAATAACAGAGGGAGGGAAATTAGATTGTTTCCCAAAAATGCTACTGGTTTTCAGTAAACAAGAGTCAAATGAGTGTGCTATCTGATGAAGGAATACTCCAGAGTTTAGACGAGATCAAAGGTCGGTGATTTTACCCAATCAAAGTTTTATTGCTGTAAACTTATTCTACCATTAGGTCATGCTAGGATAACAACCCCTACCGAGGCTGTGGTGCAGAGAGTCGGTGGTGCTGGGTCGACTGCCGGAGCGTGTCGGAGGCCGGGAGTTGAATCGGGAAGGAATTAAGCTTCCTTCCTCACTCTTCTGCCTGCTGAGAGGATATTCCCTGTTTCTGTCGCTCTCACATCCCCGACTGCCGGCTCCAATCTCGCTGTAAATAAAAACAAAGACAAAATCAACACAATGAGCGTTGGACTTCAGACACCTGGCATTTTCATCCCTATTTTCAATGCTTAGTAATTTAACTTTTATACAGTTTCTGGGGCAAAATATAATGACTGTAATCTATTGCGTAACTTATATTGACAATAGAAACATTATTAATAATGTCAGTGAACAACATTTTTAGGTATCTTAGACAAAATTATGAGAAGTTGTAAATCATAATAAAAGTGATCTAATATCGTTCCGTGTACTACTCAGCTCCCTTCAAAGTCAACTATGTGTGTATGTTTAACCTTCTTAGTGGCCTAGTGGTGGAGCGTCCGCCATGGGACTGGGAGATCAGGGTTCAAATCCCGGTCGGGTCATACCAAAGACTTTAAAAATGGGACCCAATGCCTCCCTTCCTGGCCCCCCTTTAAAGGGGTTGGATTGGTGGGTTAAACCACCAAATAGTTCCCGAGTGCAGCCACAGCTGGATAGGATAGGTCAAATGCAGAGATGAATTTCACCAGCATTTGATAACTAATGGGACTTTGTATGTGTGTGTGTGTTTGTGTATGTGTGTGTGTGTGTGTGTGTGTGTTTGTGTATGTGTACTGAACTTACCCCGTGCTTACATTACGATAGGAACTGGGGGTGACCGGCCGCTGTAAGGGCTCATCATCATTTGGCTGAGGCAGAGGAGTTGACTTCCTCTTCACTTTAGTCATGTTGGTCATAATCTACCACATTCAGACAGTGACTTTAAGCTTGGGCTAAACATTTTATACAACTTTATCAACTTAATTAAAAGAAAAATAACAATTAAACCTATTTGACAAGATGATCTGAACTATGATTGAGCTGAATATCAAAAAGCTGTGAATGCATTCAGTACTAAAGCCTATTATTAGCATCTCCCACTGGTTTCAGTAATTCTGCAGATAGTCATTAATTACCTTGGTAATTGTGAGTTTAATTAGAAAAATAATCATTTTTAAATGTTAGTTAAACCTGCTGTTAATTAATTCAAACTGATACAGACATCATGTTGGTGTTTCGGAGCTCAGGAGCAGAGGGAGTCCTGACCATGGGCCCCCTACTTCCAAAAGTAAAAATGAATGGGAGTCTATGGAGTGATCGGGGCTACAATGATAATTGGAAAATGTTTTGGGGAAAACCTGGTCTGATGCGAAGAGACAACATCCATCCCTCTTTGGATGGAGCAGCTCTTCTTTCTAGGAACATGGCCAGTTTTATTAGTCCTCCATGACAACCCAGGGTCCAGACCAGGAAGCAGAGTCGTAGTTTAACACACCCCTCTGCAGCTTCTGTACTGTTACCCACCCACTACCCCATAGAGACAGTGTCCTGCCCACAGCCAAAATCACACAGATTAAATATCAGGCTTAATAAAGCAAATCATGGAAATCTCATAAATATTAGAACAAATTCAACTGAGCATAAATTTAGAAAAATTAAATGTGGGTTATTGAACATTAGGTTTATTTTTTCTAAGACTGTTAATTAATGACTTGATTTGTGATAATCAAATTTCTTTGCTCTCTCTCTCCCAGAATCCTGGCTGCAGCACGACTATGTTAGTTTAAACGAGTCGACTCCTTCTAATTATTTAAATCATCATATTGCTCAAAGTACAAGGCGAGGAGGAGGAGTAGCAACCATTTTTCATTCGGACTTATTAATCAGTCCCTTACAGATTAATAGTTACAGTTCGTTTGAACATCTTATTCTTAGTTTTCCTAATCCAGATTGCAAAACTGTAAAACCACTCTTGTTTGTAGTTTTATATCATCCACCAGGCCCTTACTCTGAGTTTTTGGATCAGATCTCTGATTTTTTATCTGATTTGGTGCTAAATACTGATAAGGTCATTGTAGTGGGGGATTTCAACATTCATGTGGACATTGAAAATGATAGCCTCAATGTAGCCTTTAGTAATATCTTAAACTCAATTGGTTTTACTCAAACAATACATAGCTCCACCCACTCCTGCCATCATACATTAGACCTTGTGCTGACTTATGGCATAGAGTGTGAGGAAATAACGATCTTTCCACATAATCCAGTGCTCTCAGACCACTTTCTGATAACCTTTGAGTTTTTTATAACTGAGTTCTCGAGACATGAAAGTAAATTTCACTATAGACGGTCTCTATCTGACAACGCTGTTGCATCTTTTAAATCAACTGTTCCATCTTTACTGTCCTCAGCATCTCAGAGGAACGTAGCAGATGGGCAATATTTTCATTTCTTGCCCCTCACAAATTGATGCCTTAGTTCATAATGTTACTTCCTCTTTACGTGTGGCATTAGATGATGTTGCCCCTTTAAAAAAGAAGGCAAGTAGGGACAGGAAGTTGGCTCCCTGGTTTAATTCTCATTTACGAGCTTTAAAACAAAACTCTGGAAAATTGGAGAGAACATGGCACTCTATGCACCATGAGGAGTCCTACTTATCCTGGAAAAATAGTCTTGTGCTTTATAAAAATAAGCTTAGACAAACTAGAACTGCTTATTTCTCAGCGTTAATTGAGGAGAATAAGAATAATCCTAAATTTCTTTTCAGTACAGTAGCCAAACTTACACAGAATCATAGCTCTGAACCATCTATTCCGTTAGCCCTCAGCAGCAATGACTTTATGGGATTTTTCACACGTGAAATTAATTCTATTAGAAACAAAATCTATAGCATCCTCCCTAATGCGATTTCTTCTTCCTCAGCGAGGCAGCATCAGAGGTAACTGTAGAACCTCATCTGTGTTTGAACCGTTTTGATCCAGTTGAGTTTTCAGAGTTATCAAAAATATTAGCTTCATCTAAACCTTCAACTTGCATTTTAGATCCAATCCCAACCAAATTATTTAAAGATGCATTTCCTTTGGCTACTGCCCCCATTCTAGATATACTCAGTCTATCTTTAGTAAATGGATACGTACCACAGGATTTTAAGGTTGCTGTAATCAAACCTTCACTTAAGAAACCTTCTTTGGATCCAGATGACCCAATGAATTACAGACCAATACCTAACCTTCCATTTTTATCCAAAGTCCTGGAGAAAATAGTGGCCATCCAAGTATGTGAGAATTTAAACACTAATGATCTGTTTGAGGAATTTCAGTCTGGTTTTAGAGAGTATCACAGCACTGAAACTGCCTTAGTGAGAGTTACAAATTATATTCTCATGGCCTCAGATATGAATCTTGTGTCTGTTCTAGTCTTGTTAGATCTCAGTGCTGCCTTTGACACAGTAGATCACAATGTTCTTGTAGAAAGACGAACATGTTGTAGGGATCAAAGGAACAGAGCTAGGCTGGTTTAAATCCTACCTGTCTGATATATTTCATTTTGTACATGTACATGACAAATCTTCTTCATACTCCAGGGTTACTTGTGGAGTACCACAGGGTTTAGTGCTTGGACCAATTCTTTTCACTATATATATGCTCCCAATTGGTAAAATCATTAGACAGCATGGGATAAACTTCCACTGTTATGCTGACGATACTCAGTTATGTTTATCCATTAACCCTGATGAACCTAATCGGTTAGGTAGATTACAGGCTTGTCTTGAGGACATAAAAAATTGAATGACTCTAAACTTTTTGCTTTTAAACCAAGACAAGACGGAAGTTCTCATCTTTGGACCAGAAATCCAGAAAAGGAAATTGCTTAGTCAATCACTTGACCTGAATGGCATTACATTAGGCTCCGAGAACAAAGTAAGGAACCTTGGTGTTATCTTTGACCAGGACATGTCATTCAAATCCCAAGTTAAACAGGTTTGTAGGATTTCCTTTTTCCACCTTCGGAGTATTGCTAAGATTAGAAGCATCCTTTCCAGGAGTGATGCTGAAAAACTAGTTCATGCATTTATTACATCAAGACTGGATTACTGTAATTCATTACTCTCAGGAAGTCCACAGAATGTGGTTAAAAGTCTTCAGCTTGTCCAAAATGCTGCAGCTAGAGTTCTGATGAGAATTACAAAGAGAGATCATATCTCTCCTGTCTTAGCTTCCCTACATTGGCTACCTGTTAAATTCAGAATAGATTTTAAGATCCTTCTTCTCACATATAAAGCTCTTAATAATCAAGCTCCATCATACATCAGTGATCTGATTGTTCCATATGTTCCTAACCGAGCACTTCGCTCTCAGACTGCAGGTTTACTGGTGGTTCCCAGAATATCGAAGATTAGGATGGGAGGCAGATCTATTAGTTATCAGGCTCCTTTTCTATGGAACCAGCTCCTGGCTTTAGTCCGTGAGGCAGACATCTTGTCTACTTTTAAGACTAGGTTTAAAACATTCTTATTTGATAGGGCCTATAGTTAAAATCTGATGTTAGCCTAGATCTGGACAAGTGGGGGAGTAGAGGGAGGTGGAATGTACAGTCGGTAAAGACGGCTCTCCGTTGCCCTGCCTCCAACATGCCTCCATCTAAAAAGGCTAGGTTATCCAGAGTTATCTCTGTAGTTATGCTGCTATTGGCTTAGACTGCTGGAGGATACACTGACCACTTTTCAAACTCTACTACTTTCTTCTACAATCTGCTCTTTAACTATATTATTTTCTGCAATTTTAGCTCTTAGCTTTATTTTTTATCTAAGTGTTTTTCTCCCCAGAAGAAGCTACAGTGATGTTCTGCTGGTGGCCTCATGGAGGGGGCCATCGTCTAGCACACTGCTGCTAACCACTTAAACATTCTCCCTCTCCTGATAATAACGTTTTGCTTTCCTTGACGTTGGATGTGCTACTGCTAGTTTACCTGTTTAATTATGGATTCATTAGGATAAATACAATAAAGTTTATCTCGTGCCAAATAGAATATTTACGAAGAAATCACAATGTAACCATAGACACATTGCTGCGTGTGTGTCTGCTCTGTCTTCTCGATCCCCAGTGAGTCGTGGTGGATGGCTGCTTATACTGAGCCAGGATCCTCTGGAGGTTTCTTCCTGTTAAAAGGGAGTTTTCCTCTCCACTGTCGCTATATGCTTGCTTAGTATGATGATTGCTATAAAGTCCCTGACACTAGTCAGTGACTTGATGCAATTTGCAATTTTGGTTTCCTTACATAGGAAACATTTTTTTTCTGATTGGCTTAATGAACTGACCTGGATTGGAATGTTTATTATGTGAAGTGCCTTGAGATGACTCTTGTCGTGATTTGGTGCAATTTAAATAAAATTGAATTGAATCAAAGTTATTTTCTTATCCTGTTAGAAATGTGTCATGGATTTCATATATGATGTCCGTGAATTATAAAGATGCATTTTGATGCAAATAAAGAGCTTTTTTTTTGACAGGCAGCAAAAGTTACTTTAGGTTTTATGTGAAGACGTAACCGACTACAAATTCTCGTCTCACCAAATTGACGCTATTGAAACACATATGGAGAAGAAGAGATGAACAACAGCTGTGAGTTTAGCAAGCTTCAAATCCTTCTTCTAGGACAAAAGAAGGAGCATTAAACAAGGAGAAAACCACCGAAAGCTGGTCATGTGGTAAAGTAGCTGCCACGCTAGTGGAGAAGAGATCCTGTAGTGATGTCTGATTTGTAGTCATTTTATTTACAAATTTTTACAAGCTAATAAATCACAAACTATGTGACAGACATGGTCAAAACATGTATTATTACTTTTCATTTAAATTGAAGTTCAACATATGTGTGATTTAGGCTGTAAGGCAAAGTGGAACAAAAAACAACTTATAGCCCCGTTCTTTTCCATTCATTTTTGTTTTTTCGTTCAGGGGACCCAAGAGCCGACCAGAAGGGGAGGAGACTTAGGCTCCCCAAACATCATCAGTGAAAACATTATCAGTTCTACTCTGTCTGGTCTCGTCTGTCATCTCATTGGTGTGTGTGTGTGTGTGTGTGCGTGTGTGTGGTATATAGTGTTCTGCTCTTACCCCTAAGTACTCTGTGGTGAGCAGACTCTCTCCAGACAGTTCTCTCTGCTGTGGTTGAAAAACTTCCTCTTTATCAAGGTCTATCTCCATTAAATCTTCCTGTCATAAAATGTTAACAAACAAGTCAGATTTACGACACCGACTGTAGTTGGGAGTTTCTTGTGAAGAAGAACCTCAAGATGGAAGGAATTACTTTTAAGAGGACAAGACGGAGGGCTGGTCCGAGTGGTGCTCGGTTCTTGCTGGTGGAATTAAACAATGTCACAGCAAAAAGAAGTAATAAAAGTTTTAGAGCTGTGACGCCATTATTCATATTATTTACAAGCAACTGTTAGTTTAACTAGGTTAAGCTGAAGTTAGAATGTGAAATGCTCAACGATAATTTTTGTGCCCACCATTGGATGTTTTTTAGTAAGTGCTGCATGTTAGCACAAACGTAACATGGTGGAGGGTTGATCATTTAGGCCTGTTTTGCAGCTACAGGTGTCAGGATCTGGGGTGAGTCTGCACATTCCTCTAATCACCTTAAGTCATTGCAGGTGGGCGGCTCCGGAGAGCGGCCAGCTGCGATGACTTCCCTCATCTACTTCATGTGTTTATAAGGAGCTGGAGATCACTTCACCTCACCGGAAGATTAGTAAGATCCACTACAAACTGAGTCCTGCAATTCTATTCCCCGCTGCCCAACACTGACAGTGTTTGTCTCTACAGACCCAGCCCCGGAGCTGTGCTCAACATCACCGCCACGTCTGGCGGTGCACCTTTAGTTCTCCTTAAAATAAAACATTTATTTTTTTCCCTACCTACGTCTCCTAGTGTGAATTCTGCATGTCTTGGGTCAGGAAACTTCCCTCAGTCATGACAACAGGACTTAGACACCTTTGATTTATGATATGATTTTATCATGAATCATAGGATAGATGTTTGGCCCAAAAGACCAACGATGTGGTTCATTGGGTTATAGTTCATCAGAGACTGTAGCTAACTGGTTTTAGTGCCTACCTACCCAGCCGTAATCTGTTTTAACTGTGTTACAAGAGGAAGTACTTTCCTTTAAACATGACGGTTCAACTTAATCATTGTAGTAAATGAACAGCAAATAAAAAGCCGGATATCAAAAGCACCGAACAAGGGTGCTTAGTTTTTTTTAACAAGATTGTGACAGGATGTTCACACACACTTACGTACTTTACACTTAGTTTGTACACTGTACACACTGTGATACGCCCAGAAGGTTCCTACCATACACCCTCCTTAATAAATCATTTTCCCACACAATTTCAATCCCAGTAGCTCCCTGTGAACACAAACTGGTGAGTAACACCCTATATCCAGCCATTATAAGATACCCGTCTACCACAGGTAATTGCATGGTTTCCTTTTTCTGTGTTCCTCCTTTTTTTTTAATTCTTCAAACAGTTTCACACAACAGTTCTTTTCATTTATTTTTTATATACTCTGACTTTTTTTTAATTAACTTGGTGATATACAATTAATATGTATGCCCATTGGCTTATAGACGTCTTACATCATTGTCATCCTCATCTTCTTCGTCATCCGATTCTGGTCCCTCTTCTTCTGCTGGGTAGAAAACAATAACAACAAGATTTTGAACCTTTTTGGTTCCAGTAGGTGATATAAAGATGAAATAGTTTTAGTGGCTATAAAGCAAACCTGAGTTTAACTGTTTGATTATGAACTCAATCTGCCGGTTAAGATCTGGGTTCTCCTCTTTGTTGTAACAGCGAAGAATTTCCTCAACGCTCTGAACACGTTAAAGGAATAAAAACACAGCACATTCTCTGGGAAACATTCAGTAAATGATCATCTTTAATCAGCCTCTGTATCAAAAAAAGATCTTAACTTTAGAACTTAAGGGTTAATGCATTTTTGCCACCTCACCATCTCTCTGGCTTCCTGCTGCACCGAGGCGACGCTCAGGATACTGTAGAGAGCTCCGTTCACATAGGGTCGTATCTGAGGACAGCAGTGAGATGATTAGTAAAAGTGTTGTCAGCTTATGCACTGGTTGAGGTTTAAAGACAGTCACATACATTTAATATATTACTCCAATTTCTTTTAAGAATTAGACTTATATTAAATAAATGTACTGGTAGTTTTTTGCCAACTGATAAAAAATGTGCTGTTTACAGTTTAACACCCATGAGTGTAATCTGTGTGCTTAACTCTCATTGTACGTGCAACATCTGTGTCCGCGTGGTGACAGACATGTGAGTCACCTCGTGATTCTCGTGTCCGAGGAGGTCAGTCAGAACTTTGAGCACATGCTTGGCGATCTCTGCACACTTCCTTTTTCCTGCAAACACAACACACGTACACTCAGGATTGTTTGATTTGGCATCACAATAAATCTTTTCTTTTTTTGTTTGTTTTAGTTTGTAAAAAAAAAAAAAGAAAAAAAAAGAAAAAGCCAAATAAGGTACAAAGAAAGACTGTTAGACTGAATTGAGTTATGATTTTGTCATGACATTTGCAGTGGTCTCTAGTATATACTGTGATGGACAGAAGACGGAAGCTGCCGAGCTCCGAGGGTGTGGTGATTGGACACCAGCTGGTCCTCGTTATGGACAACAAGGCCAGGGAGGATAAAAGGGTGACAGGCCTACTGAGAGGTGTGCGTGGTCGACCTGTCATTGTGGCATCGGACTTTGGGGGGTGGGGTCGTTCGCAGCCGGGTAGGGCTGCCGGCGACGAAGATAGCTGAACAGGTGTTTAGTCAGGTGTGGGTCAGAAATAAGCTGAGGAGACGAGGGGTGTGTCCCAGGCTTCAGAGGCGAGATAGGGGACCGTTTAGGGTCCTCGAGCGGGTGACAGACGTGTTATACAGGCTAGTACCCGTTGAGGGGGGTCCTGAGAGTGTGATTCATTTCAACCGACTTAAGCCGTGCACTTCTCTTCCACTAGTTGCAGCACCGATGGCTGTGGGGTCCCGAGAGAGAGCGAGGCAGAGTCTGCGTCAGCAGGTTGCCACCTGGGAGGACATCAGCAGGGTTCATCGACGGTCTGCAGAGACAAGCAGGTCTGGCGGCGCAAGTGACCCGGCCCCATCACGTGGAGAGGCTGCTCGAGGAGGTGCTGCTGCAGGAGGACCGGAAGGACGTCTCCCTGGGGAGATCGACAGACGTGGAGCTGCGGAACAGCGGGTGGTTCATCAGCCGGATGCCACCTGGGGGGACATCAGCAGGAGTGCTAAACGGTTTTCGGAGACGAAGGGCTCCGGTGATTCAAGCAACCCTGCCCCATTGCATGGAGAGGCTGCTCGAGGGGGTGCGGTTGGAAGAGGATAGGGAAGACGTATCCCTGAGAAGGTCGAGGGACCTGGAGCTGTGGAGCAACGCGTGGTTCGTCAGAGGAGACCCCCTGTTTGGTATAAGGATTATCAGGTGGAAATCTAGGACTCGAGGGCGAGTCCTTCAGGACAAAGAAGGGGAGAGTGTGATGGACAGAAGACGGAAGCTGCCGGGCTCTGAGGGTGTGGTGATTGGACACCAGCTGGTCCTCGTTATGGACAACAAGGCCAGGGAGGATAAAAGGGTGACAGGCCTACTGAGAGGTGTGCGTGGTCGACCTGTCATTGTGGCATCGGACTTTGGGGGGTGGGGTCGTTCGCAGCCGGGTAGGGCTGCCGGCGACGAAGATAGCTGAACAGGTGTTTAGTCAGGTGTGGGTCAGAAATAAGCTGAGGAGACGAGGGGTGTGTCCCAGGCTTCAGAGGCGAGATAGGGGACCGTTTAGGGTCCTCGAGCGGGTGACAGACGTGTTATACAGGCTAGTACCCGTTGAGGGGGGTCCTGAGAGTGTGATTCATTTCAACCGACTTAAGCCGTGCACTTCTCTTCCACTAGTTGCAGCACCGATGGCTGTGGGGTCCCGAGAGAGAGCGAGGCAGAGTCTGCGTCAGCAGGTTGCCACCTGGGAGGACATCAGCAGGGTTCATCGACGGTCTGCAGAGACAAGCAGGTCTGGCGGCGCAAGTGACCCGGCCCCATCACGTGGAGAGGCTGCTCGAGGAGGTGCTGCTGCAGGAGGACCGGAAGGACGTCTCCCTGGGGAGATCGACAGACGTGGAGCTGCGGAACAGCGGGTGGTTCATCAGCCGGATGCCACCTGGGGGGACATCAGCAGGAGTGCTAAACGGTTTTCGGAGACGAAGGGCTCCGGTGATTCAAGCAACCCTGCCCCATTGCATGGAGAGGCTGCTCGAGGGGGTGCGGTTGGAAGAGGATAGGGAAGACGTATCCCTGAGAAGGTCGAGGGACCTGGAGCTGTGGAGCAACGCGTGGTTCGTCAGAGGAGACCCCCTGTTTGGTATAAGGATTATCAGGTGGAAATCTAGGACTCGAGGGCGAGTCCTTCAGGACAAAGAAGGGGAGAGTGTGATGGACAGAAGACGGAAGCTGCCGGGCTCTGAGGGTGTGGTGATTGGACACCAGCTGGTCCTCGTTATGGACAACAAGGCCAGGGAGGATAAAAGGGTGACAGGCCTACTGAGAGGTGTGCGTGGTCGACCTGTCATTGTGGCATCGGACTTTGGGGGGTGGGGTCGTTCGCAGCCGGGTAGGGCTGCCGGCGACGAAGATAGCTGAACAGGTGTTTAGTGTTCCAGCGCCAGGAGGGAAGGCTGGTCGCCTTCTTTAGACAGCTAGGGCTGGGCATAGGTGATGCCAAGGCCGCGCCGACATCTGCCGCTACGGACTCTGGCAGTGGACTTATGTTGTGGATTTACCCGCCGTCCTCGCAAGCTACACCCCGGGGCGTTGGACGGCGTTGGAAGCTCAGACCCCGGGGACGGGGGTCACACCATCCGTGACAGCTAAGTACCGCTGCTGATGTGATTCATGCTGGACAGTTGGTTTTAGAAGAGAGGGCTTGGGCCATGGTGTTTTATCGTTGTGTTTTATTATTGATTGTGCAATAAAGTGTGTCTTTTATAAGCCGTTGCCTACTGGTGGTGTGTTCAGGTTCTGACTGGAGGGCAAGATATTCTGCCCGTGCTGCCCACGGCTACTTTTATTACAATACGAATGAAGCGATCTTTGTGGCAAATAAAGCTCCGGTGCTCCTGTTCCGGGGAGTGGAAGTTAGCCAGAGGAGTAGGGAGCAGAACACGGCAGGATTTTGGGTCTTTTTCCTGATATCTGGTCATCTCGCCACTGATTTGCTGCAGTAACATGACTCTGATTTATATTTCTCTGTCAGCTTGAGTATGGAGTCGCACACACACATTTTCCTTCACTTCTCCTTTGCCTAGTGTTACAAAGCCAGGACAGCAGAGTGCGTAGAGATTTTCTGGGGTATCCTGTCACTACTGAAGTCACGTCTCCAGTTCACGATAGAGTATTTACTATTGTGTGCCTATAGTGTGTGTTTATGTATTTCAGAGTTTTCAACACGGACACATTTGTTTATGTTTATGTTTGTTCATTTAGCAGATGCTTTTATCCAAAATGACTTACAATTTATAACCTATAGGGCATGTTGTGATCTGTGGGGGAAACCGGAGAACCCGGAGGAAACCCACGCATGCATGGGGAGTAGGGATGCACCGATACGTTACTGGTATCGGTGCCGATACAGATACCAATACCAGTATCGGTATCGGTAAAAGTTAACCGATACCAGTAACCGATACCAATGCAGTTGCTTGAAAGTGGCTTCACTGTAACTTGTCATTTCTGTTCACCTAATATTTTAGTTTAGTGATGATTTCCATTCATATATTTTACTTTTTATCTACCTCACAGTCTTTTCCTGTTGAAAGCAGAGAAGAAAATAAAATCTGTATTCCAAATCATGAAATTTTTTTCGTGGTAGAAGTATCGGTATTGCCAATCGGTATCGGCGAGTACTCAGATCCAAGTATCGGTATCGTATCAGTTTGGAAAAAAGTGGTATCATTGCATCCCTAACACACAAGAACACGCAACTCCACGCACAAAGGCCGCAGCCGAGCCGAGTTTCAAACCTGCAACCTTCGTGCTGCGAGGCAACAGTGCTAACCACTGCACCACCATGCAGCCCAGATTTGTCCCTCATTCTCCTCCACTTCTTCACGCAGTCACCACCTCTAAACCCACATTTCCCTTCCATGAATTAAAGGTTTGCTGTGTATCTTTGTCAGTCTCGTGTGTATAAACGATCATAATGTCAGACTTTTTCCGTGAGATGCTCTCCAATCTGCTTTGGGTCTGCTGCTAGGTCTTTGGTGCTCATTTTATTTTTTTGATGGGGGGATGGCTGGGATACTGACTAATTTACAGGAAGTAGCATCCTGACTAATCACAGGCTTGTGGTTTCCATAACTTTTGACAGACAGATAAAAAATTGGGCGTGTATCCGTCACCCTTTCATCGATGCATAATGGCGCTGTGTGATTCTGTACCAACGCAGACAGAAGTACAAATTAGGCTTAACTTTGTTTGTTATGCAACAGTGATGTTTTATCTCCACAAATAACAAACCTAAAGGAGTGCAGTGTAGTGGAGTAGCTAATGCTAACAGTTAGCTTCTACTAGAAGAGACACACTGTGCTCTCTTCCTGGACACTACGAGTAATTCCTCGTCTATTTTCTATCAGTGGCTAATGCAGGAAATAGTGGTAAAAGACTATTTTCATATTTAACCTGCATGTTAAACTCAGAGTGACTGATCATATTTCAAAAATAACAAGTAAAAATGGTTTGTCAGTGAACTTGGTCTTTAAATCTAATGATTGTATAATTAACCTAGTTGGTGTCATATTTGTGACTTAATTCAACAGCTGAGTGTTAACTTTCAGTGTTACAGTATAATGAGATGACTAAAGTCAGTTATTATTGTTTAACATAATTTATTTCATAATAACCCTAAACAAAAACAACCTATGTACGAGTGAAGGCATTGTGATTTATGACAGATGAACTGTGAAAGGGGCTAAAGATGCTACTCAATAACTGAATGACGTGTACTTTCTGCACTTTGATTTATTTTCCCTGTTTTTCATCGCCAGTTCAGCTGTGATAAAAGTACTCCAACATCTGGATAACGAGCTATGCTTCCACTCTACCTTTAGTACGCAGACACAAGTTCATAAGCAGAGCTGTAGAGTACTCCAGGGTGTAGTCACTCAGGCAGTCCGGGTCCTGCAGCTCATCTACAAGCCAACCGATCAGACCATCATCAATCATGGCCGTCTGCTGGCTTCTCCTAACAAGAGAAAATAACCACCACATTTATTCATCCTTCTCAACAAATTGTTCATCCTTGTTGAAGCTGATGGCTGATGATAAAATACAAGAAGACTTATTTCCTACACTGTCTCTGGATTTATTTTATGTGCATTTGGTTTTGGGGGACAAACTGAAAAATGCAGCTTCATTCCCCATTTTTCTGCAGGATGTTTTCTGAGATTGTAGAAAAGATATAAATTAAACATATTATTAAAGAAAACCTGTTGTCCATAGTCAAATTTAGAAAAAAAAAACATTTATTCTCTTATGTTTAACATGAATAGCTGATTCATATTTACGTAAAACTGCATCACAACCACAAATATTGAAGCAATGCAGTAACCAGCACAGACAACAACATCCAGATTTCAATGTATAGCTGGTAACAAGGTCAATCAAATAAAAATGTGCTTGCAGAGAAATGTTAGCTGGTTTTCTAAAAGGTAACTTTTAAAAGTGACCTGTAGAAAGAATTGATTATAAGATACGACAAACACAGCATAATTAGAAGCTAATTCCAGTGTGATGATTAAACAAAATTTAAAGTAAAATCCCAAATGTACCTCAGGCTAAGTTTCTGCAGAGCCACCAGGACATTTTTTCTAGTCAGGGACTCTTTGTCCTCCGTTTTTAAAGCTTCGGTCAGAACTTTCAGCAGCTTGGGGATCTGTGAGAGGTAAGCACGGCCTGAAGTCACAAACACAGAAAGAAATTAACATCAAATTAAAAATGGTTATTTAGTTCAAGAGTAGAGACTCTGATATGAATGACTTTAAAATGTGCCTGTTACCCTTTAGAAGAAGAAAAGTTTATTTATACAGCAACTTTTGAGATAAAAATCCCAAGGTGCTTCACAAGCACAACAAAAAAAATAAGAGACTGAAAAATACAGAAATGAGAGAAACACGAGCAGGAAAACAAGTTAACGAGCAGCAGCAGCTCAACAGAAGGTCACGCCAAAGCCAGGTGAGTTTTCAGATGCTTTTTAAAGGAGACCACTTGAGTGCACTGGTCTCAGGCTCAGGGGGAGAGAGATCCAGAGCCTGGGAGCCACAGCAGCAGATGATCTGTCACCTTTGGTCTTTAGCCTGGTGTGCTGCACAACCAAAATCAGAATCTGAATCTGAATATTTTATTAATCCCAAAGGAAATCATTTGCAGATAAACAGTTTCTCCAGACAAAAGAATAAAAAGCTCAGGAAGTAACAATAATACTTAATAAAATAAAATAAAAATCCTAAGGTAAAAGGTCCCACTAAGCAAATATGGATTTAAGACTTGCAATACAAGTGATCTAGAAAACCATAATCCATATATAATGTAAGAAATGGTGCATTGAACTGTGGAATGGAAGCAGCACAAGATATGTAAGAACTACATCTAATAAATGAAACCTGACAGGTCATATGCAACATTAATGTAATTCATTCCACCTGCATCTGCAAAAGAAGTTTAAAGGATCAAATGTCCCTGCATCACGTTACAAGATGTCCAAGAAAAATGAAAACTTCTCTGTTACTGGGAACAAAAACAAACACCATTCTACCATCATTGGTGGTTTCAGTCCTCCATGGAAATCTACTGAGGTCTTCCACTGGTTTCCTTCATCATAAGCAATGACTCAGCATACCCAAAAATGCTGATGTTTTATTAAACCCAACAGTGGTTGAAAACTCACCCTCTGCAAGGGAAGCAAATGCATTGATGAGACGAGCCGTGTACTGACGAACCACCTCATTGTTGGATCTCATCATATCAAGCACAGTTTTCTGGGGGGGGAAGTCAAATTAAAATGATTTATTAGGATTTAATATTCACAGAGTAACACGACGTTCAGAACGTCTAAACTATCCACAATAACGTGACACATTAAAAAGATGTTAGTTAAGTTAGCATCAATTATATTCATTTCAAATGTCTTAATCCCACTTTCTGCATCACAATTAAACAAAATTAGGTTTAGATTAATATATATATATATATATATATATATATATATATATATATATATATATATATATATATATATATATATATATATACACACAATGAGTTGACATATTTGGTAAGATTGATGTGGTTTATCATGCCTCACTGAGGTTTATTACTAACTGTAGACCGCTGACCCATCATTGTGAACTGTATACTCGAGTGGGATGGCCTTTGTCCGCCAGGAGGTTGGGACATTGGTACACTTTTATTTATAAGGCTTGGATTACCACCCAGCTATATCTGTAACAATCTCAAGGAGAAGTGTAACTTCTCACAGTCTATGTGCAAATGATCAGTTGTTACTGTGTTCCATTTGCTCACACTGAACTGGGTTAAGGGGCATTTGTCCACTCTGCTCCTTCTGCATGGAACGGGCTGCAGGAAAACTGGAAATTAACCAAGTTTATCCCCTTGACTACGTTTAAAACCAGCCTGAGAGCCCTTGAGACGGATTCCCTGTGTTGTAACTGCCTTCTGTAATTTTGTACGTAACATCTTTGTGTAACAGAACAATTTTGTAACTGTAACTTTTGCTGCCTCTTGGCCTTTGAAAATGAGGTTTGTAATCCCAATGGGACTTTCCTGGTTAAATAAAGTATAAATAAATAAATATTCAATTAGCAGTAATTTTCATATAAGAACTCAATTCTTAAAAATACAACAAAATCTATTTTTAGTCATTTGATGCATAATTACCTTTATTTTGTAACAGCAACATAAACTCACAAATTTTGTTACCTGCTGAAAAGCCATGTGTATATAACACCTTGGGTCAATGTGATGAGATGATTATGCAAGAAAAGATGAATTGTCTCATGCAGATGAATGAACCAGTTCTATAGAAATATGATTTATACTATTATTATTGATACGAATACTGGTCATTTATGGAAAATGGCCTGTATTTGAAATAGCCTTATATGGTTCTACATCCCTCCAAGGCGCTTTACAACACAGCCAGTCATTCATCCCTGCATACGCACATTTACACGCGAGTGGTGGTAAGCTACAATGTAGCTACAGCTGCCCTGGCACCATCGGTCCCCCCGACCACTACCACCCATTTATATATAGGGATACCCTTGCAATCTGACCCATTTGAAGTGTTTCTGCAAAGAAGAGTGGGCAAATCTTCCAAAGTCAAAATGTGCTGTGCTGATAGACTCACACCCTGATAGACTGAGAGCTGTAATAAAATCAAAAGGTGCTTCAACAAAGTGTTAGTTTAAGTGTGTGCACACTTATACAACCACATTATTTAGTTTTTTTTTGGGGGGGGGGGGGTTCTTCCCTCCACCTGAAGGATTTCAGTTTGTTTAATTGAGTGGTACAGTTTATAGGACACAATAAAGGTGGTAAAACTTCTGAAATGATTTACCTTCATTTCATTTTTGTATAGCAGAGGAATCTGACATTTTACAAGGGGGGTGTAGAATTTTGATATCCACTCTACGTCCTCCACTCATTACACACTTAAGCGCTTTGCAACACAACACTGGTGTTAGGGACAGTTTGAAAGACAATCTTAGATTCTGCCCCATGACTGAGCTCTGTCTATGGGTCGTGACCAAACTATATGTTTACATATGTAGAATGGCTTCCCAGGCCACCACCGGGCCATAAACTGTCAGGAATTCCATAATTATTTCCTTCTCAGCTTTAAGCTGTCAGAAAACTTGGTTTTAATCTATTACACGACGAGATTATAAATTGTTTGTCTTCTTGTGATAAGTGTCCAGTATCATGTAGCTTGAAGCCGACTGGAAAGCACAGCAGAAGGTGTTGTTAGGCAAGGCAGCTTTTTTATATCGCACATTTCATACACAGAGGAAACTCAGTGTGCTTTCTATCAGCAAGAACATTAAAATCAACGTGACATAAAATCCATCCATCCATTTTTTTCCACTTATCCAGAGTCGGGACACGGGGGTAGCAGCCTAAGTCAAGAAGCCCAGACTTCCCTCTCCCCAGCCACTTGGGCCAGCTCTTCCGGGGGAATCCCAAGGCGTTCCCTGGCCAGGTGAGAGACGTAGTCTCTCCAGTGTGTCCTGGGTCTCCCTTTAGGCCTCCTCCCGGTTGGACGCGCGCAGAAAACCTCACCAGGCATCCAGAAGGTATCCTAATCAGATGCCTGAGCCACCTCACCTGGCTCCTCTCCATGTGGAGGAGCAGCAGATCTACTTCGAGCCCCTCCCGGATGACTGAACTTCTCACCATATCTCTAAGGGAGAGCCCAGCCCCCTGCGGAGAAAACTAATTTCGGCCGCTTGTAACCGCGATCTCGTTCTTTCGGTCACTACCCAAAGCTCATGACCATAGGTGATGATAGGAACGTAGTTTGACCAGTAAATCGAGAGCTTTGCATTCTGGCTCAGCTCTCTCTTCACCACGACAGACCGGTGCAACACCCGCATCACTGCAGATGCAGCACCAATCTGCCTATCGATCTCACGCTCCAGCTTTCCCTCACTCGTGAACAAGACCCCGAGATACTTAAACTCCTCCACTTGAGGCAGGACCTCATCCCTGACCCGGAGAAGGCATTCTACCCTTTTCCGAATAAAGACCATGGTCTCAGATTTAGAGAGCTGATTCTCATCCCAGCTGCTTCAAACTCGGCTGCAAACTGCTCCAGCGAAAGCTGAAGATCACGTTCTGATGAAGCCAACAGGACCACATCATCTGCAAAAAGCAGGGACCTGATCCTCAGGCCACCAAAACGGATGCCCTCCACACCTTGGCTGCGCCTAGAAATCCTGTCCATAAAGGTTATGAACAGAATCGGTGACAAAGGGCAGCCTTGGCGTAGTCCAACTCTCACGGGGAACGAGCCCGACTTACTTCCGGCAATGCGGACCAAGCTCTGACACCGGTCATACAGGGACCTAACAGCCCATATCAGAGGGCTTGGTACCCCATACTCCTGGAGTACCCCCCACAGGGCCACCCGAGTGACGCGGTCGAACGTCTTCTCCAAATCCACAAAACAGATTGGTTTGGCAAACTCCCACGCACCCTCCAGGACCTCGCTAAGGGTATAAAGCTGGTTCAGTGTCCCACGGCCAGGATGAAAACCACATAGCTCCTCCTGAATCCAAGGTTTGACAATCCGACAGGAAATATAATATAAAAATTAAAAAGAAACAAAATTAAAGTTAAAAGGTGAGCAAATTCAGTGCAGAAGGTGCAGCATAAGAACATTCATTCAAAGGCTGATGAAAACATGAAGGTTTTCAATTTTTCTACAGTTGGGGCACATTTGAGGTCATGAGGAAGCTGATTCCATCTGTGAACAGCATACTAGCTAAAAGCAGCTTCACCCTGTTTGGTTCTGACCCGAGGTTGTACCAGCTGACTGTTTCCTAAGGATCTCAGAGCCCTGCTGGGCGTATGTACCTGAAGGAGATTTGACATGTATTTTGGCCCCATGCCACTGAGTGATTTATAAGCTAGTAGAAGTACTTTGAAATTGATTCTGTACTTTACTGGTAACCAGTGTAGAGATTTAAGAACATGAGTGATGTGTTTGGTTCTCTTGGTTCTTGTTGTTAAAGATAGATTGGGCTGCATGGTGGCGCAGTGGTTAGCACTGTTGCCTCGCAGCACGAAGGTTGCAGGTTCGAAACTCGGCTGCGGCCTTTCTGCGTGGAGTTGCGTGTTCTCCCCATGCATGCGTGGGTTTCCTCCGGGTGCTCCGGTTTCCCCCACAGATCACAACATGCTCTATAGGTTATAAATTGTAAGTCGCTTTGGATAAAAGCGTCTGCTAAATAAATAAATAAAAATAAATAAATAAGATTCTTTAGTGCCCACAGCAAAAGGCTGGGGATGGGAACGGGTGACGTAAATAAACAAAGATAAATGTGCGTGACTCAGCCCTTTAACCGTGACGTTTGTCATGCAAACCCAACCTGCTGCCTCACCTGATTTGTATTGTAACATTTCAGCAGATCATTGCTGATGAAGCCCTGAAGCACGGTGTCTCTCTGCTCGCCTGGGAGCGAACGAGTCAGTCTCTGGAAAAACCCACAGAGATTCGACAATTTAGAAAAGTTTCAACATATGAGATATGATTAAATAACAACCTTACTTAGTTGGTACATTCTATACGATTTAGTCTTTCCTAAACATGTTAATGGCTGACGAACCAATGATAAAAATCTAATTTTTAGATTATTTTGCAGGCAAAAGGACTGAACTGAGTGTAATCCTCAGTATCTGCATTTTAATTTCTTCTGGAGGTCAAATTGAACTGAATGAAAAATGTAACAGAAGCTGGTTTACCCAACGTAAGGCCTGCAGCAGGAGACACCGGAGTCTGAGTGGGCCCTCTACCAAGTCCTTCTTCAGCTTCTCATAGTCTAACGAGGGCAACATTGGCACGTCTTTAGGTCTCCTGAAGAATAAAACAAGTCTTATTAAATCGGTACAGATAGGTGGAAACAAACTGTTGATTTTAGACTTACTGCGGTGCAATGGATGCTCGTAGCATGGAGGAGGCCTTTAACAGAAACAAGAGCCACGAAAAAGATCAATTCTGTACTTGAGACTTGATTTAACCCATTTTTATTTGACTGGTTCACCTACAAACAAGTGTTTTCCTCCACCTGAGACACTCAAGTTAAAAACTGCATAGTGTTCTTTAGGACATGCACACATCATGCTTGGGTTACATGCTGAACATCTAATGATAAAGTGCAGTTTATTCAACTTTCCATGCACTAACAATCAGGCTAAGAACCATTACCAAAAAAGGTGGGTTAGTCGCCCTGTAGCTGGTACACCGTAATCTAAACGTACAATAGACCTACGATGGAACCTTATGGAACAAAACAGCCTTCAGACAAAGAAAAGTGCGACTGAGAAGCTGGTAACGTGGGTGTTTCTTGATGATAAGGGAAACTGTTTTTTTTTCTTTCCACTGAAAGTGGAAATCTGAGCAGTGACATATAATCTGGAACCAGGTTTGTTGGACGTAGAGTGGCAGCAACATGCAGTTGCTTTTCCCAGGAGAGTTGTTTTTGTCATTTAGGCATCTGCTGACTTAGTTTTATTGTTCTTAAAAAACAAAGAAATAAATAAAGAACTTTAACATAAAGAATGGTGAGCAGAGCAACAAATGGGATTTCTATTTTCCTCAAAGAATTTATTCAAAGTCCAATCGGAAATATATCTTTAATGAAATGATGCTGGTGTGACCTGACGTAGCATGCATGAAAACACATAGACTAGTAATTCATTCACATTCGATCCTAGTGACTGCCTTCAGCTGTAATCTAACACACCTATAGATTGCTCCGATTGTGTCTATATAACTTTGTAACTGAAGCAGACTTTTTGTGAAATATGTTTCTATATCAAAGCAGCTTGTGTTTATGGATCAGACACTAAACACTTTCAAAAAACATTGTCGACTGACAATAAGGGGAGAAAACTGAAACTGTAAAAGCAACACGGAGAGTTGAAGGGCGGAACCATAGCTAAGGTCTTTAGGAACAATTATGGGGATGCTCTGAAAGGCACTCTTGTTTGGTTTTATACGTATGAAGACAAACATTTCTAAAAACTAGGACAAAAGTATCAGGAAGTGGACTGAGAACGGGGTCAGGCAAAGAAGGGCATTTCTGATGCTACAGGGTCGATGTAATCATGATATGAGCAGAGGGGGAACAGAGCGAGATGCAAGCAAGCGGTGAATGACAAATGGAAAAAGGTGATAACACATGAAACTTACATAGCCATCATCATAAGGACTCAAAGAGTAATATCCCTTTGTGGACAAAATCATCACACACACACAGAAAACACACACACAAACAAAAATCAATCAATTCAAGCTTTTAAAACTTCAAATGTTACCAACCAGGACTCAGAACAAATCAGAGATTAATGAGAGCGGGGATTGTTCGGATTCAGTTCCAAGTCTTCTGATAATGTCTCTTTTCCCATCACAACAGTTTGTTGAACGCAGTTTCAACACCTTCCTGGGCTTTGATGGCTAAAACGCTGCCTTTCAACTGGCTTCAAAGCAAATACGAGCACTTAGTTGGTTAACAACCACTCATGCAAGTAGAGTGGGGTGGGGTTTTTGTGGGAAACGGGCTAATTAGTGCTTTTCCAGTACAGATCCAGTGTAGTTACATGGTTACCCAATACAAAGAAATGAGAACAATTTTAAATTGAAGGGGATGCCGAAGGGATAGTTTCAAATAAACAATCCTATTTAGGATTGCTGTTATTTTGGTGTATCATTACTTTGTTTTGTAATTAAACCATTTAAAACATCAACCTTAGGACACTGGAATCAGCAACTGGTGTGTTTTACTGGTTCTGTCAGCCGAATTAGGTCCAGTCTTCTGTTGGAGGAAGAGGCTTAGTGGAGAATGGAGATAAAGTGTTGGAGACACACTAAATAGGCTGCAAACTAAGATCACGCCAAACACGACCGCAAAGTTGAAACAAGAGACCTGATAATTTTTTAAAGGCATAATATACAACTTATTTATATTTTTAAATCATTTTGTTGAGCCATTATGTGCTAAAATGACCCTTTACAGGGTTAATGAAAAGTCACTCAGACTCCACCGCCCCCTGTGGCCTGAATATTGCTCTTGCAACTTCAGAGTATCTGGACCGCTCCCTGTTAGAGTGAAGCTGACATACCTGGCGCTGCAGTCTGCTTCCAGCACCTTTCCTGCATGTTTTAGATCATGAACACAGACGATTTGTTTGATTTAGTGACAATCACTCCTGTAAACACTAATGAAGGCTAAGGAGACATTTCAGCTGTTAGATTAAGGTATTAAAAAGACAAGCACTCAGTGAGGAAAGTTTCACTTTTGGTTTTATGACCAAATTAATAACAGATTCTAGGAGGTGCTAAAAGCTAAAACTACCAATCTCTATTCTCCCCTGTTTAAGGTCACCAGTTATGTATCCCATGATGCATATAATTGCCTAATTGACCCCAAAACATTAGGCTGCAGAGAAAATGAGAAAATATGATCTAATCTCTTGCAGGTCGGACATCAATACAAGTTTGGAATTAACAGGATTAAAGCTGTTACAACGAATCTGCAAACAAGCTAGGTTTTGAACGCAAACACGGTCATGGCCCACTCAAACCTCCCCTCGGATATCTTTCCTGAGACGCTTCTGCCAAAATCGAAAACCTGCGATGCCGGAGGGAACGAGATAATGCTAAACACCAGTCGCTGTTTTTTTAAGGTCCAAACATCTTTTGCTTTCTGTGACTTCAGATGGTGTTTATCTTTTTGGGACTCTGGTAGTCTGTCCTAAAGTTGAAGTGGTACCAGCCGGCTGTTTGTCCTTTTATGGTATTGAGCTGAGAACCTCTCACATCGGTGGTGTTCTGTTGCTAAATACACGAGCGTGTAACTAACAGAGGACCCAGGGAAGTGCGGCGGTTTGACAAGACCAACAACTGATTGGTCCAATGGTTGCTTTCAGTCCAAAACGTGTTATTGCCGGGGGGGTTTAGACAAATGCGAGAGAACCACTTTATTAATTGTTCTCTCTTTTTTAAAACCTCCACAATATATTTATAGCTATACTACATCAGAACGTTGTTAACAGGCATGAGAAATGTTTTATGCTATTTGTTTTCTAAATTGGCCATTGAAACTTTAATCAGCGAGACCTTTTTCACCAGTAAACTAAGAGGAACTAACCCAATAATTATTAGTTACATCTATCTTTGAGTTACTATGGCTGGCATGAACAAGGAACTACGTGTGCTTTCCAAATATGAGTGATGCAAAGCTAGGATCCAGCCACTCCTTACCAGGATCTTAACCGTGGATTTACAGCGCGGCTATTGTCGGCATCTCAGTGTACAAAGGGAGAAACTTGGAATATTAGGGGTTTATCTCAAAAACCGTTTCAAACACAGAGGGGTGATTCGACTAGCCCTCAGAGATGTGGCTCCTATCAGCGTTTCTGTAATCCTAACTTTTTTTCTAAGAATAAAGATCAAAGAAGAAGAAAAAAAACAGAGATTGTGATGCTTACTGTTCCAGGCCTGGTGAAATCGGTGCTCTGCACCATGCGCTGTCTCATCTGGCTGCTGAACAGGCGGACATACACACTCTGAAGGTACTCTAGGGAAATCTGTATGATAGAAGAGACGTTTTACCATTTCTGGGTTTGGACCAAAGATGGATGCTTTCATAGAAAAGATTACTTTAAAATGTCAGTCTAGATTTTACTACTGTTTGAATGAATGAATTAAACCAAAGTCAAGTTAAATTAATCTTTTTGTCAGTGCTTTCGTCACCAGCCTGACTTCCTCCTCACCACCCTACAGTCAGCTCGGATTACCATCTTCCCGCTGACGGTGGCCTCCAACGTGTCAACCAGCTCAGCAGTGATTCCAATAAGGTTGCGGTAATCAGCTTGAGTCTTGTTAAACTTCCGCACATAGCTGGTGATGCGTCGATCCGATTCAGCGAGCTGGAGCTGTAACTGCTGCACGTCCTCTGTGCAGTCACACAAAAACAGTCATTTACCAAAGTCACTGTTAAACTGCTAAACTGAGCATTTTCTCACAACACCTGAACACATCATGCGAAGACAAAACATGAGAAATGTGTACATTTTAGATGCAATTATTCAAATAAATGTGGACATTTGTTTAATTAAAACTCCATCCTTCAAACAATGTTAATATTTACCTGTCTCAATCTCTGTCGAACATGTTCCGGAGCAGAGATAGAGATAATAAGAACAGTAAATCTTCAGTAAAGCCTCTGATAATCTCAACTTTCCACATCACAATACGTAGTCAAACACAGATTAAGCAGGAACCGTGACAAGACGTGTTTGCTGCTTTAAACATTAAACAGAAAAAAAGATTACCTACGAACTTAACCAGTTTGTGTATGTGTACTTCTTAAAACTAAACAAGACCAAGAAATACTTTAACTTATATAAAACTAATTTATATTCTTTTGGCACAGACAAGCAGTCATGAGTATTCTGCAGATGGTGCTAGAAAACTAAATAAAAAACATAAAACAGCAATGAAGCGCATGCGTTATTTGGGCCATTTACCTTTTGTACTCCTTCCACCCTCCTTCTGCATGACATCTGTTAAAGAATACATTCATCACCGCTATTGAAACAAAATCCATTGTACTCCTGTTCTCGTTTAACTAGAGTAAAGAACGTCTTATACATCCTGTTTGGCTAAGCCAGACTTGTCACTAGAAAGGTAAATGGTGTCCTACGGACATCTTACTGAAGCCAACACCCTTGTGTGGGCAAACACAGCTCTCATACACAGTATCTATAAGACCCTTTAGTAGCAGGTAAGCATTGAGCATCCTACATAGTTTTATGTTGAGGTGATCCTAAAATACAAACGTCCACATTACCTAAAGGTAAAACACTGAGAGCTTTTTGGAAGATTTTAAGCAAGACTACATTATAATCTTTAATATTTAAGACTTTGAGAGAAAATCAAGCTTCATCAAGTATCACCATTTGTATAGCCGGCATTTTGTTACCCTGGTTAGTGTGGAACACTACTGTGTATTAGAAATGCATCAATACAGAAATATCAGCATGCACAATATCAATAATGCGAAAGCTTTCAATTCAAACATCTTATGTTTAATCATGCGTCCTTTTCTTGTATTGTTTATTGTAATGCTTACATATTCAATGATTTGACCTTGCTTTGACATTTTATTACTATTTATTCTACTGAAATCTTCAATTTTACTGCAGGTTTTAACTAGGTTGTGCCATAATTTTTAGTGTGTTTAATATTCCATCATATATTATTGCATCCATTTTATTATTTTATTGTACCTTTACTGTTATTTTTAAGATGTTTGCCTCCTTTAGGGTGCTACTGTACAACAGGCCAACAGATGGAAGCAAGCCTTTAGCTAACTTAAGCTACAGGTGTCCTGTGGACCGATAGTGGTTTCTCCATTGCCGATCCCGATAACGTAAAGGTCATGGTCAGCCAATGGCTGATATGTTCAGCTGATTTGCTTGGTTGATCTCTTATTTTCATGCTAAAATGTCACTAATAACATCAGCTGATGCACAACATTTCTGAAGCTGAATCAGTTTTTGAACGCTGAATTTAACCAACTGTTAAATCTTCATTTCGTGCAGGGCTCAGTGTGAAAATATGACATATCAAGGAACTTACAAACTAATACATATTCAAAACTGGTAAATAAATAAAAATTTTAGTTGACAGAATCAGTTTTTTAAAGCATTTGTTATGCAGATGCTATTAAGGAAAGTAAATATACATTTAAATGAAAATCTACAGCAGCACTGGGCTGCCCAGGGATGTGCCTGACTTAAACCGGCTTTACTAAGGAGGAATATCGGCCAACAATCATATTTTAAAAATGGTAAGTATCAACCAGATATATCGACTGACTGATATATTTGTTTACCCCTATTGGTAACAAATAAATATTGATTGACTGACTTAAGCTGCATGGAAAAAAAAAACCATACTTGGCAATCCCATGGACACACACACTTGTATAACTGCTCACAAACAGCACATGATGAAGAGTGTTGTAACTACAGAACATGTGGGTGAACTGAAATTACGATCGTGTGCTTTTATGAGCAAGCTGATCCTTCTCAAAACACCCTCTAGGTGCATTATGTTCGTTTGCCTTGCATTTTAAATTATTCTTAGATTTATCTATGTAACTTTGAAAACCCGGCTTAGTTGCATTTCTGCTGTGAAATAATTTCTTTATGACATGATCATTTTCAGCCTGAAGCTCCCTGCTGGCATTTCTTCACACGTTATTACCAGAGTCGCCAGCCGTTTTGTTAAAAAAAAAACATATTTGTCAGTCTAAAATAAAAGGATACATATAAAGTCAGCAGCCTCGGTGTCTTGGATGATTTTAATGACTGTAAAAGGAATTTCTCCAGCTTAGATTTCAACTGTGGGATCCATGAATCCTAAACACAAAAATATTAATAAGCAAAAGAAAAATGTAAATTCAGTTTGAATGTTGCAGTCGCTGATGGGCGAAAAATACAGAAAGAATCATTTCTGAGTACCTGAAAAAGATCTTTGAAGGACGGGTGAACGGTGGGGTTGGGAACAAAAGGCAAAGCGTAGTAAGGCAAGAACTCAGTGGTCTGACTCAAAGCTGCACCCCGAGTTTCAAGGTACTGCTTAAAGAGAGAAATCCTCTCCTCAAACTCAGCTTGGTCCTGGAAAGAGATTTGAAATTAAATGTTTAAACTATCAGTCAGACAAATTTCCTGTCTACAAACATGCTCAAAATAAATCAGGAAGCATCTTTGCCACATGACTTTTTTCCTTCCTAAAGGGTGGCTTAATTATTTTAACTAAAGATGATGTTCACATAAGGGATTATGCATCATAGTGTAAGTTAGACAACTACTGTTATTTAGTGTTGTTCAAGGGTACTACTTTTGAGAAAGCATGTGGCGCAGCTTGGTGGACACTTTGAAAACAACACATTTGGTTGTATTTTGGATTTCCTCTTGGTAATAAAACCAATACTTACTCGTCTATTAGGGTGTCTTCTCAGTGGATAGATGGAAAAGTGGATATGGAGGTAGAACTCAAGGCTTTGTGCTTCAGTGTCTGTGTGTTTGACCTCAGAGGGAATATTCTCTGTCCACAGCTCAAAAAACACCTTGTGGTCTCCGTCATCAAATGAGCTAAGAAGGTCCTTCTAGAAACGTCACATTCAGAAGGAGAAAATCGCACAAAACAAGAACTCAGAGAAAATATTCAGGTAAATATTCAAAATCAGCTGGACCATCTTGGCATTTGCATACTTGTTAGGCTGTGTACGTCCTTTTGTAGGATTACTGGAACTACATAAACGTCTCCCCACTATGACAGAAAACACACCAACATAGCAGATTTCCATGTTGAAGAAGAGCATTGTTTACCTGAATGACACGAGTCTTAGAGTCTCTTAGAGCATTTCCTCTCGGTTTTGAGACAAGCTTGCCTTTCCTTTTGCATTCCTTGTCAAAAACCTGAACAGTCTCCTCAAACTCCTCAAACGTGAGGTACTGCAACAAACAAACAAACATGATTCAACTTAAACAGTGAAGGATGACACTGAGTTTTGGTGCATTTCATTCATTTTCAGCGAACATCAATATTGCTGTGACCCAGATATCTTCTCTACCTCTTTGATCATCCCAAGAAGATCAGCTTCTGTTGCCAAGACGTCCCCCATCTTGGCTTCCTCACTGGAACTCATGTGTGTACCGAAAACATTTAATACCCCTTTAGACGGGAACGATTTCTGCTTTCATTCAAAAACGTTTATAGATCTAGGGTTCAAGCTAAAAGGTGCAAGAACAAAAGAGCAAAATACATAAGTAAAAACTTAATTCTATGAGCAGTAGTTAAAATAACCAAACACCAAAACGCACAACGGAATGCTAGTGTAACTTCGGCAGGCATGTGGGGTTTTATACCATCTTAAATGGTTTAACATCAAGATTAGCAACAACTTATGAAGCTACAAGCTATCTAATTAGTTGACACACGACAGGACATTAACATGGCTCCTACCTTATTCGCACGTAATTTGATTTGGGAGAATTGACGTACAAACAAGTTTGTGATGCGTTAACAAGTAAACGAGATCCATAAAGTACATTTTTGCTCGCTTTGTCGGACAGTGAACGAAAAAATAGCTGGCAACCACAAACAGGAGGGACGCTAAAAATACCTAGCAACCAGAGGGTCACCGGAAAGTAAATGTGAGTGTCGTAAACTAAAACTAACTAAATGTATTATATTTTACAAGAAAATATATTGAATAACCTTAAGTTATGAGGCATGCGATTTAGAAAAACAAAAGTAAACGATTGTAAATTATAACAACGCACAGACAAACGTAATTGTTGACCTTTTTTAGGATACATTATGCAATTTTAATGGTAAAACTATTATTTTAGTACGAGTATTATATTTTTACAATTTCTTATGTTTTACTTTGCTTTTTAACATAAACATTTATTTTGTTTCATTTTATTTTGTTTTATGAGAAGTACTTCCCGTGTCAAAGGTTAATCACGTTGTTTCTGCGCGCCACAGATTGGCTAGATAGCAATGAATTAAATTACTCTTAAATAACAAATCTAGCTTATGTTTTGAACAGTCGCTGTTGTCCTAAAGAATCGAGTAGTTGCGAGGCTTCTGTGTTTGCATTACGACATCTAAAAATAATTTGGGGTAAGTGCAACAAATGAATTAACAGTATGCTAAAGCTAGCTGTTAGCCAAAATAGGAGATTCAACGTGGAAGATAAAACTTGCCAACTTTAACTGACGTATGTCCTAGTCTTATTTTTATATAAAAGTATTTTATGGTAATATGCTTATAGCAGTTGATTTCTTGTGCTACCTAACGTTTCATTGCTTTTTAAAAGTTAATATAGTTTATTACGTTTTATTTTTTGTTGACAGGTTGTTCAAGTCATAACAGGGGCTTAAACATTTGATCCCCTGCACAAATTCACAGAGTGGGCCAACGATGGCTGGAATTTTGTTTGAAGATATCTTTGATGTGAAAGACATTGATCCAGATGGCAAGAAGTTTGACAGAGGTACTTATGAAGTACAATAACGTATTGGGGTGACTTATTTAACTATTCCATCATATTGTTTTTGTCGTATTGACATAATGCACAGGTATATTGACTCATGAGTAATCATTTATTCTACGTTTTTATTTGCCCACGTTAAGGCAGACTTTACATAGTGATGTTAAAGAAAATCTGGCATCCTGAAGTTAAAAGCTAATATAAAATTGAAAGACATTCAGCTCATTAAGAGAGCAGTTAAAAAACCAACTTGCTTATTGGATTTAGTTTATATAACCTACAGCAGACAATGTTTATAATCTACTGACAAATTCTCACCTATTGCAGTGTCTCGTCTGCACTGTGAGAGTGAATCTTTTAAGATGGACCTCATCTTGGACGTGAACATTCAGATCTATCCTGTGGATCTTGGTGAGAGCGTAAGCCCTTTTACCGAGGGCACTCTTATTTAGTTAATTCTTAATACAATAAAAATCTGACTTATAACATATTATAAAGGTGACAAGTTTAGACTGGTGATTGCCAGTACTTTGTATGAAGATGGAACACCGGATGATGGAGAGTACAATCCTCAGGACGATCGACCATCTCGGTGAGACATTTTTTGCACTCTTCCATCATCTCGTAGTGTGTGTGATCTTTTGATGTTTGAGGTTTGGGCTCTCTGTTTACATTTTCATTCATAGAGCGGACCAGTTCGAGTATGTGATGTATGGAAAAGTCTACAAAATTGAAGGAGATGAGACTTCAACAGAAGCTGCAACTCGCCTGTGAGTAAATTTCTTATTGCTGCACAATTTTTACAACAAATAAAATAAAATGATCTAAGTGTTGAAGTTAAGGAACAATTATAATTTTTTTAATGATCATGAATTTAAGATCGGACATGTATTGTTAATCTGCTTCCACCGATTTGCTTGATGTTTCAGATCTGCTTATGTTTCTTATGGAGGCCTCCTCATGAGGCTGCAGGGCGATGCCAACAATCTTCATGGTTTTGAAGTAGACTCCAGAGTCTACCTCCTCATGAAAAAACTGGCTTTCTGAACTAAAAAATCCCCCCCCAACATACACACACAGATTGTTTCAAAGTCATGGTGAAACAATCACTAATACTCGGGTCTGGAGCAGCTGCCAGATGGAATACTGGACTAGTTTTATTATTATTTTTCCATAATGTTGTTTCTAGGACAGAGAAGATTTTTCATGAAAAAAAAAACTTTTACAACTTCTAAATGCATGCAAATTGTAAATAAAGATTTCTTTTGTAAAATGATTCATTCATTTATTTAGAAGGATCAGTGCACATCAAATAATTTTTATCGAAGTATCAATACAGGTAAATATGCTGGATTATGTGACACATATAAATTTACATTTGCAGTCCCTATAGGCAGGGCGCACAAAAGCACAGCAAACAGTAGTTACAAAAGGGACACGTCACAGACAGTACTGTGCAAAAGTTTTAGGCAGGTGTAAAACTGCTATAAACAAAGAATGCTTTCAGAAATAAAATGATTGGTTGTTTTTATCAATTAAAAAAATGCTAAGTGAATGACCCCAAACATCCAGCATAAGACCTTAACAACTATCTTCAGCATAAAGAACAAGAAGTCCTGGAAGTGAGGGTCTGACCCCCACAGAGCCCTATTTTAACACAGTGGGGTGTGTCTGGGATCACATGAAGAGACAGAAGGTTGCGAGAAAACCTACATCCACAGAACATCTGTGGTTAGTTATCCAAGATGTCTGGAACAACCTACCAGCCCAGTTCCTTAAACAGCTGTGTTCAAGTGTCCCTAGAACAACTGATGCTGTTTTGAAGGCAGAGAGTGGTCACACCAGATACGTGTCTCTTTTGTTCATGAACTCTTTTATGTCGATTGATGAAAATAAACGATTAACACTTCCATTGTTGAAAGCATTCTGTTTGCTGCATTTTGTCATACCTGCCTAAAACTTTTGCTCAGAGCTGTGCACATTACATTTCATACATTAGCAAAGGTCAAAGGTTACTTGACTGCATTCAGCCAGTGTTTCAGCTGACTTGAAAGCTTGTGCTGTTGAGCACTCCCCTATAAGGAGCAGGAGACTTACAGATATTTATGGGGGCATTTTGTCCAGAGGCTGTTTTTCTGTAAGCGACCTCACGGACCGAGACAGCTGTGACCCCCCCTTTTTTTTTCTTTTATGGTCGCAGGATGGTCGCGACACTAGGCCAGCATGGCGCAGAGCGAGGTCTGATCAACGCTGCTTTCAGCTGTAATTTTGCTTTATTCATTTTCTGGAGTTTTTTTCCATTGACCCATCTCAGCAAAGCCTGAGGTGGACTTTAAACATGCTAACTTTTGTTTGCTCGTTATCTGCAAAACATGGGGAGTTGCTATAGTAATGATTTTAGAAATATGTTGCAAATGGCTTTTGTAACTTACAAGTCAGAGATTTCTTAACACTGCAAAAAGTGCCTCTGACTACTAAATTTTGGGTGTAATCTCCCAAGTGCTGATGCTGATATTTGATCATGACTGTTGGTCGAATCCCATCACAGTGGTATTTGAATGTCCATGGAATCTCGATGATAGCAAATGGAAATGTGAAAACTCAGGAGGCAGAAAATTGAATTAAAGGCGAAGAAGCAGCTTTTGTGCTTTAAACAGACCACTCCGTGCCTGCAGTAATGGATGTCACAGGATGGAGAAGCACGCTCACAATGACTCACGTATCCATGCATAGGAGTAAATATGTGTGTAACTTATCAGTTATACATCATAACAGTTTCATATTTTAAGCATTCTTGTGTGGATGCTTTTTTCTGTAGGATACTTGATTTATGCAGTGGTTTGTGTGCAAACACAAAAATATCGAAGAACACCTAATCACTGTAGCCATTTAGCTCAATTCTGTTTTCCTGGGAATATTTTTTTTCCTCTTGAGTGGTGGTCTGCGCTGCGTCTAGGACACCGGAAGTGACGTAAACACGCAGTAGCATGTTCGATGTAAAGCTTTGCTGCCGCGACCTAAACCTGCCCGGTGAGTTTACTGGAGTTCACGACTTTCTGCTTAGACTGCTTAGACTAGTGGAACCACACTCACGTTTAGCTGAAGTCATTAGTTTTAGTGGACAGACTTGAGCTTCTCCTTATTGGAGGCGTCGCAGTCGGGATTATTTTAGTGTCCGCGCGACTGTAGAAATGCGAATAATGAAGGTTTCCTGAAGAATAAACGCGATTTGTCAAATGACAGAAAGAAGATCACAGAGTCAATCAAGATGGATAACAGACGAAAGAAGAAACTGACATTCTTCACCATCGGTCTGATTTTTCTTCTGAGTGGAGTAGAATATGGTAAGATGGCTCAGTTATCCCAGTCAACGATATGTTGTTCACATATTAAGAAAAGATGTTTAGGCTCAATGTATTTAAAAACATCTGAGAATATAGAGCTTGATCTTAATCTCTGTTGCATCACACACACACACACACACACACACACACACACACACACACACACACACACACACACACACACACACACATATATATATATATATATATATATATATATATATATATATATATATATATATATATATAGTTGTCTGTGGCACGAAAATCGCCTGGATTGTTAGTTTAGTTGTGTTAAAATTTTAATCTCTGATCATCATTGCAGCATGCTCTGTCCAGCAGTAAAACAATAAGAAAAAAAAGTTAAATGTACTTTATACTCTCTTAGCCACGTTAAAATTACAAGACTCCAAATGTCAACCTCAGATGAAAAGAGGATTATTTAGATGATGCTTTTCCCTTCTTTTATTTTCAGAAATCTCACATCTAGTTTTTCAATACACAATCCAGTTGTTTTGCTGAAGTGGATCCACAAGTTTCACAATCTTTTGAACACAAAGAAAAGCAGCTCAATGAAATCAATGCAGTGCACATGTTTTGCCATATGCAGCAAGGGCAGCTTTATTATATCTGGTCAGGGGTGCTGTAAAGCGGTGAAAGATTAGGAAGATTCTAAGGGCCCACAGCTGTCAGGGACCCAAAAAAGTTTCAAAGTTGAATAAAAAATAAATAGTTTAAAAATTACAAGTACTTTACTTTGCAGCATTTTTCTCATTTAAGACATTAAACAAACAATATTTTAGTCTATATGAAATGTATATTTATTCAGAGGTCCCTGCTGTATTTTGACTAATTAATTTGAAACACCCCCCCCCCCCCATGGAAGAAGAAGTCGCAGTGAATCCTTAATTTTTATCAGTCATACGGAAATACTTGATTTCAAGAGGAAAGACAGCTGAAAATGAAGTTATGTAAAGCTTTGACACAACATGGAAATTTAATTAGATATCCAAATTTGAATTTTATCATCAAATAAAATTTTAGAATAAATAAACACATTTTAAGGGAGTAATAGGGAAAAGGAGATTAACACCTTTCAGCATGTGCATTTCCTGCTGTTTCCAGCAGTGACATTGCTAATTCTGTTGAAGGAAATTCACTGTTTAATGAGAGACAGCTGGTGAAAATGATATGTAAATAAGTAAGAATGCATGTAGACCTACATAATTAAGCAAAACTGAAACACTAATATAAAGTATATATATTATATTTTTTTCTCCCTTCGAATCTGGGAGGGTGGGAACCCCAGCTTCAGCTATGGACGAGCCCCCAGGGGGCCCAACTTGATATTTTTTCATGGGGCCCAAAGTCTCTGGCAGCCCCCCTGTATCTGGTTCCCTTTCACACCACCATCAGTACAAAACTGACCAAATAACAGCTTTACCCAGGTGATGAAAGAATCTGAGTAATCACTTCCTGCATTCCGGTGTTGCTTTATTTTGGGTCATCTGACCACTTCATTGAGTTTAGATCGTATTTGCTTTGGGCTGTCCTTTGTCTGGGTGATAACACTGTTGAAGGAATTAAGGGAGAGAAAGAACCATCTCTGCAGCCAAAGCTTAAATGTTGTGTTTCCTTCAGCAGGACCTAGAATGATAAGACTGAATGTTGCAACATGATGACATCAACTAATCACTAACTATGTCTGCTCAGCTCCTTAGGGGTTTGTTCAAAGATTATATAAACTAATAAATGTTTATCTTTAGTCTTTTTTTAAAGGACTATGTAAGAATTTTACACTGAAATAATCACAAAACAGTCTAATATCTCAATTATGTTGGAATGAAGGTTACATTGACATAGATTTCCTTCTCAGCTGGCTGGGGGGTTTCCACTTCTTCTTATTTCAAAGTGGCCAAAGAGGGACGTAGTCATCGATTACAATCTGTCCCACCACAGGGTGGCCGAATCTGTGCTGGCAAATGGTGCAGAGCTGGCATTTGTAGTTTGACACTGTCCGGCAAAAATGCAGCAGCGTTTTAGTCATAAATCAGTAACAGGAGCGACCCAGAAGTTATTTCTTGTACCCCTAAGAAGCCACAGCATCTTTATGTTTTATTCTAATCAGTGACGTCTCTACATTAGGGGCCAGTGGGGCCGGACCCCACCAGATGGCACTGTGGAGCTCTATGCTTGCTCAAAGCAATACTTTGCAACTTTTTCATATTTTAAAATCGTTTTCTTGAGCTAGTATGTTCTAAAATGACCCTTTACAGGGTTAATGAAATGCCACCCAGCCCCCTATGCTCCCTGTGGCCAGAATACTGCATTTGCAACTTCACATCTGCCAGTCTGTTGGACTTAAAAAAAATTGAGCTTACATTCCTGAGTCTTGACTTTCTGGTTCCAGCATGTTTTCTGTATGTTTTAGATCGTTAACACAGCTGATTTGTTTAATTTAGTGATGAATGCTTCCTGTAGAGACCGAGGAAGGCTGAAGAGACAGCTGTTAGATTAAAGCCTCTTTCCGGAGCATTTCTCTTATCCGAAGGCACCATCTAGTGGCTCACAAGCATATCACACAAATAATTTCTTCGTTGTTTTTTTTAATGGCGACTTCACGTTTCTAGTTTATTTATGTCCTTCTGTTGCTGACACACAGAGCTAAAACAAGTTGTTTTACAAGTATTATTCTTATGTCATGTTGTTTTCTCATATATTTATATTTTAGAGACTTACTTGACTGTGAAAAGTTAATCAACTCTGCATCAGCTGAGGTATTCCTTAAGTTTGAAGCATATAATTGGTAATTTAATGCTATTGGTTAGTTCTGGTCGGCGCTCAGTGTCCTATTCCACGGAGCTCTGCGGGGCAGGGGGCGTGCTTAGCAAAATAAAGAAAAAGACGTTATACTTACATTATATCACAGTACACGATAAGATAATAACATTTATGGATTTCTGAAAAACCATACATAATTTCTGAAAGGAGAAAACTCTGGACAGATACTTTAAGGTGTTATAAAGACGAACACACAGCAAGGAGATAGGTTTTACTTTTGGTTCTACAAACGGACACTAGGGGGAGCTAAATGCAAGCCAAAACTGCCTAGTTCCACTTGAATGTAATTAGTGGAACAGAGTGGTTTGTTTTGGAGTTATATTGAATAAAAAACCATTCTGTCACCATGAAGATTCTGTTATATACCAGGATACTGCCAGGATATTGACAAGCTCAGTAGGTTAAACAAACGTTGAAACTCAGAAAGGTAGTGAGTAATGCACTGGTTTTGAAAATGGCTGCAGTAACAAAATTTGACCACAGGATGTCATTCTTCATTCTCACATTGTGCACCTTTAATTAGTGGTCTCTCAGTCTACACCCCAGCTTCTTTTAAGTTCCACCTAAATGATCAAGGGAGTTTCAGTGAAAATCCTAAAGACATTAAAGGGATTTTTGGGGTATAAGTGTATAAAATCCTCTCCAATTTAAAAAATATCGTATAGCTTTTGCAACTTTATTGTATGACCCTTTAGGCAGTTTTTAATTTAGGATTACATGGGTATTTTGGCAGAAATATTAAATATTCTTGCCGTCCTTGATGCTTTGGATGGACTGTTAATGCTTTACACTTTATGAAAAATATTTTTTGGGGAATGTTTTGCTGCTTTAGAGATATGCACTTTAGTTGTGGTTGGTCCAGACTAGCCGTTAGCTCATCAGTCTCGTAGGATATAAACTACTTCTCCAAATAGAAGCTATTCAGGAAGCCATCTATGAATAAGACAGTAACCATTTCTATATTTTTATACAGAAACACATTTGGGACAGCAGTGACTCAGGAGCTAGAGCTGGTTGTCCAGTAATTGGAAGATTGCAGGTTCAATCCCAGCTCCGACCAGAGAATGCTGCCGATGTGTCCTTGGGCAAGACATTTAACCCACCTTGCCTGCTGGTGGTGGTCGGAAGGACAGGTGGTGCCTGTGTTTGGCAGACTTGCCTCTGTCAGTGCGTCCCAGGGCAGCTGTGGCTACATCATCACCAGCGTGTGAATGACTGATCGAATTGTGAAGCGTCTTGGGGGGTTGTAGAACCCTCAGAAGTTGCTATACAAATACAGGCCATTTACCATTTTAAAATGACCTATAAAACCCCTCTAAACTGTGCAATATCTTCTGCTTCAAAGGTAAACATTTAAATCTATTAATTAGAGAAATGAAGAAAATTTCTCTAAATAATCCAAGTTATAATGTTGCATTCTAATAACCAAAAGACACATTATTATTTTCAGTTCATTAAGTTTTTGACATTGACTTTTTCTTACTTTTCTGAGTTATCACTAATGACGTGAATCCCTTCTGTTTCCCCAGCTGTTATATTACCTACAATATGGCGGTATTTACAGACGTTGGAAGCAGCGCCATATTTCCTGGGTTTGGCCCTGTCAGCGTTCAGTTTCAGTGGTCTTTTGGCGGGACCGCTCTTTGGACACTGGTCAGACAGAACAAGAACCACAAAGAAAATCATCTTGCTTTGCAACTTTTTTGAGATAGTTGGTGAGTCCACAAATCACACTTTGTTATCCGCGTATACAAATGAATAAAGTTTCTACTTCACCTTTGCTGTCATAAACAAACAACATGTTTTGGTGTTTTCTTTAAATTGAAGCATTCATATATTTCTTATCTATTATTTTTGTTGTGCAGGTAATTTCATGTACTTCATGGGCTACTCCAAGTGGCTCCTACTGTCAAGTAGATTTGTAGCAGGTGAGTTTGTTCGCATTCAAAGCATCAGTCAGTCTAAACTTCTGTAGAAATCATTAATCTAACTCTGATGCACAAGAGGGTACAATTATAAATTACTTTTATATTATTGAGCAAATTTTGCACTGCTCCAAACGGTGGCACCCCTAGAAATTTTTCATAGGGGGTAGAACATGAGTCCAGTGAAAACTGTGGGGTGGCACATCAAATTGGTTCCTGTGGTACCTCTGGGAGACATAATCTGATTCAGATTAATTTATTAATGACCACACAGCAAGTTGGTGGAATTTCTTTTCAGTACAGCATGGCATGCTCACATCTCACATCTCTGTGTCTTCACACCACAGTCCACATTCAATGGCAGGAACACATAGACATTTCAGGAAAAGACTTGATTTAGTGACCGTACAAGCTGTCAGGAAGAAACTGTACCAGCCTGACTTTAAATTTTTTCAGTTGTCTAAGGAAGAATAAACGTTTATTTGCTTTTTTTGTAAATTTGATCTGTGTGCTTTTTCCATTTAAGGTTATTATTGACGAGTGTACCTAGATATTTGTATGACTCTGTGATTGTAATGGGTTGGTTGGAAGCTGAGTTGGGTATCTTTTGTGTGGGAGAGCGGGAAAAGTCAATGAGTTCCTGTGTTTTTAATGTGTTGAGCTCTAGGTTGTTGTCTTGACACCGTGTGACTGCACAGCTAACCTGTTCCCGATAGTATAGTTCATTATTGTTAGTGATCAGACCAATGATGGTGGTGTCATCTGCATATTTGATATTCATTCTTTTTCACTGAAAAGTAATATGCTTCCAACTCATTTATCTCAGATCTGAGAAAACATTTTTAGAAAAAAGACAAAATTCCTTGTTATTTCTGTGATTTTGTCAAATCGACAGATTTAAATTAACGGGAAAAGGGACAGGGTTTCCCCCAGAAACCTCGCTAAGTCCGGCAGACTGTGAGAGCGGGGGTAGGGGGCACACGCTTGGCCTGGCGGCTTGTAAAGCGTTGGCGGACACCCTGGGGGATCTCCTTGTCTAATTTCTCTCAGAACCTGGAACTAATCAGAAAAGCAGCCTCCCATGTACATCCTTGATGCTGGGTTGTAATACATAGTCTGTATCGTGGTAATGAACCCATCTCCAAATTTTATATTCTTTTAAAGTTATCCACAAATAAGAAAATTCTACTCGATTAAAGGCTATTCCACATCTCAGAGCAACAGTCCACAGGGTGGCGGTAACCTATACAATGCATAAGAGACCCTGAATCAGTTTTTGAACTCTAAATTCAACAGACTCTTGACCCTTTATTTTTTGCAGTGTGTTAGGATCAAACATTTACCCAAAGCTATTCAAACACAACAAACTGATTAAAAGGTTAAATACACAAAACAAGTAAATGAGCAGAAATGTAATTTGACAATAATCTTTTATTAAGTTTTTCAGCAATTTGAATATACAATTAAATTAAATTTAACTGCAGCACCAGGGTGCCCACAGATGTGCCTGACTTTATATTGGTTCCTTTAAAGAGGTATGTCGGGTGAAGCAGATATAAAAAATGTTAAATATTGTTCCGAAATATTGACTGACCAATAAATCCCCTCACAATGTTTCTGGTTTAGCAAGTTTTATTAGCAAAGATCAGATCACGTTACACTATATTAAAAATGAATTTAAACCAGATGTAAAAATGTTATCTGAAAAATTCCTCAGGGATTGGTACTGGCGCAGGATCGTCTATCTTTGGCTTCCTGACTCGAAGCACTGCTCCGGAGGATCGGGCCACTGTGTTTGCTGCTGTCATGGCTTGTCGACAGGCTGGCCTTCTGATTGGTTGGAGTTTTTTCTTCTGAATTATGATAGTTTTATTTGTGCAATATTCTCTCAGATTAGGTGGGATTTGGGAGATTATTTGTATTTAAAATGTATATTTTACCTTTCACCAGGTCCTGCATTTAACATCTTTCTGCGGCTTAGTAATTTCCATGTTGGTCCTTTTATTGTCAACAAATATACTGCCCCTGGGGTAAGGAATAGAGCGAGATAATATGCATGGATATTTGAACCTATTTCTCATATTCCTGCCTTCACCGAGAAACCACGCTCCTCTTCTCCCTCTTGCAGTTGTTCATGTGTTTGCTGTGGATGCTCCTTCAACTGGCCGTGTTCTTCATGTACTGGGATTTACCACAGCTGGAAAGGAGAAAGACCATTGACAGTCCAAAGCTCAGCGGGGAAGGGAACATGCCAGGGGCTGTAGTAAACAATGAGGATGAAGGTGAGGAGGAGGTGAAACCACTAATCGCTTCCCAGGAGCTGTTGGGGTCGTACGGCTCAGTGGTGATATCAAACCATGCCCACGTGGCATTCAGCTCCTCGCTGAATCACGTTCATTCTTCACCCGCTTCTCCTGAGATGTCGCAGAGCCACAAGTGCCTCCAACCTGCGAGAAGTGGCAGCTTGTCCAGAGGTATTTGACTCACTTTTTAAGTAGACTACTCTGGGCCACGTTACAAAGCTGTCATTTTTAATCATAAAATTTGTGCAAAAACGTTGCCGTTCAACTCTTTAATTCATGATTGATTTGAAAATGAATGCCGTACCTTTTTGTTTTTGCAGAGTTCCTGAGAGAAGAGGTGGTCGTGCTTCTGGCTGCTCAGTTCATCACCCTTTTTAATCAGACAGCGCTTGAGGTGCATTCACTTACACAGACAAAAAAAATAACCCTTGTGACTGTGCAGTGTTGACATGGTGGAGATGCATTTAGTTACTATGCTGCTCACATATGGAATCAGCTTCCCCATGACCTCAGATGTGCCCCAACCCTAGTGTTGTTTAAAACAAAACTAAAAACCCTAATGTACTCATCAGCCTTTAAATGAATTGTTTCTTATGCTGCATCGTCTCCACTGTAATCTGCGCTGTAACTTTGTGTTCTCCTTTAGCTCTAAACAGTAATTCTATCTATGTGTATTTTAATTTGTGTTTTCATATCATGTCCTGATAATTGTAAAGCACATCTGTGTTTGAAATGGGCTCTATAAATAAAGCTGCCTTGCCTATAAGCTAACCAAAAGAATACTGACATGAAAAGGCACGTCACCACCTACTGTACTGGAGTGGAACGAACTTTATTCGAGAGGCCGGTTTTCTAATGCGCATGTAAACATGGATAAAGACTCCCAGCTTATTACAGTAAGATCGGCCAGGATCGACTTAGATGTTGGTCAGTGTGCTTGTAACCACACCGACTGAAAGCAGACTCATCGGTTTTGCCACATGGACTGCAGTACCCAAATTTAATTTTAAATTTAATTAATTTATTTAATAATCAGGACAGTGCATGTTAACATCAGTCACGCTGAAACATGCCAGAGTTAGACATAGGCTAGTTTACATCTGTAGTCCTGTGCCAGTTGTACAGTCGGCATTCTAGGGAGGACATTATAAAACACCTATACACTCATAAGTAAATTATATGAAGATTGTTATAGAAAAGCTTCATTAGTCTGGTACAAAATTGGACATCATATTAATCCAATGTAGAAAAAAAGTAGCATGAAAGCAGTATTAAATAAATATTAGTAACAAAATGAACAGGATGATAGGTCTAAGTAGCGAATGCAAAAAAGGTTAGAGTACACACGGAGATAAAAAATAAAGGGGCAACATGCTGCAACAACGGGCTGTTAAGATGCAACTTATAAAAGATCTGATTGACTTTATTCTTAAAAGCATAAACATGCAATAAATTAGGGCAGTATTAATATTATTAGTAAAAGTGTACAACATGCAGTAATTACTGTTAAGAGTCAATGGACAATACAGCCTAAGAACACAGGATGGCAGCGCAGGAGGTCAGAGTTGACAGGTTTGATTATTGATGAGCCAGTTTTTCAAATGGGTGCGGAATAAGGCGTATGTACAGATGACCACAGGATGTCATTCTTACTTCAGATGTAATTTGACAGTAAAATTATTACTGAACATGCAATTTACTTTTAATTGTGCAACAGAGAAAAAACTGCCTATATTCTCTGAATAATGACCGTCTGCTTTTCTGCCTTATTCCCTCTTTCCTCAGACTATGGTGACCCCCTTAACCCAAAAATATTTTAACTTTGGGGAGCTGGAGAACAGCGTGATGTACTGCCTCGGTGGTGTGGTGGTGATCACTGGATTCCTGTTTGTTCGCTGGCTGAGTCGACACGTTGCAGAGAGGGTGGTCCTTGCCATCGGTCTGGCCATTTGCAACATCTCCTGCATTTGGTGCCTGATTTTCCTGGCTAACCCTTTAGGTCAGGCAGGACTCTCTGCATGTGCATTAAAACAAGATGCATTCCTCTGGGAACCATCTTTTCTAAGCTAATATCCATATTGATTGAACTGGTTATTTGTTTGTGTTTTTATTGAATTCTCGTCTTCTGTAGGTGGTTACTCATGGCAGCTGACAGAGTTTATCATCGGGGTGTTCCTGCAGGTTTTGGGTTTACCGTTTGTAGCTGTGGCTCAGGTTTCCCTCTTCTCTAAAATAACCTCAGAGAGAACTCAAGGTGAGAAACAGCACCATCTAGTGGAAAAGTGGCATTATACTCTTTCCTGTATTGACTGACTCTGTCCCTGCAGGTTTTAGTCAGGGTGTACGTCGCTCAGTGGGGGGTCTTGCTACCATCCTGGGCCCGCTGTGGGCCGGTGGTCTCACTGAGAACATGTATATCATGATGGGTGCTATGGTGGCGCTGCTGGTGCTGCTAACGGTAGGTACAGTCGTTCTGAGTGAGTGGAGTGCAAAAAGACTTTTATGACCAGAAATGTTAAAATGCTGTTTGAATAAAATGAAATAAAATTGGGGAAATACATTTTTCTCATGATTTTTTTTATAACTATATTTTAGAAGAAATAATATTTTGAAGCTGTGCATTCCTAAAAGCAACTTTATGTGCATCTGTTTGTAAATTAGTGGTTTAATGTAAATACTGTAGGTGCATTTTAAAAATATTAGTTCTTATTATAATAAATCACTTCAGTCTATGCAACCCTCTCTTATGAAAAATTCTATGAGGGAAAAAAGATGGCAAAAAACTCTTTTATATTCAGAGTTTATTTAGATTTTTTCAATACTTTTTAATTTTTACAAGTTACTATATTCTGAAGGGAAGTTATTAAACGAGTAAAAAAGGAGAAGAAAAATAGAAAATATGTTAAACCAGCATGAAATTGCCTCATGTTAATTTCTCTTTGCTTTTTAAATTATTATTATTTCTATTATAGGTGATGCTGGCTTTCTCTTACAACCGTTTGGTGGAACCTTCTCAGGAGCACATGGAAAGTTCACACATATGTACTTAAAGCTCCAGCTTTTTAGAAGAAACCCAAGGTACACTAACTGTGTGTGTGTGTGCGTGTGTGTGTGTGTGTGTGTGTGTGTGTGTGTGTGTGTGTGTGTGTTTCAAACCTGAATTTTAGGTTTTATGCAAAAGCAGAACTAGACAAGTCATAATTTCCACCATAGAGAATAAAAATGAAGAAGCTGAACTGAGTTCCATTTAAAATGACACATTTTTGTTATCGATTTTGGTTGTTTTACTTTATTATTATTATTATTATTATTATTATTATTATTATTATTATTATGTTATTATTAGGTGGTTCCTCTTTACAAGTCTGGCAATATAAGCATCAATTTACAAACTACAGACCGGTCTCCTTGTTACCTCATTTTTCAAAGATATTGGAAAAAATTTACAATGACAAGCTGGAAAAATTTGTAGAAAAAAAATTGCATTTTATTGGACAGGCAGTATGGTTTCAGATCAGGTAGATCTACCGCACAAGCTCTAATGGAATTGTTTGAAGACATATCCACAACGCTTGATCAGAAAAAATATGTTCTGGGAATTTTTATTGATTTGAAGAAAGCCTTTGATACAGTCGATCACAAAATACTTATATCAAAAATGGAGAAGTATGGTATAAGGGAGACAGCTCTCAATTGGCTAAAAAGTTATTTGAGTAACAGAGCTCAGTATGTCCAGCTGGGTTATCACAAGTCTAGCTGTCTCGAAGTTCACTGGAGTTCCGCAAGGGTCGGTACTCGGCCCGAAGTTATTTCTTTTATATTTAAATGATATCTACACAACTTCAAATTTATTTAAATTTATTATGTTTGCTGATGATAAAAATATTTTGTGTTCAGCAGAAGATATACAGCAACTTGTACAAAAGGTCCAGAAATAATTGAGTAAGCTTAAGAATTGGTTTAATAAAAACAAACTGTCGTTAAATGTCAGCAAAACAAAGTTTATGTTATTTGGAAATAAAAGAAGTAGTAAAGAGATCTATTTGACTGTTAATGAAATAGCCATTGAAAGAGTGTATGAAATTAGGTTTTTGGGGATATTGATTGATCATAAGCTCTGTTGGAAGCCATACATAGAATATGTGTGTTCTAAATTAGCCAGAAGCATTGGGATAATAAATAAAACAAGATATTCCCTACCACAGAAAGCACTACACACACTTTATTGTACTATGATTCTACCATACTTATCATATTGTGTCGAAGTATGGGGTAATACTTATAAATCAAATTTATTAAAGATTTGTGTTCTCCAAAAAAGAGTGGTAAGGATAATTACTAATTCTAGATATAGAGATCATACAACTCCATTATTCTATAATTCCAGATTACTCAAAATTTTTGACCTTATTCAATTTTAAACTGTCCAAGTACCATATAGGGCCATGATGGGTGTACTACCGGGTAATTAGCAAAGGATGTTTAAAACTCATGAAGAGGGTTATGAATTGAGAGGCGTTAAAAACTTCCTTTTTCCATTATACCGAACAACTATGAAAAGTATGTGTGTATCTGTGTGTGGTATCAAACTGTGGAATAAACTTGATGTGACTTTAAAATTATGTAAAAACATTAGATCATTTAAAATGTTGTATAAACAACTTATAATTGACTCATACATAAATAGCAAGTGATAAAAATGGTAATTGATTGCAAATGGAATATTTTGTTTTGTTGTTTATTGGTTTTGTTTTTCCTTTTCTGTAGATTCATGTGAACAATTGTTTGTAACTGTATTTTTATGTAGCAAGGTGAAGATAGAACGACCTGCATAAAGAAAAAGTTGTTTTCTTTCAAATTTGCTAATGTGAGCAAATGTGATTTATTAACTGAATTGGGGCTGGACTAGATAAGCTTTTGCTTCTTCCAGTTCCCTCTCAAACGGTTTTATGTTATTGTATGTTTTGTATTGTTTTCTTCAACAGCATATGTTAATCGTATTCCACATTTTTAAATTTTTTATGCACCAGGAATATGGAGGAGTGCATATGCAATTTGATGTTTTCAATGGTTTGAGATAAATAAACAAATAAATAAATAAATAATAAATAAATAATAATTATAAGTATTATTAATATTGTTATAATAATAATCATTATTATTATGGAGATTTACTTCTTTGATATATTGTCTTTTGCATTTTCAGAATGCCCTGTGTTATTATGTTTTCTTTAATGTAATTTTAGAGCATAAAAGAGGACTTGCATGATTTTTATTGGAGCAGATGGCATTTTATGCTTATATTCAAATATATAGATTAATAATTACATTTCTGTTCCTCTGCTTATATATAATTATTTGTAAGCCATTGCATTTATTTTTTGTTGCTGTTGTTTTTACATTCATATATTTTCCCCATTGACTGGAATGTAGAAAGTTGGCAGATGTTTTATATACATTATTAATGTATTTATTTGTCTATTATTTTATTTTTTTTAGTCTCTGTAAGAACCCAGCTGGACTTTGCCACCCTGCACCTTTGTTTTGTGTCGAGGGACTGCCCGGAGACTCCTAAAAGAAGCTGTTTGGACTGAGCAGGTTGTTTGGGTAGAGGCTGGTCGATGGACTCAAACCGAGTATACTATTGCAGCGTGTTTCCCATGGAAATAAAGAACCAAGCTAGCGGTGCATGTAAAAAGTGTCACAGGCACCAAAAAGGTGCATCACTCATCCGACACATTCTGTTTCAGCATGATGCAGCATAAGATGCACTCCTAATCTAATAAACATGTATTTTTGTTATTTTGTCTTAAATAATTAGGCATCCTAATTTTTTACCTGTGGCAAAATGGAACTTCTAAAAATAAAATATTTGCAAATGTTTGCATATATTTTATTTTATTTCAGTGATGTTTAATAATTTGAACTGTATGATTTAATAAATCAGTGTGACAAAAGTTACCCTAATGACTCTAACATCCAAATCAGACTTTATTAGGAAAGATAATACATAGGAATTCATTAAAAATAAAAAAAACATGCAACAAATAAAACACTATTGTATCTAATTTGTTGTTTGAAATTGAATATTGACTCATGTTTGTAAATATATATGTAATGACCAAACTTAAAAAATGAAATTAGATTATTTTTTTCTTTGTCAATAAAATTATTTTTCAAATTAGACCCCACCCCCTCCCTTGAATTCATTGGTGGTTCAGAATGTATGTGAGAGTGTAAAAAGTCTGTAGCAGCAAAGATTTAATTGGTTTTAATTTAACTGCATTAAGATTTGTATTTTATGGTTTTGTCTTTTGGACCAGAAGTAGCCACATTGGCAGAGGCGTGTCTAGGGAGTGGCCTGGGGTAGGACCCACCCTACAGATTTGGAAAACAAATAAGCTTAAAAAAAATTCATGCCTCTTAACAACATTCTAACATGCAGTAAAGCTATAAATATATTGTTGAGAGCTAATTTTTTTGTTTTTGTCTAGAGACCTTCAATAACTCACTGACAAAATGTTCAAAGCTAATTTATTGCATTAAAGAAATCTTTTACAGATCTAATAAAAATAAATTCCAGCAAAAGGATAAAGCTTTTGCTGAAGCGGTTCGCAGCCGAGTGTGAAGCAGCAGGAATGAGAATCAGCTCCTCTAAATTCGAGACCATGGTCTTGAGTCGGAAAAGGGTAGAATGCCTTCTCCGGGTCGGAGATGAGGTCCTGTCCCAAGTGGAGGAAGTATTTATAGGCGAATTGGTGCTGCGTCTGCAGTGATGCAGGCATTGTACCGAACTGTTGTGGTGAAAAGAGAGCTGAGCCTGATCTATGCTCCTACCCTCACCTGTGACCGAAAGAATGAGATCATGGATACAAGTGAGTTTTCTCTGCAGGGTGGCTAGGCTCTCCCTTAGAAATAGAGCGAGAAGCTTGGTCATCTAGGAGGGGCTCTGAGTAGACCCGCTGCTCCCCCACGTGAAGTTGAGGTGGCCAGTTGAGGTGGCTCAGGCATCTGATTAGGAAGCCTCCTGGACGACTCCCTGGTGAGGTTTTCCGGGCACGTCCATCTGGGACAGGCTATGTTTCTTGGCTGGCCAGGGAACACCTTGGGATAAGCTGGCCCAAGTGGCTGGGGAGAGGGAAGTCTGGGCCTCTCTGCTTGGGCTTGGGTGGAAGTTAATGGATGGCAAAAGGATAAATTAATTCTATGAATACCGTAGTTCAGTAGAATTGTTATTTTGTTTTAAATTAATGAATCATATCAAACTATAGATGAGATTAAACGTTCTTTTTCATGTGATGTAATAAACACTTTGTACACCAGTGGGCGCTCTTACACCTTGTTTATTTGTGTTGACCCAAGCCAACAAGCTGACTGACCTACTCAGTAGTGAAACGTCTCTGCAGACACATTTGTCTTAGATGCTTGAGGAGCAACGTTGGAAACAAAAATATATAATTTGATCAAAATTAGTAAAAACAATACAAAGAAATATAGAACAACTTTTGCATTTATTTCATATTCATTAAAGGTAAATATAGATAATTCATGAATACTTGAACTTAAAAAATAAATAAAAATGTAGAAAATCAAGCTTTTATTCTACCTTTTAATGTAGGTTTTTCATTTTTAACTCAAGGAAATAAATGATCCATGTGTAGACATCAGTAATACAATACTTTTGCTCAATTTAAAGGTTTAGAACTAAAGTACAGGAGAAGAAATCTAGTCTCTCAAAGGAGATTTATTAAATTTGTTTTTAGTTAAAGCTGTCAACATAAAAACAAAAATTTGTGCTATATTGTAGCTGAAATATCTATTAAAAATGTTGAATTAATTTAGTGCATCACAAACTAATATTTATTTTCATAAAGTAATTAAAATAATTTTATTTAAAAAATGAAAAAAGTTAATGTTAACTGTTCTTTGATTTTCGGGGTATTTATTTGTGGTGCGTTTATTTGATTATATTTTATATTTGTATGTATAAATTATATTTCTATTTTTAATATGTTCTGATACTGCATATATTCATTTTCTATCACTGAGATAAAAAAAATTACTTGTAAATAAAATCTAGTTCATTTTAATAGTTTAAATCATTTTTTTTGTATCCATCAGAAATATTTGTATTGGTTATATAAAGCTTTTCAATGTAATTGTTCCTAAAAAAAAGTTCAGTTAATTGTCTCCACCTAAAATTCTACATGAATAATAAAAAATGTGATTGTGACATTAAATCATTGTGAGAACAGCAACATTTATTGTACTCCAATTTTATATTTTGAGAAAAAAAAAGAGACAAAATGGAAAAAGCGTCTTTATTGCAGCAATTAGAAAATACTGTTTTTTAAATTGGTGGAAAATCAAACAAATTGACTAGTATTATTTCCTTTTTGTAAAACAGCACAGAAACTTCCAAATAATTTAAAAATGAAAGGAAAAGTCCAAATTAAATAAAAAATGTCAGGATTATGTTTTTTAAATCATTGCTTAGTTTCATGCTTATGTCCTTATATCATGAATGACGACTTTGAAGACTAAAAACATGTTACTGAAAAGGAAACACATGATATGATTGATGCTGAATTATTGATTTTGATACTATATTTCAAAATAAAAGTATGGGGGAAATTCTGGTTGAAAAAAAAAAAAACCAAGTAGGATTGGACCCATCAGGGATCGCTGTGTAGTAGCCAGCGGGGACCGGAGTGTGCATCGTGGTTTTTGATGACGCCGTGTTGGCAAAGGGGCGTGGCCTGTTGCTGTGAACTCTAGTTGAACTCGTTTTAATGTCGGGCGGGGCCGGCTCAGGGATGTTACGACACAGGGCCAGTAACAGAGATATTTTGGGGTTTTGCTACCTTTTTTTTCTCCTGCTTAACTGAGTCCCTGCACCCGCCCTACACACACACACACACACACACACACACAATCCCAAAACACAGTTGGCCCGGAGCGGCTCTATGACCGACGAGTGACCTGGCATATCAGGGTCGAAAGTGCAGAACACGTCATGTGTCATAACAGTTTTCTGGGTAAATTTGGCGAGCATGCTCCTCCTCTTTCCTCTCCAATCACAGACCTATGCAACCAAATCAGATATGATAATGGGCACGTGAACCTTTGGTGAACTCGATTTTACCTCGACTGGATTGACCAGCAGGGGCGGGTGAAGTTTAGTAGGACTTAATGTCTATCGCTGGCATTTTTGCTTTGTATGTTTTTGTTTCACCCGTTTCCTCAGGCTCGAACACTGATTGACCCCTCCCCAAAACTAGGTTGGGTTGATGCACTGTGACTGGGATTTGTTTATTTATTTTTGAGGGGACATTGGAGCTTAGCTTTACAAATATACTTCCTTTGTGTCGTTTTTGACCACCTGTGCTGAAAATATGATTTGACCCAGAAAGGCTCATTAAACGACAAAAGTAGTTTACGATGAGGAAAAATAAAACCAGACGATAAAGTCTGCTTTCATCATCATCATCATCATTAGCCGTGTTTCCACTTTTTCCTAGGAAGTGTCTGGGAGGAGGGAAAGCGACCGGCAGAAAGGATGGCTCGGCCCGCTCAGCAGCAGAGCTAATGAGGTTCTCAATAAATAAAATTAAAAATAAATTCATACCTTTCAGGACTTGGCGTATCGTGGTTGTTTCTGCAGTCAGTGACGTCACTGATTAGCACCAAAAGGCGTCCACAGACATTAAAGGGATACTTTCCAACTTTTTCATATTTTGAAATAATTTTCTTGAGTATATGCTAAAATGACCTTTTACAGAGTTAACAAAAGTTCACCCGGCCCCTATCGCCCTCGTTACCAGAATATTCCACTTGCAATTTCAGCCTGGCGGGCCGCTCTGTTTTAGGCCTAGTCCACACGTAGCCGGTTTTTTTTTTAAACGAATATCCACCCCTCCAAAAACTTGCATCCACACCACCTCGTTTAAAAAAAAAACTCTGACCACACGTACTCGGATAAATACGTTGTTAAGGACATGCCAGACCTGTAGGTGGCAGTACTTCCCCCATTCTTAACCTCGTCCTTCGTCTGTGGTCTTCCGCAAGGACCAGTAATTCCACTTGCAAAAACAAACAAGCAAAAAGCGCTTGGACAATTGATAAAGCGAGCGCAGCACTGAGGGCATCCATGCTGTCGGCTAGTGTAAACACAGGTCGCACACGTGATGTCAGCATTTTTTTGTTGCGGAAAGTGACGTTGCGGACCTTAAAACTCCGGTTTTGTCTGTCCACACGCAGACACCCAAAACGGAGAAAACGCAGATCTTCACTTTGGCCGGAGTTTTTAAAAAGATCCATTTTCGTGTGAAAAAACTCCGTTTTCGTATGGATGACAGGCCAAAATGTAGAAAAATATCTACGTTTTGGCAGATCCCCGGCTACGTGTGGACAGGGCCTTAATTAAGCTGACTTACCTGCATGTTTTAGATCATGAACACAGCTGATTGTGATGAATCATTCCTGTAGACACTAATGAAGGCTGGGAGACATTTCAGCTGTTGGATTAAGGTGTTAAAAAGGTAAACACACAGCGAGGACCTGGTTTTCGCTTTTGGTTCTACAAATTGTCGCTAGGAGGTTCCAAAAGCAAGCCCAAACCACCTAGCTCCTCTTTAATAACAAGTTATATTTGGTCAAAGTATGTCATGATTTAATCCATTCGGAGGACTGGTGGAGCGGCTATGTGACATAAATAGAAACTTTAAATGACCAGAAGAAGCGTCGTTTTTTACAGTGCTCCGTGAGATCACAAAGCTTGTTGGGGAATTTCTATTACATTTTTTGGCGTTGAGTTTATAAACGTTGATATTAGAGCAGCATCATCATTTCTTATTTTCTTTTCCTTACATTCTGCATTGCCAGCAACTCTTCCAATTTTGCAAATGTCAGTTGTTTTAGCAGCAACTGCTGAAGTAATTTCCTACTAAGATACAACCAATCAGCGTCCAACTCAGTGCCTCTATCGAGCCAAGAACAGTTCAAGTACTTGGTTCCTGAAATGGCATTCTGTGAATGTCTGGTCAAATTACCCAGAAGTTCCAATAGTGGGAATGAGTATAGGGTTAAAAATATTCAAAAGTACCTTCAAAGTGATTCAAAGACTCCCCTAAAGGGAGGGATATCCCACAGGCAGAACAGCAAACGTGCAAAAAAAGGAAAACCTTTAAAA